GAATTTAACACCAGTGGGAAAAAACGTGCCCAGCATGTATGTAGTATCGCTGGTAACTTCTCCGTAGTTACTTTTGTAATTCCATACTTCATAGCGGCCCATGACGAAAGGACGCGGTCATAATTTTTATAAAAGAAATTACCAATACCGTGGAGCAAGTAGCTTAGCTTCTATCATCAGATCGAAAGCTCCGAGGAGACACCAAAGAATATCTACAGTGAATTGAAGCCAGCTAACTAATTTACTAACTTACTAACTGAATTCATGAGCCTAAAAGCTTTGTCCTCGTCGTGGATCCCCATCTCTAGCTTCAGCTTAGCTTATCAAATGGTTATAAAAAAAAGAAGAAGAGGCAGAAGTAGCAGCAGGCTATTGCCAGCATTCTTCCACCGGCCTGAAATGTTACCAACTTAATTCTCTCTTTTCTCTCTCTCTCCACGTCAAATATCCCAATTGGTCACTTCTTTCCCGTGCCGCGCTTGCATCGTGTGCCCTTTTCTTTCCTTTCCTTTCCTTTCATAAAAGTTTTTTTTTTATTTTTTTCGGCGGACAAGCAATTAAAAGGTTCCCAGAAAGGGTCCTTGTCGACGGAATGAAAACCGAAAAGCAGAAGTATCAAAAATGGACAAGGATAAGGGCCCAGCTTTTGGGGTCCTCTCTTTCTCTTTTTTTTCCCCCTTCACCTCTTTGAATTGAATTGAATGCACCATTTCTGCAAGCAAGAACTTTGCTTTGGGGGGAAAGGAAGGGTCGAGGGAGGGGGGGGCAAAGAATACCGTCTTCTTGAAAAAAGAGTACAATATAATAGGCTATACGAAGTAAGTATATAATACGTAAAAGCGAAATAATTAATTATCAATGAAAAGAATAAATGAAGCAAGTCGAACCCTTCCAAGGCTTCTTCTGCGCTTCCAGAAGGATTCCAGAGGACCATTTTCTTTCTAAAATCTTACTTTTATGTATGCGTCTATTGGAGGGGGCGGTCATATTGAACTCAGGTGATTTTTCTAGGTCTCAGATATTTTCCATAGATACATACATAAGTACTTCATACTAGCTATACAATCCCCAAAACCTTTCCGAACACTTCGAACAAAAAAAAAAAAAAACCTGGGTAGTGAAAGCTTTGATCTCCTTCTCCCTCGCTAGATTTCCTTCAACCATGAACCTAGCTTGCGTAGGGAAAAGAAAAGAAAAGAAAAGAAAAGAAAAAAAGGTAAAATTTTTACTTTTTCTGTTCACAGATGGACCTCGTGATCCATTCTGATTTGGTCCGCCGAACCAACCCCTCCGAAAAGAATAAAAAAGATAAAAAAAATAAAATAAAAAGTTGAACGGTGTATCCTTGTTCCCTTCGAAAGGCACGCCCTACAGGTCTTTGACCCGTCGAGTAGATATTGATATGAGTGCATAAAAAGATGCTGCGACTCGTCATAGTTAGAATAGTTCATCCACTGCCGCTGAGAAATAAATAATAATAAAAATCAATCCCCATAGATCCCTCTCGATCGAAAAGCCATATGTAGAAGAAAAATATCATATCAACTCCCTTAATCACAATGCATAAAAGCAACAAAGCAAGTGCCTCAAACTGCAGGCCGGGCTCGTTCTGGATCCATTCGAATTTTCGATCCGCTTGACAATAAAGGCGGTTGATTCGTTGAAAAAAAAAAAAAAAGAGGATAGCGTGTGCGACCATGTGACCCGCTTAATTGCTTTCGGCTGGAATGGCAGGCAGCAGAACATGCCTTTAAGCTTACTTACACGACCTCCAACAGCAATAAACGAGTTTCGCATAATTTTCCGAAGGGGAAGCCACCGAATTTGAGGAGGCGGCCCTTTGATCGATTCAATTGGCTGGGCCTGGCTTCCCATCTCTTCTTGTTGGTCGAATCGTCCATGCCTATGTATGTATCAGCGGTTGCAATCGTTAGCTGAGAGCTCTATAGCTCCCCTATAGCTAACTAACTACGTAGTACTTACTTAGTCCCAAGTATGCATGTTCGGGGTTACATGGTCAACTGAACGGCTGTTGAATGAAATCCCAGATATAATGAAAACTACTCGTCATTGCATCTATTCACATCAGACAAAACAACAGCTGTGAACATTTTGCCTCCCACAAATCTTATCTCTGTTGGCGCGCGTTATTAACCATTTCCGGGGAACCTATTGAACCTATTGAACCAATATTTTTTTTTGGTTTTCACTACCTTTCATTTCTAATCGACGGAGTGGTTTAAAAAAAGTTTTAGTTCATCAGCTGATGCCCAATCGAGGTCCTTGATCTTTGGTTGGCGTATTCGATCCAACGGCCCTTCTCCATGTCTAAGGTTCGGTTATCTTCCGGGGTGGATAATCCGCAGATTAGACAAAAATGGGAAGGGGGGGTTACCGGAGCTTTGGGTACCTTAGTATCCAATCACCAAGCACCTGGAAAAGTATTCTGAAGAGGTAAAAAATGGATGGGGGCGGTGGTGGTGGTGGTAGTAGTAGTGGTGTGGAAGCTATCGATTGATCAAGAGGTAAATGTTGGCGAGGCTGAAGAAATGCAAGGTCCAGCTGTTTCGCCTCGAAAAGGTCGTCCTCGTGGCGCAAGGAACCCGTCGCCTCGAAGTTGTCTCGGAATCTCAAGACCGTTCCCTTTTGCATGATGTATGTATGTACGTACGCATGTACGCATGTATATACTTATGTAAGTATATATGTATGTATGTATGACTTTTGACGCACGTCCCACGAGAAAGGGAAAAAAAAGATGAAATGTCTTTGTCGTAAAAAGAGTTGAAATGGTAGCCGTGCACTATAATACATGAGGGAGATATAACCGCAAAAGAGCCATACACAAAAAGTCCTCCTGACCACACAAATCCGGCCCGTTCCATCTCGCGGTGACACTCCCCTCGCCCTGATAACTAGCTTTTAACAATATGGGAAGGATTAACATCAGTCGCATCGCAGATGTAGACACACACTCAACCCAAATATAGAATCTCTACCATACAATAACATGTATGTCATGGTGAATAAATAAAATAAAAAGAAAACAAGAGGGAATTATGTACAAACGTTGATGGTATTTATAGATTGAGGGTGTGGATTCGATGCGGTGTTGTATGTATGTACCTAATCACAAGAGAGGGGCTTACAAGTAACTATCGGCGGCGGCGGCGGCTGGGGGGAAGACGTGTGCTGTTACTCAAAAGGAGAATCATAGGGAATATCTGGCATATTCCGCAATTCTAGAACGGAATCGATATCGAAGGAGCGTTCTGCTGTTGTTCCATAACTTCCTCTGAAGCATTCTCGATTGATACCGATAACCCGACCTTGGCAGTACTCTGTAAACAAGTTTCTCAAAGTTAGTCAACCATGTTTTCCGACATTGGTGATACCCTTCTGCAGGATCCCGCGAAATGAAACGGCGAAACAGTAGTACGAACCTTATAGTGATCCATCTCTCCGGAAAACGCTAATGTGACCATGGGTGCGACTCTTCGTTCTAGATGGACCCCCAATTTACCGCTTGTGTCGACCTGTGCTCTCAAACTAGATTGTCTGAAATCGTACTTGGCGCCAATTGTGGTAATCCCCTCTCCTGCAAATACACCGGGCCTAACCGGAGCGACCTTAAGGACGCTCTCGACACCAGCCTCAACCCTCTCCGCCAACTTTCTCCAGTAGGTCATCTGGAGAGCGCCGGCAGCCTGCAGACCAGCACTAGCAACCCATCCCGAGCCTTGGTATCGGGCAACATATGAAACCAGAGCCTCAGGAGATGCAGCCATCGATTGTCGCTGCCAGACAGTTTCTAGACCAAGAGAGAGGGATTTCGTGACGGATTGAAGGTATTGACCAATAACGATTCCAGTGAGCCCCCCATCTAGGACGCTAGGGTTGAAAGCTTTGATGGAAGCCGAGAAATCCTTTCCGATATAGTCTTGGTCGAGCTGCAACATGGCCTGCGAGGATCCGGGCGCTACTTGAACGTTCGATCGCGTGACCGACTTTGGTGACCATCTGTAATTGAATCGGGCAGAAAGTTGGCCTTCATTGTCAAGGTTTGCTTGGAAGAAAGTCTACATAAAATCAAGAAAGAAAAAGTGATATTAGCCAATCGCCTATTGTGACATTTAATCGAGTTAGAGTAAAGCTATACATACCTTGTTTGTTCCGAAGAGAGCAGAGAGGTTGTATGGTGGTAAAGATCCTGGCCCACCAGCACCCATGGAAAACGAATGTGAAACCTGGAATAGCGGAGCAATGCCGAATATCTTCGCAGTATCTGCTCTTAATCCGGTAAACTGTAGGTTGGTCAAGAAGACACCCTTGGTAAGCTCAGACGAAACATTCTCGAATGTCCCGGGATTAGGTAATTCGAGAGCGTCCCGTTTAGCAGAGAGCGAAGAAACACCATCATTTAAAAGCGAAACGAGCGGATTCTGGCCTAGCCAGTTAAGTTGGTCCTCGGCGACTTTATCCATTGCGAAAAGACGACTTGTCGGCTACCGACGAGAGAAAGGTGGGGGTTCGGAATCGGGCCGGTTGGAGGGGCTTGGAGGGGAAGACGTGAAGAGAAAAAGCCGTGAAGAGAGAAGACTGGAGATACTGCTAACTACAGTAGGAAAGGATACAAGGCAGGCGATGGATTCCGCAGGAAGGGTTGGAGATTGGAGGCGGTGAAGCCAATGATGGTGGTTGCTGAGAGAGTGGTGATGTCGATATGTCGGAGCGTTAAGCAAGAAATTTTGGGCTTGAAATTTTTCGCAGCAGAACAAAACGCCAAGCAACGTCACTAACATCGGTCCCTGCAACCCCGCGGCTATCGCGGTTATTTACCACTACACGGATAGCACAATCGATAACAGTTTCCGGACCTTCGAATTCCCACGGGCTGCTAGCTTCTAACTGCTAGTTGCTATAGCTCTGCTTGTGCCTATATTACGGTATTGCCGAATATAGGCTCTTGAGACAGGCAGTTGTGTGACCGTGACGGGCCGGTCGAGTACTGGTACCGGAATAGGACCACTACTATATATATACTTTAGCTATTTTAGCTTAGTATATACTTATAACTAAATATATATTATCTAGATTGGTACACGGAATCATAAGATATATGGTATAGACCTAGTTACTTACCTCTAACATACTTCATTACAAATATAAGAGCATGGCCTGCTATAGAGTTCGAGATTTTATAGACTTGAACATACAGTCCAACCGAACTCGTCAACATGGATGTCAGCAGTCAAAGCACTTCTCCACAGCCGATTGGTAATAGCGGTTCAGCTTCAGATCATGCCACTTCTACAGCCCCAATACCTGGTCTTCCCGCTTCTGCTGGCCCGGTGAACAAAGAGGATCCCGTGCCGCAGTTAGTTTGGTTGGTAAGTCCTTTGTTATATCAATCTGATACATTGTAATATTATCATGCCGCCCTATACCCATGTATCCTATCTTTGTATACTCCACTGTGGACTGATAGTCGTTCCTATCACCTTTTCTCTCTCTTTCTTTCCCAAAAAACAAACAAAAGATAAAAGATTTTCATGGAATATCGGGCATCAGGTTAGATTGGAAGTTGGCTGTATCGGTTGCGTCTGTTGCATTTTAAATTACGCCCTAGTCACATGTACAAGAATATCAAGAATATCTGCGCCAATTGCAGGATATCCACACTATTCTATCGTTTTCATATATTCCTAAACTCTGTCCTCTAATATAACCTCGTATGATACGATTAGATATTCGGCGCCACCGGTCATCTCGGACGTTCAGTCTCCGGCATTGCTCTAGCAAGAAATGATTTCGTCATCCACGTCGGGAAAACCGGTACCGATGAGCAAAACCCACCGCCTTCAAACCCCAATGGTGTCTTCACTGTTTGCGATATCAGGGACCGGGAAAGTGTTTCCAAAACGTTCGATAGATCCCTAACTGTATGGGGTAGGATAGATGTCGTGGTAAAGTATGATATCTATGTTTCTTTATTTTCTTCGTTTCTTTATTTCTTTTTTCATTGCGAAGGGTTGAGATTGCAATATTGGGATCTCGTTCTTAGTTGAGGGATAAAAACGACTGTAACGGCATACTGATCGATATTGTATTCTTACTAATAGCTGCGCCGGCTACGGGATCATCGGTGCATGTGAGGACCAGGATGAATACGAGATTCGTAATCAGCTGGATACTAATTTCATGGGTCTGTTCAATATTATGCACCTGACGATCCCATACTTTCGGAAACGAAAAGAAGGGAGGTATATCATATTTTCTTCGACATCTGGGTTTTTAGGATTACCAGGATTGGGAGGTATGGTATCTATACCCATATCTATTCATCTTGCATGCATGCACTCGCACACTAATGAAGCCCAGTGACTTGAAAGCTAACAGGCAAGTTTAGGATATTGCGGATCGAAATGGGCGGTTGAAGGGTTTGTTGAATCGCTGATGTATGAACTGGAACTATCGAATATCAAGGTATCGCTTATTATTACAGGATTGGCGAAACGTGATGAGTATGCAAGCTTTTCGGGAAGAGAACATCAAGGACGGCTGCTGACAAAGATTTGAAAGACCGACTCAAGATACGCATGGTCAAATACCGAACTGGGCTCACTTTCTGATAACAACCCCTTCAGCGCCGTACGCGGGTGTGACTTCGCCGGCGAACCATGCTCGGAGAATGGTACAATGGATACAGGACAAGCAGATAACCAGCGGATTGAAAGTTGCGGAGATGGTCTGGGAGGTAAGATATGGCCGTGATCCTCATAAATTTATATATATATTTATCACTAACCGAAAAACAAAGCTTGCACATTGTCAAAACCCACCGCTAAGACTACTCCTCGGACAACATGCCGTCGAGTCGATGCGTGATAGGCTTCGGTTCACGCTCGAGGAAATTGAGGATTGGAAGCACTTGTACAACCTGGATGATTCTGATATTCAGAACCAAAACGACGGACAGGAGGATGGTGGCGAGATGGAGGATGTGGTAATGTCCACACGGGAAGACGACGACGATTCCAAGTAAACCGTTACTAGCAGTTCAATTGGTCTCGTATACTAGTCGGTCTTCATGAAGGTTTAATGTATCGTAATTGTGTGTGGTATTATGTAGCCCACTCAACCGCCGTGTAGAGTAGATACAAATAATATCGTATCTTTGGGCTGAAGTTCATATTCTCCTTCACCTTCTAGCTCCCAGTCTGCATCGTTGATAAGAACTAGAATCCCAGCCCGCCTGTTAATTATCCAATCATGTCAGCTCTATCGTTCTCTCGTAATTATAACGTAACATATATGCAGTTGTAATTGGATGATTCGTACACAGTGCCGTTTATTTCGAACATATCTCTCCGGGTGTCTTTCATATGGTGGACACATAGATGGTCAACTAGATAGTTGATATTGGCAGCATTGCCATCTTTTGTCTTCGTAGGAAGATCGATATTGAACTTCTTTTCGTTATCAAAGAGGAGTTCGAGGCCGCCACTAAACCCATATCATATATCATATATCAATGGATCCTACATATTAGCTTCAATTCCAAGCCTAACTAGGACAAGATCTCTCAAACTTACGCCAGCTCGATCGTTATCGGTATTGTATCCGCGGACATTGTGCTATTGGAGCTATGACATGAATATTATCTTGAATGGTTGTGGTGGATGTTAATCAAGTGGACAGGTTAAGTTCCCCACAGCCGAGTCTGGAAGGGTGCATTGCAGGGGAAGGGCATCCATCTCCCGCCCCGAATTTTTCGGTGACGAACATTGCAGCCAAACGCGTCTCATCTTCTCCTTCCACTCCGAACCAACCATACCTTCTTCAATTCTCATCTCCACGCACACGAACACGCACATATCAACGACACTCGTTCGAGTCAGCACTTTCACAGATCATTCGATTTCATACCCTTAATACTCACTAAACGTTTACTGCAAAAAACCAACAAATATGGTCGACCGTGGCGGCAGGTACGAACGGGACAATCGGGACAATCGGGACAATCGGGACAATCGAGAACGAGACAGAGGTGGATTTCGCGATGGAGGACGACCACAGCACTTTAAGAAAAGACGCTACCAGGGTATGGCCTGAAATTTATATTCTGCCTATGATTCGTCTTCGGGTTCAATTTCGTGGGACAGCGGCAAAGGCTAACTGTGTCTTGATCTCTAGACGACGATGACCGTGACTACCGCCAGCAGAGGCCTCGCTACGAGGATCCGATGGTCAGACTTAGAAAGGATGTCCTAGCTATTGCAGAATCTGTACGTTGAACCTCTTTGCTATCTTAATGCCATGGGAAGCTAACATATTCTATAGCCTCTCATCAAGGTGGAGGACTCGATCCGATCGATTGCTAAGTCGCTGTCAGCCCATTGGGACCACGAGGCTATCCGCAAAGGATTCGTCACTTTGATCAAAACACTGTATGCACCATTACCACGACCGTCACTGTCGACTCTCCAAGATCCCTAGTTTTCACTAAACTTACATTGGTTTGTAGCGTCGTCGAACAACCGTTCAAAATCCCCTTCGTCGCCGCCATCGTCCTCTGCGCCAATGCTCAAAAGCACGAAATCGGAAAGCTGGTTCTCGATGAATTCGCCGCCCAGCTACAGAATTACCTTGACAACTGTGAATGGCGCAACTTTAAACTTACTCTGAGATTTATGGGATCTGTTTCCTGCATGCTAGATGGCGAAGGCGTTGCGACCTTGCTCAATGACTTGGCCAACCTTACCGGCGATCTGGCTGCTGAAGGAGGGAGCAGTGGACTCTCTGAAGAATTGTCATTTGTCGTTCTTATTACGATTCCTTACATTTTGACATCTGCGCCTGGTGGTATCACGGAGGAGTTTTTGACGACCTTGATCGAACGGTTGGAGGGCATGCAAGTGCCATCTGCCGTCGAGCCTCTTTTGTCGCCATATAGTGGCCCGAATGCGCCGTATCCTCCCATGAATGTAAGTGCACACTAAGCCCCAGAACCGAGTAACAATGCTAATCTGGATGTCAGAATACCACCCTTTTGTTGAACGCCCTTAAAGACGAAGCCGCCTCCGGGTTTAAATTCGAGATTCTCGCCCGTCCATGGGAACCGTTCCTCGCCGAGCTAGAAGCTGCCACCAAACATTTTTTCCCCACGATCACCATGCCAACAGCTCTCGAAGGCGGTACTATATTCCCCAAGGTCTACTTTTCGGTCTTCCAAGGTGCCGTCCACGAAACCGTCCCATTGCAAACATCCATCAGTTCATCCATTCTCCGCGATTCAATCGGTGACACAATCGGCCTCCTCGACTTCAACCGCATTGCATGTGCCAGGTTCCTCATCGATGTCGATTGCTACTTCGCACCTAACGCATTTCTTAAACGTGCGACCCCATTCGACAAGATTCCGGAGGTTTCTGAAGGGAAGTCGACCTGGAAGCCGGAGGACGTCTGTGTTGATGCTATTTTCACCAACATATTCCAGTTGCCGCAACCAGAGCATAAATTGGTTTATTACCATGCTACTTTGACCGAGGTCTGCAAATTGGCGCCTCAGGCGGTTGCGCCATCGCTCGGAAGAGCCATTCGTTATTTGTACAGAAACCTGGAGAGTATGGATGTCGAACTGAGGTACAGGTTTATTGATTGGTTCGCTCATCATTTGAGTAACTTTGGGTATACTTGGAAGTGGACGGAGTGGTAAGTCTATATTCTATCATTGCAGAACGGAGATCTAAGGGCAAGTGTATTAATTTCCAAAATTTTGGTTAGGATCCCCGATCTCGAATTGTCCAAGGTCCACCCACGCCGTTCGTTCATCCAAGAAGCCGTCGAAAAGGAAATCCGTCTAAGTTTCGCCAACCGCGTCAAATCCACTCTTCCAGAACAATACTGCGAATTAGTCCCCGAAGACAAGGAAAAGGAACTACCCGACTTTAAATTCGAATCCGACGACATCGCTTTCCCTGAGGAAGGGAAACAGCTTTTGAACCTCATTCGTCAGAAGGCTCCAAACGAAGAAGTCGACACCCTTATGAACGCCATTACCGATGCCGCGAACAACAAGGGATTACCTGATCCTTCCAAATATGCAAGAGATATGTACATGACCTGCATCTGCCATATCGGAGCGAAGAGCTTGAGTCACGTCTTGAGCTGTATCGAACGATGCAAAGAAAAACTTACACAGTTGGGTCAAGAATCCTCGCAAGCTCAGCGACAGATCGTTGGGACGGTGATGAGATATTGGGCTGATCAACCGGGTATCGGAGCTAATGTTATTGACAAGCTTTTGAATTACTCGATTTTAACGCCATTATCTGTTATCGAATGGGTTGTTCTTGATGCTGGCGGGGAGGTATTGCCGAGGGGACATGCATGGGAGATGGTGAATACTACGACTAGGAAAGTTGTTTTGAGGACTAGGAATTTGGCGAGTGCTAGAGGGGAGGATCTGCCGGAAGAACAAATCGCTACTGCGGAGCAGCAGCATGAAGTTGCGAAGGCGGAACAGGCGGAGTTGTTTAAGGTTGTCATGGAGGGGCTTGGAAGGTATGAAGATGGAGGAGTTGTGGTTGGCAAAGAAGGGACTAGTGGGGAGGATGTGGAATTGTTGAAATGGTGGGCTGCTAGTTGGTTGAGGGCTTTGAAGAGGCAGAGGGATATTGAGGAGGCGGAGGAGGCGATGAGGGTTAGTACTGGATCTGGAGCGGGGGCTATGGATGAGGATGGGGACGAGGATAAGGAAGGAGGGGATGATGAGAATGCTATGGAGGAGGAGGTTTAAATGCAGACTATCCTGACTGATCACAGGCATGATGATGTATCTATTGGTTCATCACCAGGATCCTCAATCAGTACATTGCGATGGGTGGATGGGATTGGTAACTTGGATATAGTGGATGATGGAGGGGGGTTCCAGAAGTGTAATTTTAGTCATAGTTTTCTTTTCTTCTTTTTTTTTTTTGTTTCTTTCATACATGCATGGCAGATATTGTCGACTTAATCCCAATCAACTATGAGTTAACGAATGTAGTTTTACGACAGACGGATAGATTTCATACTCCAGATTCAATTCAATTCTATGAAGTTCAAATCGTAGTTACAGTATTCTAAATAAAGATCCTTGGATTCTAAGAACTTTGGTGTGCACTATAGAGCCGATAAGGTGTTAATTGGGCGACTTAAACCACAATCTCGAGTTATAAAAACTTCGAGGAGGTCTTCGATATCATTGTTTCATGTTAGACTAACTACTTGACTTACTATACAGCTTGATTTAGAACCATCTCTCTCTCTGTGAAGAAAAAAATGTAAAAACCGTCGAATACAGGACTTCTCTTCACGTTCCATTGCATACAAGCACGATAATGCATGCCATCCATACGCAAAAAAAAGCCATAGACACATAGCCTCGAGGCCAATAAAAACATCAGTCAAAGAGAGGGAAAAGAAGAAAAAGGATAGTAGTAGTACAACGATCCCAGCATAAGAAGGACGATCAGAGGGAGAAGATCAAGAAAAGGGGAACATAGACGCCATAGAAAACGGGAAGAAGAAAAAAGAGAAGGAGGGAAAAAATAAGTAACTCCACCGGTTTTTTGGTTTGACGCCTGAACGATCAAGGAATAAAAATACTAGATATGCGGGCGAAGAAGAAGAAGAGGATGAGGATGAGAAGATGTGAGAGCTATATGTAGATTACTCTCGAATCTTCGGTGGTCCTTGTAGGTCAAATATCTGACTTCCAACAATTCCCCTGCTGGTATTCTCCAGGAGAAAAGAAAGAAGAAAGAAGAAAGAAGAAAATTAAACCCTTCAGCTAAGAAAAGAGAATAAATAATACTTCTTAACCCAACCCCCCAAAAGCACCTCTAATCCTCCTAGCCAACTGAATATCCTTCTGCATGATCGTAACCCTCTTAGCATGGATAGCGCATAGATTCGCATCCTCAAACAAATGTACCATGAACGCCTCCGCCGCCTCCTGAAGTGCCAACAAAGCCTGACTTTGCCACCTCATACTCTCATTCGACCTTTGAAACTGCGTATTCACGATATCTATCTGATCCGCACAGATCTCTCGGACCAATCGGGAAAAGGGGAGTTTGCGCAGTAACAGGTCGGTAGATTTTTGGTATTTGCGAATTTCGCGGAGAGCTACGGTGCCCGGTTTGAATTTGTGAGATTTACGAGGAGGGAGAGGGTCGCCGGCTGTTTTTATTGTTATTATTAAAATTTATAATTGTTAGTTTATATATCTATTAACTTTTTAAAAATTGATTTGTTTGGGGGGGGGGATTATAATAGGTTGGTAATTGGAACTTACGTTGAACACCAGATGAGGATCTACGTTTGCCGCCAACGGTTTTGGAACCTATCGATGGCCTCTTTACGGCCATCTTTGTGGAGGCCATTTTTTTGCGATCGATGGGAGGTAGGACCAGATAGTAATTGATGGATGGATGGATGGATGTTAGGTCGAGTATGTATAACTGCTTTCTATCCCCTTCTTTTTTGTTCCCCTCGTTTTGCGATTCCCTTTTTTCTTCTTCCACCCGCTTCGAGTATTTTTGATGATAAAAAGGTACTTAGGTATAAACTACGGACTAAGGTGTAGTTACTGCGATTCAAGAGGGAATCTGATAGGAGTCGAGTCGAGGCTTTCTCTTGTTTTGCGGGTGGGATGGATGAAGGGGGGGAAAGTGAGGGAGGGGAAGGGTTTGATATAAAACTAGATGTCCCTTGACAACGGGGATAAACAATGACGATGATGATGATGATTCTCGAGTGAAGCAGTGTCAAGTAGCTCTTATGCAAAAAATAAAATGACAAAAAAAAGGAGCTCGAAGGATGGAGATATTCAAAGAAGATTGGAAGTAGATTAAGAAGAAGAAGAAGGAGAAGAAGAAGAAGGAAGAGAGAGCTGTTGGAATAGAAGCCGCTAAGTTATAAAATGTATCAAAGGAGAAGAAGAGAGATTCAATTCAATTCAATTCAATCAAAGTGCCAATATTGGAATGGCTGGGACGCGTTGACCAACACATTTCTGGCGTTTTTGTCGCGTGGGATTTTCCCATTTTGGGAATTTATTCCCCTGTCAAACACACTCAACGCGTCAACACGCCAACACGTCAACACTTTTCTTTTTTTATAGTGGTTCTTGGCACTTTTATCCCATCCCAACCTCGACACCCCCCTTGTTACCTACCCTCTTACTCACTTAACTAACTTCATACATACAAACTAAGTCAAAAATGGACCTCCTCAAAGGTCCAATCCGCGAAGGCAGTCGGTACGTCCCCCTCCTTTTCCCCATCCCAATACAATCCTAAATAACATTCTAACAAAATAAAGTGGCGGCCGCGACTTCAAATGGTCTGACGTCAAAGACTCCAAAGACCGCGAATACTACCTCGGCGTCTCCGTCAAAGCCCCCACAGGACGATGGCAACAAAACCGTGACATCCAATGGTACTCCCGCGATCAATCCGAAAACTCTGCAGAAGCAGAAGCTCTACGTCGTGAACAACGTTTGGAAGAAATTCGAAAGATAAAGGAAGCTGAAAATGATGCTTTGAGCGCCGCTTTGGGGTTTAAGGTTGTTAGGAGGGTTGATGATGGTGCCGGTGGTTTGAGTCAGGGCGAGGTCGATAGGGCTATTAAAGAAGCTGGGGCGGGGGTTGATGAACGGGAGGAAACGGGGAATGAGAAGGGAATTGGGTTTGGAAGGATTGGATTGGCGGCTTTGGGAGGCGCTGGTGGTGGGGGTGATAGGGAGGTCATGGCTGGGGATAGTTCGAAAAATGATAGTGAAGTCAAATGGAGACCTGCGCCTGCGCCATCGAGGGACGCCGACAAGAGGGATGGTAGGGACGACAGACGGAGGAGAGATGACCGCGAGAAACCATCGAGACATCGTCATCGGTCGAGGTCGAAGGATAGGTATAGAGAAAGGGACAGAGAAGGGGAAAGGGACAGACATCGACGACACCGTTCAAGATCAAGGTCTAGAGACCGTGAGAGAAGACATGAAAGCGATAGGCGACGACGAGATCAATCTAGATCCCCGCGTAGACACGATGACCGCAGAGACAAGAGAGATCACGATAGACGAGATCGGGATAGAGACGACCGACGGCGTCGTTGATTGATATCAGCACCACATCCCACCTACCCTCTTCCGCATAATCTTTAGCATTTCCACCGGCGTCTAGGAGCTCTTTTATATTTCATTCCAGAAAAAAAATTGTACATTATCATCTCTTTAGCTAGCGCGCATTATAAATTATCATGTAAAATGCATAAGTATATGCCTCGCTCGCTTTACTTCACTAGAAACCCAGAGATCTTATAACTCATCATGTCCCGGCACCGGAGTAACCTCCACCGTCTCAGGCAAAGCCATGATATTAACCACCAAAGAAGTCCACCCCAAAAAGTGCTGTACTCCCTTCCCATTCCCTTTCTCCTGCTCATATTGCTCCCATGCAAACCCTGTCTCTTCCCATACTCTGAACACATTATTAACCACGTTCTTCCTGAGCTCAGCGTATAGCTTCGCGGCCTTTTGCTGGTTAGGTCCTTTAACCGATCCGTATTCCTAAAAACAATTATTAGCTTCCTGATATCCCTATCCCACTATGTAAAGTTATTGTAATATATCTCACCTTCAACCTCAAAACCGCCAAATAATTCATATTAATCCACACGGGACCCCTCCAATAGTTCTCCCCTTTGCTATAAAACTCATCCTGACGGCTCAAACTTCTCAATCCAAATGGACTCCACAGCTGTTCCTCATCTCCGATTATTTCTAAAATACTCTTTAACTTGTCATCATCACTCACTAGTCCCAACAAGAACGGGAAAATAGAGACGTATCCAACATGGCAGACATGTATATTCTCTTCGAAGGCATCAACCGTTGCATCGCAGTAACACCCGGCTTCTTTGTTCCAATGTAGATCGTCGATGTTGTGGAGGATAGCTTCTTCGTGCTTGCCATATTCTCGGGCGTCATCTGTTTCTGAAATGGCGATCGCAATGTTCTTCATTAAACGGGCAGAGAAACCCATCCAGCTTAGTAGATCGACATGAAGCTCGCTTGGATGTGGTGGTTCGGCGCGAGGGTAGTCGTCTATACCGCTGGTGAGACAGTAACCAGGAGCCCTTCCTCTCCATCTATACCCTTCCTTCATAGAAAATGCATTCCTATCATACCCTCTAATATCACCTGCCTGCGTATCTCTAAACCAATAATATTGTCTCCTCAACAAAGGATAAACGTTCTTCAAATAGCTTTCCGCAGAGGCCAAGATGGCATGTGGGATTCCATCACCTCCAAACTCTGACATTTGTTCCAAGATTTGTGAAAGTTCGCCAGTTAGATTCGGGTAGTTTGTTGTTGATGACCATTTTTCGATGAATCGGGTGAGGACTAAGAGGAGGGTTGGAGGGTTTGCGTAATGTGGGTATTGGGTTTGGAATTCTTTGGGGACTTTGGAACGGGCTTCTTCGCCTAAGATTTGTTCGCGGGCTATCCAGCCGTCGGCGTCCATTAGGTTGAACCAGCTCCGGACGATTTCCATACTAAACAGATTCTGTTAGATAATGCACTTTCACTTGGATATGGTTTAAAAGGGATATGAACATACGCGAGGTCAACATCCCACTCGATAACCGGTAACAAATGAAACCCTTCATCCCACAAAAACCCACGGGGGAAGAATTGTCGACTAGGAACCGAAGTATATAAAGTCGTAGGGCCTTCCAATTGTCCCAATCCTTTCTCACGATTAGCCTTCGCAGGTTCCCAGAACCCTTCTTCGTCTTCGGGGTACTCAGAACGGTCGACTATAGAAGTGCCGTGGAAATATCCAATACCACCGAGGAGGTTGGAGAAGAGATCTTTTGCGAAATTGGCGTATTTGGGAGAATCGAAGGGGGCATAACGCTTGAAAGTTTTGGAGAAACGGGTATTAAATGATTCAGTATTCTCTTGGATCTTTTCGGTGAGAAGTTTTGCTATAATATTTGTCAGTATATAAGCTATAGATATCAATCTTTTAAGGAAGATCTTACATGTCATCGGCTTTGCAGCAGAATCCGAGGAGAAGAGAATATCAAACTATATTAGGTATTAGCCCCGGGCCCCAAGTAAGAAGCTAAGATGGAACTTCGAATGTATACATACTTCAAAGGCGCCCTCATAAACTCTCTGTACGAGATGAACATTTCCATCTTTCCCTTCCTCCGCATACTTTGGCGAAAAGGTAAGAGCCTGCCACGAGGGCGGTAAATTCTCGGCGCCGAACTTCTCCATAAGCTTGTCGAATCGGGTCTTTAACTCCGCGAATATGATGTCTATTTCCAATATTAGCTTTCCCTGTTATATATATATATATATATAAAGGTTGAAGTTTTAGAGAAACCTACTTTTGACCCGCCAGATATGTTCAGCAGGATAACTCCCCACACGGTACAAACTTCTCGAAACATCAGGTTCATCCTCGACGCCCTGTAATCTAGAATCTAACGCCGTCGGGCCGCTGTTGGTAGCCGGACCTTCCGTCAGTTCGATGTGGAATTCATCGAGGCCTTCAACGTTCCCTTTGAGGTTCACAGATCCTTTGATTCCCTATTGCATTACCATATTAGTCTTGTTCCTAGCCATATTTGGACATCGATATATAAATACCGCTTGATCCGGTTCGGTTTCCAATAATAATTCGCCTTCCTCATCTTCATTTGTAGCCCAAAAGAAGACGGTAGACCTAAGATTTTGGGGTGCTATTCGTTTCAATTAATATATACCCCCAACATCCAAAAAAGAAGTGTGTAGACATACCATCCTCCCTCGGTATGCCTTTAACTCTAGCACCCCAGCTACCGCCTATTGAAACAGTTAGTAAATAGTTTACGACGATACAAAAAATCATAAGGGTGTAGAGGGGGGGGAATACCATTTCTCCCACCAGGAACTTTAACCAATTCAATTTCTATATCGATGAAATTGGCTTGATCATGGATGACCTGCTTTCCACCGGTTCTAACATCATACTCTACCCATCCATATCCCTTCATATCATCACTTTGTTCGCAAGTATGTCTGATCGCTACACCCCCCAAAATCAAAGAAAAAAAAGACAGCAAGTTAGCAAAAAATCCCACTTCAAATAAATATAAAAATAAACAAAAACCATAAAACCAATTTATATTAAAAAAAGAAAGGAGGAAGAAAGGGAGAGAAAGGGAGAGGGAGTAAATACACTTCTGCGCCTGAGCATAAGTATCCAAATTCCCCCAAACCAGTCCAACACTCAAACTCTTTGGAATCCGAGGCCTCATGCCGAAATACAAACTGGGATTGTAAGGGCCCCATAGTAAAGACTGATTCGACACGCGTTGGATTTCACTCGCAAGAATTGTTTGGTCTGCTGCAGCGGCGACGATAGTCGTGCCGGTGGTCCACAGAAGGGATACCAGTAAGCCTGGTATATGCATCCTTCTTCATATATTTTAATTTCGTCTTATTTGAATAGGTATTAAGTAAGTAATGATGACGGTTTGGACCTGCCAGTTGGTTTAATAGTATATTGTAGGGGCAATTGGGAGCTCTCTTTTGAGCTGGGTCCTTTCCCTTCGACGCGCGAGGTCTGGGTTTTGATTGCAAATGAGAGGAAGGTATATATTATGCGTTACGTTTGGCCAGGTAGACGACTTTATAGGTTAACGTACATACAAGCATACATCCTTGCTGGGTTTGGCTGCATTGAGGTTCTGGACGGGTGCACAACGCAGTTTTGACAACAGAATAGTATACTTGCTCCATAGTAAGTGTACACCCAAAGGTGCTTAGGTACTTTGCTTTCGAGTTCGGTTTATTAATTATGGATCTTAGTGGGTTATGATTAAGGGAGTTCAGAGAGTGAGGATGGGGGTAGATTGGATTGTATTTGATGCTATGACTGTCTGTTACTACTGGACTTTTCGCTAATGAAGAGACTCGTGTATTATAAAGAACGTTAGAACGTACGGCACCCGCTTTGATATATATTACATCCATACAACTTGTCTTCAGACTTGTATTCGATTATGCTTCAATAGATGCTTAAGAGTTGTGAATGCATAAACTCCACCTCTTAGTCGGGAATAGGCGATAGAGCTCTGTTGAACCCTCCAGCACGGTTCCTACGAAATGTTAGTATTCTTCACCTCGAAAAACAGCGCTATAAAATGATAAAACGATAGAGAGGAGGGTAGGAGAGGGGATACGAACATATACTGTCTATACTCCGCCTTCTTCTCAATCTTGACGCTACCAGCATTATTCCCTTCTACTTTCTTTCCTTTCGTGGTCCCAAATCCTCCAAAGCCCATCATGGCCATCATAGCATCCTCTCCATCATCGCCACCACCGTTCATGTCGACATCATCATCACGTTTTGATTTACTGTTTTTATTGCTATTTTTGTTACCGTTTCGATGTGGAGGCGAGCGGTGACGTTTGGATGTAGAAGGAGAATGTGAGCGAGATCGAGAACGGGAACGGGAGTCGTGACGTTTTTGATAGCGATCACGGGAACGACTTCTGTTTCTTTCTCTGTCCCTATCTCTTTCTCGATCTCGGTCTTTGGGAGGAGGGGAGCGAGAGCGATAACGGCGTTTTGAATCGGTGTCTTGGTAGCGGTGGGAGCGGTCTGGGCGTTTACGGTAGTCTATATTTTTCTTTGCGATTAGTATAACCTGTTCATATAGGAGTATAAGAAGGTACAGGTATTTGAGGAATTACCATCAGGACTTCTTGACCGTCGCCGTCTGTCGTTTCCATCACGTTGGTCTCTCTTAGGGTCACCGGTGACAGGGGACCGACTTCGCCGACGAGCATAGTGTGGAGAATCTTGGGCTCTGTGACGGTCGTCTCTTCTGTCGTTATAGTAGTCGCGATTACCGCCACCTCCTCCACCACCGCCGCCACCACCTCCTCCACCTGGACCCCGTCGGTTGTCTCGTTTCCTTCGGTCCATGGTTGGTGAATGTGTATTTGTGAGTCGCGTGGTCGGGTAGTCGCAGATGATGTCAGTGCGTCGCGAATGATTTGGACGGAATGTGGTATTGGATTTAAATGATTCGAGCGTATATTATTGTATTAACTACAACTGATTAAACAGCCATAAGGTTGTAAGAGCAGGCGTAGCTGAAGTTGAAGTTGTAATTGAAGTTGAAGTTGAAGTTGAAGTTGATGATGTCGGGTTTAGAAGTTTGAATGGGAAGATGAGATGAAACCGAAAATGCGGCTGTGGTTGCTCTTAGTTGGTTGATGCGCCGCCACCAAACCCAGCCATCCTTCCCTCCATCATCCATCATATCCTCCATCTTGTCCTTATTCTCCGACATCGTCGTCTCCGCAGCGAAACCACCGTAAGGAAAGATCCCTCGCATACATCGCTATTATATCACTAAACATCTTCAACTTCCTAAAGTTTTACATCAACAGGAACTCCGGGCGGGTTTCCTATTCTCACAACTCCGACCGACTACATACATCCCTACATTAAGTAGTTGCACACCAAGCCTCGTCGTCATCACTTATTACGCTCATCATGGAGTCACGGTTATTCCGGTTCCCACTTCCAACGCTCCCATCTGCTCAGACCCTTCGAATATTCGGTGTCTACTCCTCCGGTGGATTAGTACGTTATTTCTCCCCTCCCCAGTCTTCCGGGGTTTACATTCCGGATTTGAAGGCGACAGAAAACACCCCTCCTACTTTTACGTTTTAAAGGATACTATTTGACGAATATAAAACTAATATTTTGGATACCAAAAGTTCGCTCTAGGAATCTGGTTTTTCTTGGATGCCGCTATTTTCAGTAAATATGCCAACCCGGGGACGGTACATGTTCAGTTTGTGGACTGGATTCCATCGATCTGTAGCGTTTTGGGGATGATTGTGTATGTCACCCATTCACCAACTCACTATCACAACTACAAACTATAAAAGAGAGAGAAACAGAAAAATATTAATGGGATATATTTTTGGGGTATTATAGGATCAACTCGATCGAAAAGGCACGGTTGTCGGCTGAATCGTTCTCGTTCTCTGGAAGTAATGATGCATGGAAGGCTCGACTGGTTCTATTCCTTGGGTTTGCATTGATGGCTGGTGGACTTGCCGGATCTGTGGTATGTATTACCATAATACTATTTCATAATATTATACAATACCATCAGTGGTATGACCGGTGGGGGTGGACGGTGGATGAAGGTGACTAATGGATATCGATGTCTTTTTATAGTGTGTCCTGGTGCTTAAATACGTGGTACCGGAGTACCCGTTCCCGACACTCTACTTTGGAATCGCCAACGTAGTTGCAAATTCCTTGATTATGCTGAGGTACTTCCTTCCTAATCCCTTCCCGCTCACGAGTCTAGAGTTCTATATAAGGATCGAAACTAACGATATATATCAAAATGTAGCACGGTGGTGTTATGGGTGTCCCAGAACTTCGAGGACGAGTATAACTACAGCTTAGCCCTGTAAAACAAGGAAACAGAGAACAGGAAGGGAATAGAAGCTTATACTTTTTTTCCACCTTGGTTTTTTATCAAATAGTTAAATTATAAAAACCTCAAAACTTCGATCGTCGTCGCTATCGTCCACCATCGTCATCGTCGCCGCCGCCATCATTATCGTTCAAACGGGTTCTTTATTTATTTTGCCCCTTCGTACAGCGTTTTCCGGGGATTGCCGATGCGGTGAAGTTTGAGCGGGAGGCCTCGAGGGGAGGCAGGCATGCATGGAATACGGGATACGGGACACGGGGGGTGTTATTGTATGGAGGGACATAATTCGGGAAGGGGGGGTTTTCTATTAGTAGTTGATTGTTAATTCAGTCTTTCTTTTCTTTCTTTTCTTCTTTTTTTTTTTCCTTTTTGAGATATCGTATGTTCAGCCTGACAGCATGAATGTTATCGAGTTCAGTTTTTGTATATGTAAGAAAGTACTTGTTTGAAGACGAAGAGGAAGTAATATTTGACATGATGAAGGGCGTTTGTCTGGTCTGTTATGGTCTGGTCTGGTCCAATTGATCCCGATTTCGGAATATATGCAGCCCATCGATGGCGACATCGACTAGCGCCTTGTCGATTATCTAATGTAAACTGCCTCTGTTAATATGTCTCGTTTCTGTTAAATTCTTATGATTTCTCGAGGTTTTTAAATTATTTTCTATTCAATTGAATTGATTCTCAGCTATCTTCTATTCGGTTGTATTATATTACATTCTTCCTCTTCTACAGTGCTATAGTACAGCTACCTACAAGCTACATAATATCCACCATGGCTACGTATGTCCCCCCAGATACTATCCAGTATCCCTTCAATATTAGTAGCATAGTAATAATACGAACTAAAATACAATACAATCCAGCAACATAACATGGCACCAAGGCCTCACCCACGCCGAACGTACCTCGTACCTTAACCAGCCCGGCCTAACAATCTGGCTAACCGGCCTCTCCGCCTCCGGAAAATCCACGATCGCAATAGCACTAGAACAACACCTCCTCCACAATTCCTACGTCTCCTACCGTCTGGACGGCGACAACATCCGTTTCGGTCTAAACAAAGACCTAGGCTTCTCCCCCGAAGACCGAGTAGAAAACATCCGTCGTATAGGCGAAGTATCAAAACTATTCGCTGACAGTGGAACAATCGCTATTACCAGCTTTATAAGCCCTTATAAGGCCGATAGAGAGTTGGCGAGGAAGCTACACCAGGACGCTGGGTTGGGGTTTGTGGAGGTTCATGTTGATGTTCCTATTGATGTTGCGGAGGGGAGGGATCCTAAGGGGCTTTATAAGAAGGCTAGGGAAGGATTGATTAAGGATTTTACCGGGGTTAGTGAGAATGCGCCGTATGAGAGACCGGAGAGTCCTGAGGTTTATATTGATAATTCGGAGGGGACTGTGGAGGATGGGGTGCAGAAGATTGTGACTTATTTGGTGGAGAAGGGGGTTTTGAAGTTTCCTAAGGCTTGAGGTGTTCTATACTACCGTATATATCCTTTGCTTATATAGAGGGACACACTATATATCTATACCTGTTGTGGTTTATAGAAGGAACGGTATACATTACAATGTTCTTGTCTGGCATTATTATAGTAGCAGTATGTACACGATGAAGAGGTGAGAGAAATAGTGAAATATAAGTAGTGAAATAGAAAGAATTTATGGAGTGGGATAGTCGTGGTGGTGCATTGTCGACATCAATGGTGGCCGTCGCTGTCTCATAGAATTACTCCGATGTGACCCACCAGACCTCATACTACCATCTCCACTCCCTCCTCCTATCACCCCACCACCCCCACCTACTCCTACCCCTCCACTTACTACCCCTCCATCTCTATAATTACTACCCTTATCGATACTATCACTATCGGTGGAGGTATCCGGTGCATGTTCACGGGTTGTCCGTTTCCTAGGCCATAAACTAGGCAAGACTATTTGTTGAAACTTTGGTTCCACCACTCGTTCATCAATCCATGCATGGATCCGGGATTCGATCAATTGTGCGATTTTGGGAACATCTTGAAGACGTGATCTTGAGCCGACTAGTGATCGCACCGAAAGTTCGAGGCGGTAGTCGTCTAGGAGGGAGAATGTTAATGTGGTCGAATTCGAGGTGTTCTCTTGCGACGGTATGAATGAGATTGATAGCTTTTTATACAATATATCAGTAAACATATATCTTTTGATTACAAAGGAGAGCAGATTAGAGCTTACCGTCCCCGAAAATCTCAAAATGGACACCGACAGCCCAACGGGTAATACCGCCACCAACGGCTTCGGATAATTCAACAGCAGCCTCGTTTCCACTCCCAAAGTAATAACATCCGACAAATCCACATCCATCCTCGCCTGTAGCTTCCCGGGCTCATCGGGACTCGGTGTAATCCTACAATTACTAAATATCGGAAAATCCTCTCCCAAAGTGATTTCCGTTATTTTAATAGTATCGAGGAAATCCGGTTTATTAGGTCCATTTATAACTTTATTCAAACTATCGAGGATAGCACCGTCCGTTCGAGCATCGTCACGGAATTGAGCGATCGCTTGGGCGATTAGGACGTTAAACCAATCTAATGATTCGGGTTGGTGGGAATGGACGTTATAGTATGTTTTCGAGAGTATTGTGGCGGTAGTTAGTGGCGGTGGGTTTCGGAGGACGCTGGTGGATTTCTTCTTGTGAAGTTTACGACTACTGCTGTTATTGCGTTTCGAACGGGAGGAGGAAGAATCGGTGGATGGGTCGCTGAAGATGAAGTATTTGATGAATGCACAGATCATTATTATGACGCTGAGCTGACCGATAAGGAAGCCTTGGAGGAAAGACCAGCTGTAGTTGTCCATTTGATTGAAGTTAATTTCATGATCTTGTAACCCAGATTATCAGGAGTAGTATAAGTGACGATAATGACGATAATGATAGTAATAATGATAAATGATAGTAGATGTAAAAAAAGAATGAAATGAAATGAAATAGAAGAGAAATAACCTAGTCTCAAGAATAAGGCAGAGCTGACTTTGAAGACGACCTCGGTACCAGAGGTTGTAATGGTGGTGACTGTGAATGTGGAGAAGATTGGGATTCGGCAGCGATATTCGCCGCGACGACAGGCTGATTTTGCGACGAAGCCGAAGCCATGTTGGCGGTGCCAGCAGTTATCGAAGGAGTAGCTGTTGTAATAGGCTGTCGAGGCTGGGATGAAGAAGACGGAAATGCCCAAGTCTCCGTGGCCGGGCTGGTCGACATTTACTCTTTAGCACTTTACCTTTACGTAAAGTGGCTATTACCGTAGCTGGAGCATTTGAAGCCCGTGGAGTGGCGGATAGAAGTCGATTGAATGGAAGGATGACGGTGGTGTCTGGATGCATATGAGCTCGGTGACGACTGACGGATGGAGTTAGATGGTGAAGAAGGGGTTAAAATGTAACAAAAACAACAACCGTTGACTGCTCTGACTGCGACGCGACTTAATTCTGCCATTTGTACTGCGTTCGACTCATCACGATATCACGTATATCATCAGATATACGGAACTTGATGCACGATAGATCTCGAATTGCATCGAGGATTCCGTGATATCTGATGATAATACTACTTCTTCCACTACTACTTAAAGTATCTACTCGAGTATACTAGTAGAAGAAAGAGTATCGCCACAATGAAGTTCCGTTCAGACATCCACAATATCACCCTCCTCTCCAGTAAGTCTTCCCCCTCCCCCTTCCTCAATTTATACTATATTGAGTACCTAGGTATGTATAAAATAGATACTTGAGTAAGTAAGTACTTACATATGTATTTATGAATAATACAGAAGTCGCCGGTTCCCTTTCCGTCGTCGGAAAAATCGGCTGGCTCCAACTAACCCCCTCCCATCTTCAACTCCGCGTCCTCTCCACCTCCGATAACAGTCAATCCCAAGTCTGGGCCACAATTTCATCTTCTTCGATCTTCACCGATCCCAAGATCTCCTCTGCCCACGATAACATCATAAACCTCGAAGTCCCCCTCGACACCCTCCACCGTTCTCTCAAATCCGCTGCAAGTTCTTATACCTCAGCCAGTATAAAACTTACAAAAAAGGAAGGAATCCCACGTCTAAGCGTCATTATCACTACAGAGACAGCTGCAAGTATGAACCATGCAAAGATTGTACAGGATATTCCGGTTAGAGTCCTAAGTCCTCAATCCGTGGCGCATTTGTGTAAACCCCTTGTTCCTCGACCGGGTTGTGCGGTCATGTTACCGCCGTTGAATCAGTTGAGGGGGATTACGGATAGGTATGTTAAGATGGTGGGAGCTAATGGGAGGATTGTGGTTGAGGGGAATAATAATGGGGTATTGAAGATGAAGTTGGACGCTGAGGCTGTGAAGGTTGAGAGTGAATGGAGGGGTCTTATCAACCCGGTTGTTGGAGAGGATGGAGGGATGGAGTGGGAGGACGGCGAAGAAGATGAGGAAGACGAAGAGCTGAATACTCAGGAGAAGGAGAGATTTTCGAAAGTTATGGTGGATAGTAGGGATTGGGCGAAGGTGGTGAGGGTTAGTGCTGCTGGGAAGAGGGTTATTGCTTGTGAGTATTTGCTTCGCGGTCTTTTAAATCTCCTCTGTTCGGGGTGGCTTGGTGAGATGCTGACAGCGGTGGGGTAGGGCTGTGTAATAACCATTCGCTCGTGGTTTATGTATTTTTGGACGAGGAAGGGGATAATCAAGCTACCATCAAAGTAAGTCTTCTATAGACCCGATTCTCTTCGTTCGAGGTATACAAGCTGACTCTTTTATCCTAGTACTATGTTAGTTCCATGGTGGTTTAATCTTGAGACTAAATTACTACGGAGATAGTGTCTCTGGCTTCGAGACTAGGAGATAGTAATAGAATTTGATTCAATCAAATGAATAGCCCGATTATCAGCAGTGTGCCGAAGGGTTTTAATACAAGACTACCCGATTACAAGGTATAGAAAAAACATTTTTAATGCCATGTTACTCCATTAACAGCATTTCTCAAAAGAAAAAGAAACAAACAGCATCGCCTTCATCATACATATTCCATGCTAGAAAAGACATGTGCTTCGTATATACCAATCATTCCCGTACGTTAGACTCCCAGAATAGTCAAATGCCCCTCAAAAGAACCAAAAGGCCAATAAAAGAGAAACCAATAAAAAACCAAAAGACGAAGGAAAGCGTATTACAATGATTTCGTTAACGTGATCCCTTTTGCGAAAGTTGCAAAAAAGGGTGGTCGAATGAAGTTCAAAGAAGTAGTTTGTGAATGGAGTTCAAAGAAGGTCTTTCGGATGGACGTAATATAGGTAGGCGGGTATATTATATCCTCGTGGCGGGAAACCGGTCCCTAGGTTCGTCATCCACAGGTGTCGGCGGTAGCTCCCTCAGATTGCTATTATTCCTCCTAACATTCCCACCCAACCTCTCATCCCTTTCCTCTTCTTCGTCGGAATCGCTATCTCGGAAACCTTCTTCAAGATCTCGGCTTAATCTTCTCCCGTTTCTAGCGTGAGATACATCGATATCTTCGTTATCGGAGTCATATGAGATGTTATCGGGATCGAGACGTTGGTAGGAAGAGTCCATCCAACCTCTAGAACGGCTTGTGAGAATAGAAGGAAGGGATTGGAGGGGTATGTTGTAACGGGAGAGGATTGGGCGGATGGCGTGGCGGTAGCTGAGGAAGAGGACGGCGGCGCAGATGAGGGTTAGGAGGGTGGTCTGATCTGTCCTGTTAGTTGTTTGGAGCAGCAGTAGAAGTGATGGGAAACTCGAAAAAAGGGTAACTTACGGTGACGATATTGGAAGTTGTGGAAGGCATTATTGGGCGGATAATTTAAGGATAGAACTAGAGGAAGATAGAGGAAGTTAAGAAGGGTTGAAGTTCGAAGTTGGAGTTGAAGGAGATGATGGTGATGGTGATGATGGGATGGTAGTTGTAGTTGTAGTTGGGTGAGGTGAGGTTAACGTTAACGTTGGGCGGGTTTCATTTTTGTTGACACACGTAATTTCGTATTACTATTTCCATCCAACGACACCAATTCAGTTCCGCTGTGGCGCGGTCCAATTACAATTACAATTACAGTTCTTATGCAGAAGCCGAAGCCGGTGGCACAGCTGCTCTCTGACAGGTATGTACATACGTTTCTATATCGGGGATGTCTGTAGATGGTATCCTATCTGGTCGCTGACGGGTATTTAATAAGGTTGTTCCTACTGCTATCGATAATCTAATATACTTTATATCTGCGCATGCATGCAATGGCATCATGTTTATCGACTATCGAGTTTTTAACGTTCGAGCTAAGCTCAATTATTAATTACCAGACCGGGTGCCTTGGAAGTGCAGGGGTCGCTTGAACTGCTAAATTCCGCACCGCTGCTGCCAATTCCTCGCGAACAGACATGTCTCGTCTCCCCCCGTTCGCGTTCCTGCAGATGCCTCCCTTAGGTTCCAGACATACATATGTACATGATGTAAGTACTCAGGAACATACTTGACGACATACCTCTAACTCGGTACTTACATATATGCATATTTACTTACTTACTTAAGCACTTACATACATGTATAGGGATGGATTCGAAGGGGAAGAGGGGAAACAAAGTATGCGAACAGCGACGGTGGCTGTCGTCCAACGAATTGCAATTGCATCTAATCGCTGGCCGCCCGTTTCGGTCTAGGCAAGCGGCAACCAATCGCTCGTGCTCCGGCCTGGTGTGGTTGTGGTTAATCTCAATTAATCGCCCAGCTTTTTTTGTTTTTTGTTTTGCCTTACCTACTGTGCTGGGCCTGTACTGTGTACTAGCATACATAGGATGGAAGCACGCATGCTAGGCAAAAGGCAAAAAAGCAGGGTCCACCAGGGGCGGGTGTGGTCGCAATTCGAGGGTCATGGAAATGATCATTAACCTCATGGTTTGCCCTTGGGGTGAATTGGATGGGATGGGTGGACAGAAGAAGGTAAGTACCTGACCTGATTGTAATTATAAACATGCCGCATGTGGAGTAATTTGGGGGGGAAGGGAAGATTCGATTTCGATTGAGGAGGATAACCTCTCCGGCATGGACATGGACACCATGGGCCTGTCAGGGAGGAAGCCTTTTTAGCAGGTGAAGCAGAATTGAATTCGCTGAAACGTAACTAAACAGAGAGAAAGAGAGAGCATAGGGGGTCACTTGACAGGTCTTATAAACTATTGAATCCCCTTTCGATTTCGATTTCTAATTCTTATCCTATCCTATCCTATCCTATCCTATCCTATCCTATTCTATCTAACTTCCCTTCACGTTCATTTATAATAATAATTATTTTGGATTCTAGAATTACAGGAATTAGTCCTGCGGGCGACGGAATCTTGTTCTGAATAAGTCAATGTATAGCCAGCATCAGGCAGGAATAACACCGACACCTGCAGACGCCGCGATTCTAGATCCGGAGCTTTTTCGTCGAAGCAGGAACATCGATCCTTTTCATCTAACCTAAACCGCCCCTCTCTTGCTCTCTTTTCTCTCTTTTTTTTCTTCTTCTTTTATATTATTGTCGTCGTCATTATCGTCATCACCATCATCAGATATTGAGTATATATGCATGCATACTATCTATATCCATATTGTCATATGTATAGATAGATAGATATACTAATATACCCACTCGGAGTAACCAAAGACCAAAAAAAAAAAAAAAGACTCAAGAGTGGATGTCTTGTATGTGATCAAACCGTATCATATATTATCGAATTCGAATGAAATGTACCTGTGACAGTGACAGGTTTAACGTTGTTTCATGATTGCAATTGACCCAGCCGCCGCCCAGCGAACATTGCAAGCACCAAAAAACCCCAAGTGCCTCATTCGGCCTCCTTCTGATTCTAACTTCTTCGGTCTCCTCTTCCTCCTCAATTCAACCACAGTTATCGATATCGTCGGTATAATATCATAATAAAGCGATACATCTATACGGTTCTTTTAATTTGTGGGAATTAGCTGTATACTAGTATATTATAGTTACTAGTTAACTTAGGAGGTCGTTTATACGTTTAGAGGTTCGACAACAACAATAGAAACACACTCCGGTGCACCCCATCGAATCGACTGTTCCTCTTCTTACCTTTCTCGCCCCCATCGATCTCTCACATCTCCTTCCCATCTACAACATCCTCTGTCAACCACACTCTCAACCACCACCACCATACCTTCTCCCTCCTCCTCCTCCCTCCTCCCTCGGCGGATATCTTTCGCTTCTGACTTGTCGCCATGTCGGCCAGCTCCAGGCTGTTCGGCCGGAGCAAGGGCAGCAAGCAGCATTCGCAACAGCAGGCTGCTCCCTCGATAAGCATAGGGGCTCCCACGAATTTCGTAAAGCAGACTCCTCCGCCCGAGATAGGGCTTGCTATGCAAGCTGGTTCTCCTCCTCCCGTCCCGATCAAGCATGGTGTTCATTTACGGGAAAGCATCCTTCCTAGGGCTGCTAGTCCCCCTCCCAATACCCCCATGGTGAGCTCCAATATCACCACAATACCAGCATACGACCCCAGTCTCGGTATTGGTGGTGGCTATGAACCTGTACACATGGAACCTAGGAAAAGCATATCTGAAAGTGTGGATAGACGGTCGGTACCTCCTTCGAGGTCAGGTCATGATGGTCACGATAGAGATAGCACATACTCGAGAATCTCCAGTTTACCAGGCGGTCCCCGGCCCCAACCGTCCCCCGGTATGCCTCCGCCTAGCTCCAACAACCACCACCAACAATTTCACCAGGGTCATAGAGCTTCCGGATCGCCAAATGCTTCAATATCTTCCGTAAACTCGTCGGGTGTCTCCACCGATCCTAGACACTCTACTGACCTGTCTAGCATACACAGCTCTGGAGGATCTTACAGGAACAGCATTTTCGCCAGTATGGAGGACATGCCCAAACCCGGTTCCTACAACTTTTCCAATATGATGGGTCCCTCCCAAACCGCCTCTATGCCACCTGGAGCTGCTGGTGCCTCGAATTTCTCTTTCCAAGCCAATCCCCACGCCAACAAAGCTCACTCTTATCATCACAAGACGACCAAGGACCACGATGTCGCTAATTCGAAGTCTTTCTACCTCGAAAAACCTAAGGATGAGAGGGTCATCGAGCAAATGTTCTTCGACTTGATGAATAGACGGGACTTCAAGAATCTTCCTGAACAGGCCAAAAGACAAATGCAGGCATACCCGGCGTCCAAGAAGTGGACTTTAATTTACCAGGACCGTCTGTCCGAATGGGAATCTGATAGACGGAGAGATGCTGCTAGAGATAAAGCCAACAGCATGGCCCTTTCAGCTGCTGGCGTCGTAGGCGTCGCAGCTGGAGTCGGTGGCCTACGATGGCATGATGCTGTCGATGAAGGAAGTCCCCAATGGTATGTACGGAAGCTCTACAGTGACTGCCAGGGTGGGCCCCCAATCACTCCCCAACAGCTACAGAGCTTAGCTGTTAGCTTGCGTACCCAACCACTTTTGTAAGTCTTCTTCCCATACATGGAAACTTATCACTTCATACGATTTATAACTTCTCACTAACTGTTCTTTAGATGGGTCAAGGACTTTTTGGAGGCCCAAGGTCAAGTCGCCTTGACTGAAGTGCTCTCCAGAATCAATCACGATAAGAAGGTAGATTTGGATAAGGAATACGACCTCGTAAAATGTTTGAAATCTTTGATGAACAACAAATATGGCGCAGACGACGCTCTCCGACATCAATCCTGCATTTTAGCGGTCACAGCATCGTTAATATCTCCACGGCTACCGACCCGAAAGCTTGTTTCCGAAGTTCTGACTTTCCTGTGCCATTGGGATAAGCCAAATGGACACACACGAGTGCTACAGGCGATGGACCAGATTAAGGCGTCAAAGCCTGCGGAGATGGGGAGATTTGACGAATGGATGAGAATCGTGGAAGTTACGATTGACGGGCGAGGCAAGATGGGCAGTATGGTGGGCGCATCTGAGGAAGTCCGAAGCGGTGGAGTTGGCATGGAGAACTTGTTAATGGAATATGCCCTTAGTACGCTGTTCCTTATCAATGTCCTGGCCAGCGGAGCGGAGGATATCGCTTCGAGAATCCATACAAGATCTCAATTCAAAGCATGCGGTTTCGGACGTGTGATGAAGAAGATGCGAGGCTTCAACTATGAGCTCATCGATAAGCAAATTGAGAAATACGAAGAAGATGCGGCGATTGATATGGAGGATTATCTCGACCGGGATAATGTACGACCTGTCGATAGCTCGCTGGGGGGTGATGATGAAGAATCCGTTGCGCCCAATACGGTGAAGGATATGAACGATCCGGTTCAAATTGCGGAGGCTATTCAGAAACGAATTGGAGGAGAAGGAGAGGCCCATGACTTCTTTGTCAGTGCCATGCAAAACATGCTACTCGCGAAGGATAATGACCCGGGAGACACGCAAAGGATATTTCAGCTTATTAATTCTATGCTGTCATATGTTGTCATGGACCGACGATCTCCTGATATGGATCTGAAGTCGTCTCTTAACTTCTCGGTGCAGGCACTTCTTGATAGGCTACATACCGATCAAGAGGCTCGACTAGCCCAAGAGGCGGCGGCTGATTCCAAGCAGCTCGCTGAAAGTGCCATCGCTGAACGCGATGATATGGCACAGAAGCTTGAAGCTGGGTCGGATGGTCTTATTGCAAAGTTGCAGAAAAAGATCAAGGAACAAGAGAAGATCATTCTGATTACGCAGAGGCAGAACGACAGTCTCAAAGCGGAATTCGAAGACCTACAACGAGCTCATATGCAGCAGTTGCAGCGAAATGAATTGGAAACTAGAGAGCTGTATCTTATGCTTCGGGATGCCAATGACCGTGAGAGCTCGCGGACGGCTAGGCGGAATATTTCTGAAGGTACGGCTGGTCTTCAAGGTGGTGAAGCTTTCGGCGGCAGCCATAGAAAGGTTTCGTCGCGAGTTAGTGAGGATATTGAATCTACCAAGAAGCAAGGAATCCTGGACCGCGAGGCTCTTATGCAGAGACTCGAGCTACAGTTGGAGCGCAAAAAGACGGAATTCAAACTTGAGGGTAAAGCGTGGAAGGAAGTCGAGCCGAGTGATGACCTCAGACGTGTGCGTGAACGTATGGATCAACTACAACGTGAGGCCAAGGAGGTTGAACTTCGACATCTTTCGAGTCTTAATGAAGATAGTGTGGGCTTTGGTGCTGTTAGTCGGCCTCTCAAGCGCGGTAGTGTCGTCGGACGAGGTGGCAAGAAGAACAGGCCATTGCTCAGTCCTGCCGATGCTAACGGCGAACCGTCGAGTGATGCTGAAGATGGATCCCCGGTCGTTTACGAGATGCCTAAGATCATACAAGTTGGGAAGCGTCCAATTGCGAAGGATGGTAGGGGTGAAGTACCTGCGGGTGATGAGGCAGCTGTCGACGGCACCAATAAGGATGATAAGACGGCTGATAAGTCGGCGGGCGGTTTTGGCGGCCCTCCACCTCCACCTCCACCCCCTCCTCCTGGTGCTGGTCTTGGATTCTCAGCCGGCGGGCCTCCTCCGCCTCCCGCACCGCCTCCACCACCTGGTATGCTCGGATTTACAAATGCTACTCCTGCACCTACTCTACCTGGATTTGGAGGCCCACCACCACCTCCTCCACCAGCACTACCTGGGTTTGGGGGAGGTCCGCCACCACCTCCACCACCAATGCCAGGATTTGGAGGCCCCCCGCCTCCACCACCTCCAGGATTGCCCGGGTTCGGAGGTCCTCCACCGCCGCCACCTCCAGGTCTACCTGGTTTCGGGGGCCCACCACCGCCGCCGCCACCTGGCTTGCCTGGGTTTGGAGGCGGTCCACCTCCTCCACCCCCTCCTGGTTTGCCTGGCTTCGGGGGCGGTCCACCTCCACCTCCACCTCCTGGTCTTCCCGGCTTTGGCGGTGGTCCTCCTCCACCTCCACCACCTCCAGGAGGCTTGCCTGGGTTTAAAGGTGGGCCTCCCCCTCCACCTCCACCTGGTTGGGCTGGTGCTGGTCCTACTCCTCCACCTCCTCCACCTTTCCCGGGTATTCCTCCGCCTCCAGGTGCCAAGGGCCCCCCGGGCGCGGTCGCAGCACCTCAACTCATCGTTACTGCTGCCCGGCCTCGCAAGAAGCTCAAGCCAATCCATTCTGAAAAACTTGACGGCATTGACTACACATTTTGGGCTGGGGCGAAGGCTGAAAGAGAAGGTCTCTACGTCGAACTTGGTGAAAAGGGTATCTGGGATGTTCTGGAGAAGAATTTCTACCTGAAGGAAGCCAAGATCTTGGGTGGCGGCGGCGGCGCTAAGAAGAAGGAGAAGAAGTCGTTCATTGGTAGCGATATTACAAAGAAGCTTCGTAAGTTTTCTGTCTCAAGATTAATTCGGGTTAGTGATACTAACTTCATCAATAGAAATTGCTTTAAGCAAATATAACTCAAATTCCGTAGAAGAGTTGGTTAAGAGGATCATGCAGTGCGACAAACAGATAATTAGCGATGATGCCGTCATGGAATTCTTCCAGATTGAGGATCTTTGCACTGTCCCACAACTTGTCCTTAAGCAACTGCTACCATACTCCGTTGATTGGAAGAGGCCGGATGTCGACCCGCAGAATCGTGATAGCGACCCTAATGAGCTCACTCGAGAAGATCAGATTTACCTAGAGACATTCTACAACTGCAATCATTACTGGTTGTACAGAATGAAGGCCTTGAATCTTACGCGTAACTTGGAGAACGACTATAACGATCTTGTTGGAAAACTTGATCAGGTGCTTGAGGCCGCCGACGCTATCAAGAATTGCAACAGTTTCAAGAGTATCTTGGAGGTGAGTGAATTATATCAGCTGGTATTCAATAGAGCGGATGCTAACATTCATGGTAGCTTATTCTGGAGTTGATGAACTACATGAACCCTTCCACAAAATTCACGAACGGCTTCAAGCTTGGCTCGCTTGCCCGTCTGTCGATGACCAAGGACGCAACCAACCAGACAACATTCTTGGATCTGGTTGAGAATACTGTGCGAAAGCATTTCTCACAATTTGATACTATTCTAGATGATCTTGCGCCTTGTTATAAAGTTACTAGAGGTAAATAAACTTATCTCGCTGCTACCCATGAAAACTTGACTGGTGTACTAACAAGCGTTTTAGTTAACATCGATCAAATCCAAACCGACTGTAACGCCTTTATCAAAGAAATAGAAGTTGTCCAGCGACAGATCGATAGCGGCAAGCTCAGTGAACCTAAGAAGTTCCACCCTGATGACCGAGTCTTGCGTATCGTTCATCCGGTTATGCCGGACGCCCGTGATAAGGCTGTGTATCTCAAAGCCCAATTGGATAACATGGGTGAAACCTATGATAAGCTACTGAGAATATTCGGAGAAGACCCTAAGGATGAGCAGTCTAAGACCACATTCTTCCCCAAGATTGTTAACTTTCTTAAGGAATATGAGGTACGCTCTTTTTATGTTTCATATTTTCTATTCCAGTATCCGACTAACCACTTATTCGGAATTTTAGCAAGCACGTAAGAACAATATGGATATTGAGAAGAAGAAGGCAGATTACGAGAAACGCTTCAAGCAGAAGAGCGCCAAAGCCGCCAAGGATAAGTTGGCTACCGCTACTGGACCACCTCCATCGCCCACCGCAAATGGTGCCATGGATTCGTTGCTGGAGCGACTGCGTGCGGCCGCCCCCGATGTCAAGAACCAGAAGGAAGCACGCCGCCGGGCACGCTTACGCTCGAACCATGCGATAAAACGTATGGCATCGAACAATTCGCTTAGTGGCGTGACGGACGGTGAAGAAGCATCAGAAGGAGCTATTACGCCCACTGGCGAGAAGGCAGATCCAATGGCCTCCCTAAAGGTGATCAATGAGACTAAGAGTGCTCCCGCGCCCGAAATTCTCGAAAACGGTGCCCCAGCACCACAGTCGCCAACAGTGTCTCCCCCGGTTGATGATGCGGGCTCTAAAGCCGCAGCTATGCTCCGAGCATTGCGCCCCGATGCAGCTGGTAGTGATGTTGATGCAGATGGTGAACCTGCTGCCGCACGAGTAAGGCGAGCAAGTACGGCAGAGACGGATAGGCGTTCTAGAAGAGAACGAAGAGCCCGGGCCACGAAGAGCTCGGTGGGAGAAGCTGATGGTGGAAGTAATATATCACCCATGGGTACTTTGGATGCACGAGCAATGCTAGCCGGCATGAAGGCCGTCGCCGATGAGCCGTCAAATGAGGAAGCCGTCGTAACTGAACGAGTCCCAACGCCGACAACGATAGTATCACCACCACCAGAGGATGCGTGAACGAATGAAGGGGAAACGACACTGATAACAGTTTTTTAATAACTTCATTTTTCTTAACTTCTTCCCTTCTAGTAAATATTGTTTCCCTTCCTTTTTTTATACTCTTTGGGGGGGTTCCAAGCCTTTCTGGTACATTCGCTCCAGGTGGCATATGTTGGCTCGAGAGGTCGTGGTCTTCTTTCTTTTTACTTTTTGTTTCTGGGAAATGGAAATGGGTTCACGACTTTCTGGGGATTGTAGATATTTCAAGCCTGTCTGCTTTTCTTTTTGTTTCCTCCCCTGCATGCATTTTGTTTCTCTTTTCTTAACTCTATGGCACTCATAATGATTCCAGGTACTCATGAATGCCCTTTACCCAACAACTTAATTTTGTCACAGATCATCTCTTTAAAAATTTTTCTTATTAGTGTGACATCCTCTGGCGACGGGGCGTTCTAGTTTTTGTCTTTTGTTTCCTTCGAATTCATTTCTTGATGGGAAGTGCGGCCACCGTATAGTTTTTTTGGGGGTTATACCTCTACTCTACTCTACACGCTCCTTCTTCATTTCAACTTCCTCTTCCTTGTCGATAGTTGGCATATTTCTTGGTATTCAGAATGGCATATCTTTTCGGGATTTCAAAGTTGAATTTCCTGTTCTCATACTTCTTCTTCTTGTTCCTTTCCTTCTATATTATTGTTATTATATATACCTAGCTAGGGTACGTACCTGTCTATAGAACTATGGAGTGTGTGGATTTACATCGATTAATAGTGGTTTATGTGATAATATATTTTATGTAACTTGCAAACTTAATTTTTTAAATATAAATTTATAAACGATATCGATTCCTTTCTATCTCTATACTAACCCGATGAACCGGCAATATGCTTCCACCAACTACCCACTAGTATACACACTCAAGTATTTTTTTTTTTCCAACGCTGGCTGAAAACATTTCTTGTAAAACCGAGAAGATCGGTGATGTATATATACACTACCTACCTAAATGTACCCACAAAAAAAATAAAAATAAAAAAAATAGACATCCTCCGCCTTAAGCCCCCTTATCCTCTCAAAAGTTCATCTTAAGTGCAATCTTCGGTGCCGCATGAGCTTCCGTATCCCTATGTCCCTCCTGACCAACTCTAACCCCAGCTCTCAAAGTATCTTCGAGTAACTGTTTCTGCTCTTGGTTCAATCTCAACAGTATTTCCTTAAACAGCAATTGATTCATAGAGATCAACTCCATCAATCGAGCTGCTGTATCTCGTTGTAATACGTCGATGTTGTCTGGGTCTCGTTTGGAGCCTAGTGCTAAACGACGAAGGAGGGTTTGGATTAATAATGGAAGTAGGGTTTGTTCTATATTTTTGGGGGGATTTTGTATAGTAGTTAGTCATCTTGAAACTTTTTAATGTAGTATTGTAGATATATCATTTAGAAGGGTGATGATGGGATTTAACTTACTCTGCCCTTCATCCAAAGTATTCACAAACCCATTGATAACCACCATAACCGCATTCTTGCTCCCTTCGACCTCCTTCGCATCACTCCCCACATAACTCAACAACCGAGGTAATAAGATCTTTACAAGTTCCATATCACTCCCGTTCTTAGGTTGATACATGAGTACACTCCTACAACACGAGATCGCTGTTTTGACAGTAATAGTATCGCGAAGACCGTCTATAAAGGCGTCGCAGACACGAGTTAATAATTCGTCGCTGGCGGGGATCATATTGACTCCGGAGTGGATTAGTATTACGAAGGCGAGGAGACAGTTCCGAACACAGATCATTGTGGCTTCGGTATCTCTACGGCTAGCGGTTTCGGCGACATGAGTTAGTTGGGAGAGGGCGACGCGGAGTTGGATTACTAGAGTTGGTTCTTCTGGAGTAGTTGCGCTGGCGACGGAGGATTTGCGGGTTATTAATTGGATGAAGCGTTTAAAGATCGGGAGGGCCTTTGGTACCACGGCGATTTGGCAGGCGCCGGTTGCGAAGACGGCTATCCGGGGGGGATTAGTTACTGTTGGGTGAGTAGGTAGGGTGGAGCGGTGAGGGTTCTTACTTGAGAAGATATGGAGTATGCAAGCGTACAAGTCCATTCTTATGACTGCAGGGAATACTTCTGCTGTATCGACCAATGCGTCTAGGGAAGCTCGTATGACATTAACAGCTTCATCCGATAGCGGGCCTCGAACTGTTGTATCCTTTCATTTAGTCTTTGAAGCTCGGAATATATATATTGGGGGTCGATAACATACCTGTCTTCGAATGATCATTCAAATTCGGTAGCTGATTAGCAATAACGAGAGTAACAAGCCTTGTAAGCTCGAACATTTGATTGATATCATCAGAAAGACTCTCTCCTTTCGCATTACTATTGTGTCTAGCGGAGGGGTGCGAAATGCAAAGCCCCCTAGCGATCTCCACGACTGCCAGCTGGATCGCAAGTCCCTCAGTGAGGACAAGCCTATCTAGAAGATCGATCGTTTCTGTAAATATAGCTTCTTGGTAGATAGCATGCCCAGAGACAGCGGGGTGGAGGATTTTCTTCAGAGCTTGAAGAACTTCTAGGATTTGTTCTTTCGTGGCAAGGATTTCCGAGCCGCCAGGACGTCCTACGAGAGCTTCGAAAGCAATGCCGAAAAGAACAAAGAAGAATGCAACGGGTTCGTCTCTGTAGTTTATTCCGTGCTTGTCGATATGGCCCTGCGGAGCCGATGCAGATTTTCCATCTAAAGCATCGAAGACGAATTCGCTGTCTTGTTCAATAAGGCTTGCAATGGCATCTACGAGGTCAAGCCATGAATCTTGGTAGAACTGTAGCACCCATATGTTAGCTATCATCCTAAGAGAAGGCAAATATCGCATCAATTAACTAACCTTGAGCAAAACATCCCGATTCAACGACGAATAGACCACATCCAACGATCCGGTTATACTACCAGACCCACCAGCATTCATAGAAATATCCGGTTCGAATCTGAGTCTTGCGAACTCTCTCAACGAAGCAAGCCACAAAGGTGCCAACACTACAATATGTGGTTTTACAACATCAACGAGGTAGTCCTGTTGTAAGCTGGCAACCTGAAGTTCCGCCCATGCCGAAAGTAGGGACATCTTCACCATGACCTGTGCATTGTACGAGAGACCTCGTAGGTCACCAATGGATGCATTTTCAGTATCATCTATCGGACCGTTTAGTTAGCAAAGACAGCTAAGAATAATTAGAGCAACGTTATATATAGCTTACTAGAGAATGCTTCCAATGCTGTCGTCAGAAGCTTCAGGATACGACCCATACGATCGATGTCCTGTACAATACCCGTCGAGATAAATGCAGCACAGACATTCAGCGCCTCCGATGCCAACTCCGGACTAGAATCAACAGCAAAGGCCGGCGTCAAAGCAGATGCAATCTGTGCTTGGTATTGCTCAAGTAGCATAGCCTCTGGGAAATCCGGATCTGGTGTTCGCCCAAATACCTTGAGGATTTGATTGATAACTTTCAACCCTTCAATCCGAAGTGCAATGACATTGGCAGTACTAGCGGTAAACGCCATTTTAATAATGTCAGCAATATACCTCAGTAAAGTCGCCGTTCCAGCTTCGCCTTGCTTTCCGAGGATGTCAAGTATGTCAAGTAAGCATTCTATCGCAAACGTCCTGACTTGCCATCTCAATAACTCCTGACCTGACCCGGCGACATTACCGCCGTTTGAATTGTCTTCATTTTGTGCAGCTGCGGCAAAACCTGCTACTTCCTCATCTCCCAAATCGATGCCACCTCCACCTTGCGATTTCAGTGCGTCAGGGTCAACAGCTACCCTACTCCTCATAGTAACCATCACATTTTGACATCTGGTGACCCAATCTCCGGCTGTGAGGGTAGTCAACTGAGCCACCCAGTTCTTGAACAAGTTCTTTACCTGTTCATAATGCGGGCGGTCATCAATCAACTCCCATAGCCTTTCCGTCAACCCAGAATCTGCAATCTCTACAATCCTTTGAGCATCAGACTTCATCAGCTGATACAATCCGTCAATAGCAACTTCTTGAAGCTCCAAATCTAAGCTTTGTAGAAGGCTCTGCAATCGGGTTGTGTACTCTTTTAAATCTAGCGTAGAAGTAGCGTATATAGCGAACTGTTCATACGCTCTAAGCGCCCCGATCTTTACTGTCACACTAGTGTCAGAATAGAACTGGCTCAAGAGTGTAAGCATAAGTTCTCGAGGTTTGGTGAGTTCCATAAGATCCGGGCCAAGTACTCCCACGAGCGAGTCACAGCATCGCGCAAGTACTGCCGTCGTATACAGCTCGTCCTCGAGGTTACCATTAACAATCGCCCCGACCTCTTCATTATGGGTGTCTGAGACGTACACCTGGGCAATCATCCCAAGCGTGCTTCCCACATATCCAGAAAATGTTAGACCTCCCGCATCTATTGTCCTCGCCATGCCGTCCAAGGACCAGAAATGGACAATGGGGTGGGGGTCATTCGCAAGTGACATTAAAATGCCCAAGATAGTTTTCAGATGAAGATTTGCAGCCATACCCCCAACATGGGTCTGAACACAGCCCATAGCGACGGCACACCCGGCACGGGCATTAGGGTCTCGATTTGATACCACCGTATCAATTAAATGCTTTATCTGAGTACCCGTAAAGACATTTCCACCGATGTTGCACAATCGACCTATTGCTTCCGCTGCAATATTTCGCACAAATGGGTCCGAGTCCAGCAAAAATCCGTTGAGCAGGTCTTGGATAATTTTCAGAACATTAGATTGGCGGAAACTGATCTGTGCTTGCTGATTCTCCATTTGAACAAGCTTCAGTACACCAAGAAGCGCGACTGCAACATTGACTGTGATGGCAGCTTTGCGACCAGGATCGCGGGCTAGGTTACTAGAAGCAAGGAAATTTGTCGTCTGCTCCAGTATACTTTCCTGGACCTTTGGTGGCTGGAATGGGAGCAAAAGTATAAAGAGATCTATTGCGGTATTGACAACTTCTGTCGCTGGAGGAGCTGGATTAGGCAAATCGCCCAGAGGAACTGTGTATAAACAGACAGAATCGTGCTCCAGGCCTCCTGGAACAGGTTCATTAAGCTGAAGAAGTTAGCAAGATCCGCAAACTTTACTTATTGGAAGGACTCACCATTCTATCGATCTGGGATGAGACTGAACCCCGAGATGTCCAATGTTTATACCCAGACACCTCACTGGAATCCTTCCCCAGTTTCTCCCATGCATAGCTATCGACATCGAGACCATGTATCAGACTACAGACGCCAAATGCATAGCCATCAGATACATCCCACAGCCCATCAAATGCACCACTTGCATTCTGAATCTGAGTACTCAGGCTGCTCGGCGTGTATCTATCCGGGTCTGCAAAAAAACTAGCAACCACTGTCATAAGATTGCCTTGGAGGGCTTCACCCTGTGCAACTTTGACGAGTCGGATATAACATTGAAATATGCGCCGACGGACCATAAGGTCCAAGTCGAGGAGATTCAGTGAAGGTGTAAGCTTTTGAGAAATATCGTCCGTCTGCTTCCTCTCTGGTAATGTATTTAGGAAGTGTGACGAGTTCTGTAACATCGCAGCTATTCGTTTTCCAACATCTGTTGTGACCAACCTCGCATTAAATTGCAAGAAACAGAGAATTGAACCTAGAGCACACTCTCTGACATGAGCCAAAAAACTGAGCTCTAGGAGGCCTCTATCGTGTAGCGAGTCTTTAGCAAGAGGTTTTGGCAGGGCGTTTTTCCATAACAAAAGTAGCTGCGATAAATGGATCTTGACGAAATTCGGTCCAAGAGACATGAGTCCACCGATGAGAATCCACGCAACTTGGATTTGAGTACTCGACGTTCTGAGGTCAGAGTCCCCGCTGCTTTTCAGAAGAGAAGTGGCCAGATTCAAGATTCTCGAGGTAACATCAATGGAGCCGTACAGCGGTTGTAGCGGAGTAGTGCTGATGATAGCCGCCATGGCATTTGCAAAACTAATGCTCTTTCTGAAAGACTCTGCGGTTGCTCTTTTCGAAGCCAGTAGCCCGAGCTCTCTGTTGACATTGTTCATGCAGATTGTAATGATTGGGAGAAGCTGAGAAGGAACTGTGGTGACAAACGATCGCAGGCACCAAGCAGCGTTGACCTGAACTGTATAGCTAGGATGCTGTAAAGCTTGTAGAAGGCCTTCTCGTATTATATCTTGAAGGCTAGAAACTGTTGATTCGAGGGTCCGTATTAATGATGTAAGGGCTGTGAGAGCTGCTCCTAAGGCATACTTCGTCGGCTCCGGTCTTTCTTTGATAACTTGGGGGTAGTTCTTGAGCACATCGTTGCAGAGATATCGTGTAGCCGCGAGCTGACCGCTTTCACCTAGCAATTGCTCGCCGACGACCCGTTCTAGCAGAAATCTAACATGACGCTTGGCAGCCAATAATCTGAATCTGTTGAGCACCAGCCCAGAATGCGATAATATCTCCGTGAAGAAGTGGTTGGCGATACGACCATAGTTGGCTTCGACAATTGGGGATCCAAGCCTGAGGAATATATCCTCGTAAGTAAGAGCCAAAGTGGTCCGGACCTTTGAGTTCGTGGAATGTTTGACGTATATTATAGATAATTGACGAAGCATATCCTCCAAGGTAAGCTTTAGTCTGTTGGATTTCTTGGATGGTCCCTGACTAGGTGTCTCTGGGCGTTCGATTTCATCCTCATCTTGTGGCATTGTCGATGTTCTCTTGAGCTTCTTGTTAGTCTTCTTAGGGGCCTTCATAGCCATGACCTCATCGACAGTACCAAACGCCCGAACTAAAGCAGCAGCTAAGCATGAAGCTGCTGCCTTGCGCGTGGACGTACTCGATGCTTCCGCAACTCTCAATACCGCTGTCTTGATATGTTCGACATCACTCGAAGAGTCAAAGTAACCCGTTTCTCTTGAGCAGTTTTCAAGGCACTATAGTTCGAGGGTGTTAGATAAAGGTGCTTCATCTGGTGATGAAATAAGAAGGCTGACCTTCAAAGCGCCCATAAGTACGACATGCGATTTTTCCGACGATATTGCGCTTCGAGCTTGCTTCCAAATATCTCGAGCTACAGTCTCGTCCATTGAAGAACCGAGCATTTTCACAACCTTCGAAAGTGCCACAAAGCACGATGCCCGTAGTCCCGCATGCTACATCCAGTAATTGTAAGTGATCCGGCGGATATAACTTGTAAACTATTGGGGGGGGGGGGGGGGGGGGTTAAGTAACGTACGGTTTGAGCGAGCTTGTACTGCTTTAACAAGGAGCTACACGACAGCGACGAAAGTGACAATGCCTGTCACAATAAGTCTATGTAAGATACTCGTCAAAACTTGGTTGTTTCGAAGTGGAATATCTCCACGGCCAGGAACTTACACTATCACCCGCAGTTCTGAAGACTTCGCCCAGACAGTGAACTGCCGCACTAATAACATCATTTTGGTTAGCAGCGCAACCTTCTTCATCACAATTACATAATGTGATATTTGTGCTAGGAGACCCACTGCCGAACTTTGATGTCCTTATCCCCCTTTCCACCCCCAGATATCATAGCATTCAGTTCATTGATGCTCTCAAATAGCAGCTTGCGGTCTCCTCGCCCAAACGTCTCAGCCAGACACACCCCAGTAATATCTCGTGTAACCTTCGCCGGCGCCGGGGAGGTCAAATTTAAGATTTTAAATATTTCCTTCTTAACAAAGAATTGATGTGACGTAGCTCCATCCTTATCGAAAGAGAGCACAAGCCTCTTGAGGTCGGCTAGATAAGATAGGAGGTACAGCTCCTTCTGCTCGTTTGGGAGGGATTGAAGTTTATTGACATCCAGAGAGACAGTAGAAGTCTGCAAAGGTCGATAGGTATCGGTGTCGGCGGTACTATCCGCCCCGCCGTTTGAAGCCATCTTAAGCGCGGGTACTTTGCCTTGTAGGGGACGTACTCCTCTCTCGCGTGTCTACAGGCCTCGTCAATGTCGCGTTACAATTATCATACGTAGAGTCGCAGTATCAGATCATACATTTGGTTAAGGCTTTCGGCTAGCTCGTAGTTGTAAGGATCGGGTGTTTGGATTGACGGTAAGTTAGGTAATAATAGCTGTCCGGCGAGCTTGAATGGAGAGGATGCCAACGGTGTGGTTCGTCAGAGCAGCTCCGAAAGCAGCTAATTGCTATCTCCAGCTCAAATGGCACTTGCGTTGTGTGGTTTGAGCTCGGCTTGGCAACTATAAAACTTCAAGACTTCGGTTCCGAATATTTGATATCTGCACCCATCCGCCCTTCGTATGAACCGTTTAGAATACCCGGACTCTTGGTATTCAGATGCAGGATGTCAGTGCATGTTTATCGACGTCTTCGGACTTTACAGCGGGTTATCCCGACTTATCCTGCCAATCGGCTTATAGGAGGCGCAATTCGAAGCAGGCCTCAAACGTCGACTCGGCCCTTTGATCACGATATTACATTTACAGCCAGGACCTTTTGTGTATCTCCTCATTGTCAATCCGGTTAGTGAAGGCATGTACCCAAACACTATCGCTAAAAGGGTTATAGAGGCTAATTGAGATACAAATATGCATTTATAACAGGCCATAATAAATGGAGTAAAATTCGACATGAGAAAGGAAAGAAAGATGCAAACAAGGCAAATTCATTTTCAAAGCTTTCCGAGCAGATTACTGAATATACGAAACGTATGCTACCAAAAATATTATATTGGCCTACTTGATCCTTGGAAATACATACTAAATGATACGTATATCTGTTCAGGTTATGGGTCGGATCCAAAGACAAATGGACGACTGAAGCTTCTGTTGGATCAAGCCAAAAAATGTGTGAGACTTCTCGAATCCCACATCCAGCCTTAGTCCAAGAGAAAATTTTTGAGATTTAACTTTTATGATGTCCAGCCGGCATGAGCGGAACTAGTATGGAAAATGCTGTTAAACGGGGCCAGGGTTTATCGATATCGGGGAAACCACTCGAGACGGTTAACATCGAGGGAATGACACAGGAAGGTGTTTCTTTCATTGTGTAAGGCCCCCGACCCGCGGATTCTGTCGTGACGAATCTGAGACTAATCAAGAAAACACTAGCGAGTGTGTAACTGACAACAAACTAAGGTATGTTCCGGCAGGAAAATACTGTGCAGAAATTTCAGACCTAACGGTAACGGCAGGACACTTCAAGATGTTAGGCTGATTATCAACAAAGCTGGAGGGAAGCTAACACCAGTATCATATCTATTTGTGAAACATCCTTATATGCACCTAACAGGGCCCGAGGACTTGTCACCGGAAAATCAAACGGCGGCACTTGAGGACCCTATCCTCACATTGCCGATTGAGTATGTTGGCCTTCTCCCCAGTGAAACATCAACATGGGAAGCCCGGGTTGAATATTCGGAGCCACCGATGCAACTCGTGGAAGATATGCAAAAGATACTACCAGAGGGTTGGTCTGTGACAAAGACCGGCCTAAAATATTATCCTTCGGACCATGTCCAAGTTGAGGATGAAAGCGAAGCAGGGGATGCCTTTAGAAACTTTGTGGAAAAATTAGAGGATTGCTCGGATGTTAGCGAAATCTACAGCAATCTAAGATGGTCGAGCTATGAGCCACCAAAGCATGAAATTGTGCTAACAGAATGACAATTTCAATTATTCAGTTCAAAAGCCATGGCTAGGACTCTAGGAGGGTTAGAGGTCCCAAGATCCAATAACAAATGGCTTGTGCGGTTCTTACAAACGGCGCTGAATGACTGTAACTATATCTGTACATACCTATAAATATCATGACATTGTCAGTATAAATTGAAGCCGATGAATCATGCATGTCTCTAACGCAGTTACTAGTTCCAACGCTAAATATTTCCACAACATGGGAATACGGGTTTGATCGCAATGTATCCCGATATATTCTGGCTTCCAGACCTTTTGTGGCTATAGAACGGTGCATTATGTCCCAAGGTTCCTTTGCAGCAAGTTTGCAACAGTACACAGAATCAACAGCTAGAAGCTCATGTTCAAACATGAAGTTTCTATAACAAAGCCCAGTTCGACACTTAACTGATCTAGTCTGTAACCGCAGATGCGCAGGCAAAAACAGCATTGTTCTAGAATTCGAAGTTTTCGCAAACGAATACGCCAAGCCAAAATGAGGTATAAAAAAGAAACCTAAGGCGACAGCATGTTAAGTCAGAGAGGGTTTCAATAATAAATGCAGCAGAGGACAATATAGTAGTTCAGTCCGAATGTGTGCTATACACCTTCACTCCTGCAAAGTCTCCGCTCCTGTAGTCATTCTCAGAACACTAAAACTGCTAGGATGTAGGCAAAACCATCATTTAACGGTTCGAGCAATGTAATATGTAACAGGCTGAAGCATGTGTGAGTTATAGCTCTTCATGAGAGACGTACTCGCATGGATAAGTACCTGTACTAATTTGAGTATTAGCCACCACGGACATCATGATGTCAGACTTGGCGGAGACAAAACATAACAAGCAACTCAATCTTTCAAATAATATGCATATCGTCAGTGAGTGATTGTTGGAACTTAGGCTAACGAAGAAAGCACCTGGTACTTGTCTTGGGCCGAAGCCAGATAGTGCGAGAGTAAAACCGATCATTGTGGATTTTGTTCCATCATATATATGTATAATATTCAGAAATATGCCATTAGTTACTATAAATTATTACTACCGGTCATGCTTAGATTGATTTTAGAAGTCAATATTTGTTTAAAGAGCCATGAGATCTCTAATGAAATTCAAAAAATTCCATGCCAGATGATAACATTATAATCCTACCTTACATAGACGACAAGATGCATATCTTTAGAAATTTGTATTTCCTTGGGCTTCTTGTTCCTCTCGTTTCGTCTATTCCAATCGACCAGTCCCAGACGCAGGCGTCCAACAAGGTTGAGAGAGACTACATTATAGTCTTAAAAAACAATATTAGCAAAAGAGAATTACTCTCCCATACAGTGTGGGCCAGAGAAATAAACGCTAAATTTCTCAGAAAGAGGCAGGATTCAGGGTTGGTGCAGGGAATAGAACCAGCCGGTGTCAAGAAGGTCTTCGATATCCACAAATTCAAAGCATATTCGGGAACTTTTGATTCAGAAACTCTGAATGAGATTAATAAACACAAACAAGTAAATATCCCCTCTACTTGTAGTGGATTTTTCTTGGTCAAACGTTATGGGATAGCAAATTAACGAAGTTTCGACATCGAATAGGTTGATTATATAGAAAAAGCCAGCCCGATATTTTTGAATGAGTTCAAAACCGATCTGACCGATGAATGGGGTCTCTCAGGCATCTCCCATAAGGTCCCGCAGTTTCCCACCGAACTCAACGGAACCTACCGTTATGACGATAGTGCAGGTGAAGGGATGTTTGCCTATGTTATAGATAGCGGCGTAAATATTGCACATAAGGATTTCGAGGGAAGGGCAGAAATTGGGTACGACGCTTTACATCCGGATTCGAAGACACATAACGACACGCATGGCCATGGCACACATACCGCGGGAACCATTGCCAGCAAAACCTACGGTGTTGCAAAAAAGGCTAGAGTGATTAGTGTCAAGGTTATTGATAGAGTAGAATATAAGGTAAGTCAGCGAGATTCTCTTATTTACCAAAATATGTAGGGATATATTGATAGATAGCTAAATTAATGGTGCCACCCAACCTAGCGTAATACATCCGCTGATTTGTTGGATGGAATCAATTGGGCAGCGAACGATATTGTAAAGAAGAATCGCCAGAATTTTGCGGTTATCAATCTGAGCATGGGTAAGTGCGATATCTAGTATGTCTAATCTCCGATACAGAAAGGAAGGAAGGAAAGAGTGATTACAAAAAAGCCATGAATTTATAATAATACTAATACAGCGATTTGCTTACTTATATAGCGATATCGTATAGTAGAGCAATTAATGATGCTATTGATAACGCCTATAAATTGGGGGTTCTGTCTATTGTTGCTGCTGGAAACAATAATGTAAGTTCACACCTACATACTATGGTATCGCCTGGATGTATAAGTAACTAACTATAATCTCTTCATTGATACATAGATGAATGTTAAAGAAGAAAATTCGAGCCCTACTATGGCCTCCAAAGCATTCGTTGTCGGTGCTATCGGTGCCAACAATCGTAGATGGATTGATAACGATAGGATTGGCTCTAACTACGGCGACATGGTTGATATTATGGCTCCTGGAGAAAATATAATGTCCCTTGGAATTGGGAATAATATCGATGCTACGAGCCTCAAATCGGGGACATCAATGGCTGCGCCGCACGTCGCAGGACTGGCTTGCTACTTGAGAAGATTGGAGGGATTGAAAAGCCCAGAGGAGGTAACTTCCAGGCTTCTCCAACTTGCACAGAAGGATGTGCTAGACGGTGCATCGCTGAAAGGCAGTCCGAATTTATTAGCATATAACGGTAATGGTTTATAATCAATATAAGTATTCATATCTGTACCATAAAATCGAAAACACGAAGTATTCAAGCGAATCGAGTATATACTTGTATATCTAGTCATACCGAAGATACAATCCGGAATCCCAAAAGTACTATTGGTCGATTTAATCCTTAGACATTAATATTGGTAGCTGTATGTAACGGCAATGCAGTTCTCATCTCATGTAATGTTCAGGTTGTAGGTAGTCTGGGGTACTTATTTTTACATACCGATGGGGGTTTTGACTAATACTACTTGGCGTGCATTACCGGGTGCACTTGGCCACGGGGAGGCCAGGGCAAAGGGAATTTGATGTAAGGAACATGGTTCTCGAAGATCTTAGGCATGGCCCAGAAAAGCTTTTTTTGCTGACCTGAGCATATCTCCACACATGCATCCAATCAAAGGGACCCTTTATACGAGCGGCAAGTCTTCGGACGAAGAGGTTGCCATTTCGTCATAAGTATGACCACATGCACATGGTCGAGAGAATGAGTCTGGCTAAGGAAAGTAGGCCGACGGTCTCACTGGCGGTTGATATCAGTGCGGAGCTGAGCGAAACAACCTCCACTCAGTAGCCGCTCCAGCAAAAGTTAGGAGGAGCGCATTGGCGAGAAACTCAGAAGTTTTTTTTTCCCCTCTCTTTTTGCGTCGGAAAATTTTTTGCTTGCCCTAAAAAAACGGTTTAAGAGATGGTTGGCCAAAGCATTACGAGATAAGAACGGTTTCCCCCAGTTTCTCTTACAACAATGAATCGAGAAACGACGGCTGGTAGACCGTTTAGAGGCCGATGCGAGGCCGAAGAAAGAGGGGGCTATCTCTGGAAACGGCGAGGGATTTTTCGGCCAGTTTTGCAATCTTTCTCAGGTTCAAGTAATAATAGGTAATAATCAATCAACTTGATTGATATCACAAATCAAATAAAGGAAGAAAGACATAGGTGTTTGACGGTTGGGTCCAATGCAACCGGCCCAAGCTCTCTCATGGGTCTCATTGAGAGTTGGATCCTCTTTCTCCTCCTCTTTCTGTCGTGCTCCTTCCTTTGTGCTGCGGAGGCAATCCGTTCAATCATTTCCCAGAACCTTGAAATGTGGTCCGGGCGAGTGGTATGAGAGAGATAAGACCAAAATCAGGGTTGGTTGGGTGAGCAGGATGACCCTATTCGACTCAATATCACACTCGTTCGCGAAAGAGGTGATTCCCACAGTTCCGTGACTGTGAGGGAGGAGGGATTAATATCAATGCAGTGCAATATTAATGCGTCTCCGTAAACCAAATTGTCCCATCCTCGACGGTGAGCTGGCGAGTGTGATGATACTGTGTAGTACTGATGATTAGCAATGATGCCCTCACGCATGCACACGATTGCATAGAAATGCACATACATACAATGGACGCACAATTCATGTATGTCGATGCATGTATGCCGCCGAATGCGACGTTGTCGAAGCGGCCGAATAAAACTAAAAGGATCTTGTAATGTTTCTTGTCTTAAAATTCTTCCCTGCATGCAAAAACTAGAGAAACAGTCCGATTCCCGGCTTGGTGCCTGGTCCTTGCCATCCATCTTTGCCTTCTTGCCATGGCATGCGCATGGGGGTTGGTTGGTCTGCAGTAGGAGCTGACCCGGCTTTCCTTTTTCTGCTGTGGGTTTTTGGCTGTCCACGCTGGGGATATAATTCTGGGCACATTCCAATCCTCTCGTTTCCTGTTTCCCTCACTTCATCTATCCATTTTTCTCATATCAGCACCAGACCGCTTGCAGACGTTGCTCTGTACCCCCAGAAATCCATATCATTCAAACCAAAGGTCCATATTTAGTAGCATTTCGATTTTCGATAGTCTCTGTGTGTCTTCGAGGATCCAGTATCAGGTAGAAGCAGTTGTCGTCGTTGGTGTAGTTTTCTTTGTGGGATTGGTAGGGGTCGATACTCTGTATCTAGTTGGACCGAACGTCAACGTCAACTTCAATCTCGACTTCAATCTCGACTTGAACTTCAACGTCCAACCTTAATCTCAACTTCAACTTCGGCATTCTCCCTCTCCGCCGTTTCAGACCCAGTCCGAATTCCCATCCGCAAGTCCATTCTGTCGTCGCATTTCCGGTCGTCTCTTTGGACGTTCGCTCAATCGCTCCCTAGCTCCCTCCAAGACTAAGTGGTTTTATCTGTAGCCTACCGGCCGGCATCTCTTTTCTCTACGGTTCAGACGCAGGGCATCGGGTGCGGGACGCTGCATATCAACAATCGTAGATTTCTAGGCGGCGTTACCAAACGTCGTAGACACCAAGTTGGCGGTAAACAGCTCGCTCAAGTTCTCATTCTCCTACCCTCTCCTTGGACCACGCCCTATGGTCTGCGGAGACATTAAAAAGCCACCATAACTTGACCGACATCTACCCACCTTTATCGCCTTAATCTGTACAACTTCTGCCGTATCATCGGTCCCTCTATCGTCGATATTCGTTCACTCACGAGGTAGCCGCCTCGATGGGATAAGTTGGCCTATTCTTCCCGGTTCAAGTTCCTGAACACGCGCACGTTCTCGCTCGTCAACTTGAGGGACACTTTCCCCTCAGTCAATTACCATTCCAATTGACAGCTCGTGTGAGATGAGCAGCCTGCCCAGCTGGCTCACTTGTAAAGGTCAACTCTAGGGCTCACAAGCGCTAGTGTTGCTGGTGGTATGTCTGAATTCCCTCCCTCCTGCCTCGACGGCGAGCTAACAATGTACATGTACATTCTCAGGTCCTCCTTGCAGATCCTTTGTCAATTGCTCGACTAAACACCCCCCAAGCCAGGTAGCTCGAGTTATCTGTCAGCCGTGCCGATAAATAATTCAAGGGTGGTCCAATTCAAAATATTTTAACATGGCAGAGCCAACGACTGTTACAGCCGAAGCTCGCAGCTTCCGAGAGGACCTTAACGACCACCGTTACCAACCTCATTCGCTGCCAAGGCACAATACTATCGCCGCGCCTACGGGTCGACGCCCAAGCTGCACTCCAGAGATTGCCGAACAAGAATTCACTGCTCAGTTCGAATACCAATTGGACGAGGCCATTCGAAGGAACTCGCAATCATCCGACGACGTCATCGTTGGAAATGTTGTCTTGGAGGATTCATCGGATGATGACCATCTCTCACCCGCCCGTTACGATTTCGAGCCATCGGCGAGCCCGACTAAGAATCGACCTAGAGGAGAGAGTATCATTCGTCGTCAACAGACCAACCAACCGACATTTGCCATTGAGGTGGAGGAAGCTAGGTCTCGCTCGCCATCTCCACCGAATTCAATCGATGCATTCGCAACCGCCCGTCGCAAGGACCGCTCAGGGACAATCAGTAGCCAATATGCCCCATCCGAGATGGGCTCCCTGAGAAGGTCAGCGTCCCGTAGGGCTCCAAGTTTCGAGGTCCTTCATGCAACAAACTCTGGAGACGAAACGCCAGAAAAGGCCGAAGATGATGTCTGCTTTCCAATGCCTGATGGCCCCAACCAATGGAAGATTGACTTCGATGAGATGGAGGACTTCATCACTCAACAGAGCCAGATTAGATATCGCTCATGTCAACGTCGACGCAAGATGAGCTCTGCCAGTGTTCAGAACACTTACTCAAGACAGACCATCCCATTCAAATTCAAGCGTACTCCACCTCCAGATGAATGTGCGGTTGAGGACGACGACGACGACGAGAGCATCACATACAGTGAAAAGGATCCCAACGGCAGCATCGCTCCGGTCAAGAAGAGAGGGCGTTCTATGCAGCAACCAGATAGGTTCAGCTTTTTTAGCTCGGAACTTGAGGGCACTGTCCATGCTGCAAACTTCCCATCCTTGATTGGTGATGGAGAGAGCTTCGAAGGCCTATTTGGAGGTGAAGACAATGTTTGGTGGTTGGATGTCGAGTCTCCCACTGAAGCTGAGATGAAAATGATTTGGCGGGCATTTTCTCTCCATCCTTTGACCTATGAGGATATCCGTGTTCAGGAAACCCGTGAAAAGGTAGAACTTTTCCGCAGCTACTATTTTGTTTCCTTCCGTTCTTTCATCACCGATGAGGAGAGCGAGGATTTCCTTGAGCCAACAAACGTCTATCTTGTGGTATTCCGCAGCGGCATCCTTAGCTTCCACTTTTCGCCATATCCTCATGCTTCTAACGTGAGAAAGCGTATCAGGCAGCTAAGAGATTACGTTGCCCTATCTTCGGATTGGATTTGCTACGCTATGATGTAAGTTTTCTCCCCTGTTTACAGAACTCCCTTAAAATACACCGCTAACCTTTTCGATAGCGACGACATCACTGACTCCTTCGGTCCTGTCATTCATGAGATCGAGAAAGAGACCGACGCAATTGAGGATGCAGTCTTTGTGGCCCGCTCTTCTGACTTCTCCGTCATGTTGAAGAGAATTGGCGATTGCCGCAAGAAGGTTATGACTCTCATGCGCCTTCTTGGTGGAAAAGCCGACGTCATCAAAGGGTTCGCAAAGCGCTGCAACGAACAATACTCAGTTACTCCTCGGAGTGACATCGGTCTCTATCTTGGCGATATTCAAGATCACGTCATTACTATGATGGGCAATCTCAGTCACTTCGAGAAGATGCTCTCTAGATCCCATAGCAACTACCTCGCACAGCTTTCAGTGGACCATATGGAAAGCAACAACAGGACTAATGAGGTTCTTGGGAAGATTACAGTCATTGCCACCGTTCTCGTGCCGTTGAACCTAATTTGCGGTCTCTTCGGTATGAACGTACCGGTTCCGGGCAAAGATACCGACAGCCTTGCTTGGTTCTTTGGAATCATTGGTATTATCATTGCATTCGTTGTGACCAGCTTGATTGCTGCTCGGAAGCTCAAATACATCTAAACGACAATCCCGAATTCTTGAGCCGTTGACTGGCCTCGCGACGCTTACATTCTTTTTTACATACTATGCAACTACATACACCTCAAACGCAACCTCCGTTCACTGCTTTGTGGCACCACTTACATTGTTTAACCCCCGCGCTATGCGCCCACTAATGATTGCTTTTGTTCCCTGTCCTGTATCATCTGATGTTTTAATGAACGTCTGTCTTTGTTTCCGCATTTGTATTTGCTTCCACCGCCCCCATGCTCTACATTCTATACATTCTCTTTATTATCTTGCTTCGCGGCATATTACGTTTTGAAAACAGTACACAGCTGGACTTTTTCAACTTCGGCATCATTTTCAGCGTCAATGAAGCGATTCTTAAACCCTAATGATGATTTTTATTTTCTTGAAAAGCTTTTTTTTTTACAAAAAAAAAACATGGTGCTTCTGTTTCTGCAACGTTCTTTTCCGTGCATGTGTCTGCTGTTTAGATTCAATTTTAGATTCGAAGCGATGATCGGTATCGATATATCATGATACAAGCCTGTTTAACTAACTCGCTGACATACCCCCCATTCGAATCTAGACGTCTAGATGCTGATGTATATATCCTAACGTTAATGTTCTTATCTAAATATGAATCACATCCGGATCGATATCTGCTTGCCAAAATCGATGAGTTTTGCGAACATCTAGTCTTGCGAGGGTTAAGTTTGATATTACTTGTAGCTTATGCTGCAGGCTTCTTTGACTAATGCGAAGTACTAAGGATGAAATTATATTTTAAAAGCTATGCACATGAAAAAACAAGGTAAAACACCCCGACTTAGAAGAAAAAGAAGAAAAAGGTATTCACAGCTCTACGTAATTCCCAATCGATCCTTAGCATACATACTTATACATACACCCTCTAAACTTCCTCAATTAACCAACCCAAAAACCTCCCCCACCGACAAAAAATTCCATCTGACGCTCATAACCCCCACTAGCACCATAACCACATCCGAAATCAACAGCACCAGGGCACCCAACATAAACCTAGGTGAAAACACTCTATAAAGCATCAAATGCCTCCTCAAATGTGCCGCCCAGAGCACCGTACAAGTCGCGATAGTAGCATGATAAGCCACATAAGTAGCACAAACCCTCACAACCTTACCCATCAACCCGGCCTCCTTCGCCGGTTGTTTCCACAACGCCAAAGTTGGTACGGCGATTGTAGCAAGTATTTGAGGACCCCATTCGTTACCTGCGAATAATAGTCCAGACCATGGTTGACGGATTACGTCGGTTGGGATGAAGACTGATTCCCATTGGATGGAACTTAATGTTGCTTGATGACCTGTGGAGAAGAAATAGGAAGATCCTAGCATGGCGAGGATTACGGGTCCGATTGGGGAGTCTGAAAGACCGTTTGAGTCGATGATTTCTAGGAGTGCGAGGATTTGCCAGAGTAGGGCGGCCATTGAAGCGCCGCCGAGGGGTTTTTGAAGAAGTGCGAGGCCGAGGTACCATGATACTGGGAGGAGGAAAGAACGGGAACCATGAAGGTTTGCGTAGCCGAGGATGATCATGCTACGAGACGGGGTGGCGGATGTTGCTGCTGCTGTCGTTGCTGTTGCTGCTTGTGATGGTTTATCTGTAGTTTTTTCATCGTCGGTAGATGGTGTACTTTCCTCGATTTGGATATTGAGGCACGGCTGCGCCCAGGCGAAAAAGACGTTTCCTGCGACGAAGGCGAGGCCGAGGACTACCTGTGCAATTGTATGTTTTGCTCTCTTGAGTGATGCAGTGGGGATATCGATCCATTCGCCGTTGTCGGCTGAATCCAATGTCCAGTAGAGCGCGTTGAAAAATAATCCGAGTTGGAGGGCGAGACCAATATACAACTGTGCTGGTCCCTCGTATGACTTGGTGCCGGTGTAATACGATTTAACGATTGGCGGGAAGGCGAGTGCGATGAAGTATAGTAGGATAAGACTGAAAGGGGAAGAAACGGATGAGGTTGCCGATGCATAGTATGTAGACTCGCAGTAGGGCATTTGCTCTTCTCGACATAATCTTGAGAAGGAGGCCACTTTCGTCAGTACCATGAATATAATTGACTGAGAGGCTCCAAGGGTCCTCATAGCCGGGTCTTCCTGCCTAAAGGAATAACAAAAGGCAACAGCGCCGAAGCTTGTTAGGAAGAATGTCAAGATACGATCTTCCCAGATTGTAAAAGAGTTCGCTGCGAACATAACTCCCTGGAGTACTGTGAAAAGTAACGCCATGATGCTGAAGATTGAGGTTGGGAACAGATGCTGGAGCCTACGATAGATCGAGGTCGTGCTGATAAAGAAGGCAAGGAGTCCACCGGCAGCTGACCCAAAGAGCGCAAGCTTCAATTCACCCTGTTCGGTTATCCCAGAAAAGTGGAAGCCGTATCCTGCCAGGCCGCCGATAGCTGTCCCGGCGAAACATCTTCCAGCGAACCACCCAGTTAATTCTTTCAGGTCGCCTGATATCCCTCTTCCGAATATCAAAATTGAGATAACGCTGCTAACGAGAGTTATGATGCCGAGTAGCATACTTGTGAGGTCGAACCGCGCCCATAGATCTTTGCAGACGTGAAGAGTTTCCTTCTGGTGGTTTAGGAACGTTTCATATGTTGCCCTCCAAGCATCTAGTGTCGTTTCGATTTGATCCACCTTAAGCTTCTCTTCTGCTTCTCGCCATAGTTTCGTAGTTCTCGTCTCAGGAATCGAGTCATCATCTCGGGCACCAGTGTAGCTCTTCTGGTAGTTCTCGATTTGCGAACTGGTCAACCTTCCAACTTTTGCTAGGTTATCCCATTTATCCCCATTTGGCCCGATGAATGCCTCAGGTATCGGTCCTCCAAGGTTGTTGTATGGTATCGGAAGACCCAATAGCAAAGCTAGCGTAGGAACCAAGTCGATTTGGGCTACACTCCTTTCCACTGCATTCTTCGGTGGGACTTCAAATCCCGGAATCCTTCCGAAAACTCCTTTCCTAGAGTACATCCATAAAGCTGCCTCCAGCTCTAGCTGGGATTCCCCGCCGTGATCACCTTTTGGATCCATACCATGGTCACCCATAATAACAACCAAGGTATCGTCATCCACAGCCTTAATGAGATCTTGAACGAAGACATCCATCTGCTTCTGCTTTGCCGCCATAGCGGGGTGATCTGGACCATACCGATGGCCCGCATGATCCACACCTAGGAAATGGCCAATCATGACATCCCATGATGAAGAGTTATCCGGGTGTAGTAGCGGGAACATGTGCGTCAGAACACCTTCGTCAACGGTATGAAGATCCCAAACATTTAGTGATTCGTATGGATGCTCAATATCAAAATAGCCAGGGAATAGGGCAGTCCATGTGTCGTCTCCCATGAAGGCGATCTTCTTTCCCGTACGGTTGAGTTGATCGATTAAGTTATCCTCATCAATAGCCGTTCCTGCGAAATTCGAACCAGCATCCATAAATGTCGGCAGTGTCCCAGTCGTCAATCCTTTCAACCTCTGCAATGTTGTCGTCGGCGGGTCCGCAATGAAAGGGACTAAAAATGCATTCTCTGGGTTTTTAATTGCAATCTCGTAGGGAGTTTTGAAGTTATTGTGATAGTGCTCCGTCGACGGCACACCGTTGGCGTCTGCCTGCGGTACCGTAAAATCATATCTCAGTGCGTCGATTATAACGATTATCGCCTTATCGAACGTCTTAGGATGCCAGCACCCGGTCCCCGGCTCTCCAAGGTACGCCTCCAAACCCAATGGCGAGATTTTACATTCTGACTTCTCTTCCAAGACCTTTCGAGTTAAAAGAAACCCTCTCGTGAACAAGTATACCCCCACAAGTTGTGTATACGCAACCCAAAGAAAGAATAAAACAACCAAGCTATGGGAAATCTTAAACTCCCGTATCCGTTGGTCCATCAATGCTTTCGACTTTTGGGCAGCGAATACCCTATCCTCTGCTTCCTCTTTCGCAGCGGCGGTGGCTTTCGCCAAGTCCTCAAGGTCCCCAGGCCCATTTTTCGACCACTTCGAGGCCGTCCGCCGTGGTACGTGGGCAAATATGTCGTCTGTATCCGCCATCGTATCGTACCAGAACAGATATTTTTTTCGTCTGTTCTTATAAAAATTCCGTTGGAATCCGAATTACGTTATCTCGAAGATGATTTGCTACTGTGGTCTTTCACGGCTCTTGTTGTCCGGTTCCATATGGATATGCTTCCCTTGGCGACTAGAAATTCAAAAACCTCTCACTAAAATTGGTTACCCATTGTTCCATTTTTTCTTCAAAGAAAATCAGGTGTAGAAGTATACGTACGGGCTGTTTGAGAGTAGAGTCGCTCAGGTCGCGTCGTCGGAGGGTACCGGCTATCTTCATATTTCGAGGCCAAAGTTTGGGTTTTGGAAGAAAGGAAAGGTTTCAATTCGTGTTTTTGGGTTTTGGTATCCTTCTTCTTGGTAGCACGGACAGGGGTGTCAGGAATGAGAAATGCAACAGCCAACACCGGAAATATTATCGCATGTCGAAACTTGCCATATTCTATGGGTTCGTGGACACCATACCCGGGTGCATCCAACGTTCCCAATTAGCCATTACGATGTGAATGTTACCTACAGAAGTACTTAGGTCTAATTATACAGAACAGAACAGAAAAGAGTACAACTTCAAGTAGGCAACCTAACTAGTCACGACGAGCCTAGCCGCCTTCAGGCAAGGCCGGGCAACAATCGTATATGGACATCTGACCAGCCCTTATAATCGAATCTTCCAGCTCTTCATAATCCTCCACGGTCACCTGAGCGATAGGACACATTTCGATACGCTTGATAAGGTCACTATAGATGTCCCTAAATTGTACTAGGCGCTCCCTTCTAGTATCTTCAGCACCGTGTTCCTCGAGTGGCGACGGCGAATGACTTGTCTCCGTCCCGATTTCTTCCGTCGCAAAAGCGCCTTTCAAGAATGAATCCAGTCTGCTCTGTTTCGCCCATCTGTTGATATTCTCGGCCGTCTTGAGCCCTCCTACGAATCTCTTGATTGTTAAGTATTGTGCATAGTCGAACTGCTGTAGGAATTGTAGTTCCTTGAGTGAAGACTCGAAGTGAGAATTTAGGGGTACGACATATCCCTGAACCAAAATTCGATCCAAGGTGTCACCCGTACTCGGTCCCTCCTCCTTAGGTATAGCACTATTAAGAAGATCTGCTGCAGACGGCCCTCGAGGGTTATCCGACCCGAGATCTCGAATTAGGTCCACCACTACCCTCCCCTTGAGAGCAAGTTTTCGATGGAAAAGTGGCCAATCGGTTGTTCTGGCAAGGAAGGCGTAGACCTTATTTCTCATATCTCTGGGTTCGTAACTACGGTCGAATTTTTTCGCGACAGAGGATAGTGTCTTTCGAAACATGTTGCAATTATATATAATATATTGATGATGGTATTGATACTGATATTGGACAGGGATGCATGTTTTGAGAAGACGATACTGCGGTATGTATTCGGTTTCGTGATAATTACCATGACCCTCTAGTATACGTACGAGGGCATGCACGCGCACGGTCTAGGTTGTGATCGATTTGGAGTGCAGTGTATAAACATCTACTCGAACGCCATTGTTAAAGTCGAGCCCGCCTTCTTTTGCATCATCAATGATCATAATTTAACACCCTTTTTATTAAAATTATGAGATAATATATATATATGCACAGATGATCGAGATCGTAGATTCCAACAATCTTTGAGTGATTAATAGCAATTAATCTACAACGACACAATTATCTAAATTAATATTTAATATATTCCACGTGAAAAGGGTTTTCGTCAGACTGTAATTTATATATGTCCATGGCCACCTGGGGCGAGAGTTCGGTACCGACAAACCAGCACTACCACACCAGTGCACCATACCCCATTCCTCAAGTATCACGAGCTAGTCAGTTATAAAGTACTTATATATATATAATTAACTTACGAACGATCGTCCGTATAATTATACAACTATGTACTTAAGTATATAAGATACATACGGAAGGTGTTTAGGAATTGATAGTAATACACATCATCATTAACTTCGCTTTCGTTCGTCTAGCTGTCAATTAGCACTAGTATATATTACATTACAAGGAAAGGAAATGAGATATTAAAAAAATTTATAAGGAAAAAAAAAAAAAGACCCCCACGGAGATTGACAAAGGAAATAAAATATCAAGAAAGGGAAATAACGAAATAAAGAGGCAAGGAAATATAGAATAAAAGGAAATATAAGAGGAAAAAAAAGGTATCTATCAGTACAGAAGTTTTCTAGGCTTTGCAAGCTACAAAAAAAGAGTGAGCAAGCATTTTTTTATCAAGATATAGTCAGAAGATCTAGACGCCTCCTGCTAGTAACATGACAGTTTTTTGTCAGAAAAATATTTTTGGGTATCAGAAGAATTTCTCGCAAGCATTGGTCTAATTCAACGCCGACATTAGATTTTGAAAATGGATTTTAGCACACCCCGATGCTGTGTTAATTTTCTTTTTTGGTTTCAAGAAAATAAAAATGGGTAAAATAGAATAAGATTGAGAGGATTGGTAATAATATACCTGTCCGACCCAGGATCTCAAGAAGGCTGACACAGTAACTCGAGAAATCTCCAAGAGATGAGTGGGTAAGTACGGCCAGGCGTGTTTTCCAGCTAAAAAGGCTAGGATAACATGAACGCGAAAGTTAAAAAGTGGTAGATGAGAAAGAAAAAAAGAAGACCGGCAACATGCTGAAACAAGAAAAATATCGATCCAAGCATTTAAGCCCATTCCTTCTCCTTCAAACCACCAACTTTGCTGAGATCCACGGATGAGAAACCACCCTTCTGGTAAGGAGGGAGGTTATCAGGCTCGATGTCGCGGACGAAAGCAGCGCCCGCTTCACCAACCTGAACAACGACGACACGGCCAGATTTCCTCTTTCCGTCGGCGCTCTCTTCTTCTGGGAATGTGATTCTAATTTCAGGAACCGGTGATGTCGGAGTTCCCGGTCGGTCGGACTTCTCGTTACCAAACCACGAAGTGCGCTTGCTAGACGAATAGGGGATAGCGGTAACTGTCAAATTCCTGGTATGTGTCGGCAAAGTCGGGCTATTCTTGCTCTTAACACGTCGAATAACTACCAGGATTCCTCCAAGAAGCAAACCCAAACCGGCAAGGACAACGAGGGCAGTGAGCAACTGAACGATTGTCGAGTTGGAAGAGGCAGCATCCTCGCTTCGGCGCAGGAGAGTGTTTACGAAAGATGTTGACATTGTTGGAAGTAGATAATAATAATAACTGTTGTACAAACTTTATAGTTGTAGTAGATAAAAGGGGTGGGAGAAAGTTGTATAATTGTTGGACCGTTAAGTGGATATTTGTCGATTAAGATTTTGGGAATTAAGATCGAGACGATATTCTACAGAATATATTTACGATTGGCGACCGAGCAAATACGTGAAAATACTAAAGGTAGGTATGTTAGTATACTGTTATGTCAAAATAGCATCGCGGTTCGGACGGGAAGCCCCAAAAGTGCAATACGCTTTATAGTATTTCATGCATATGCCGCGACGCCAACATTTAATTGGGATTGAAGTATATATATAAAAAACTTACTTGAACGGCAAGAGCGAAAGACGACGAAGGTAATAGTGAAATTACTTCGTATTCAATCACGATTTATTAGAATTAAATCGATGAAAATTTCGACGCAACGGATGAACCGGCGGAAATGAAGCGTAAGAGGGCAAAAATAGCAGGTGAAAAACGATTGTGTAAAAAGAATGGCTAGCAAACAGAGGTACAGCTGAAAGAGTGAAGCTGTAAACCGTTCGCTGAATAGTTTTGATAAACGATAGAAAATGATACCAATAAACCGTTAACTGTCTATGTAGACTGTCGACGAGGCAGAGAGGGAAGAAAAGAGAGAAGAAAAGGGAGAATAGGCCGGATATTAAAGAAGGAAAAGGGAGAAAAACAAGACCGTGCAGGGTTCTTGCGCCAGGAACGAATGGGAATGAGAAAACGTCAACGATTAGGGGCCGCAACCGATGCTGAATGAACGAGCCTGGGTAAAATTACGAAGCGACAGGGGAGGGAACGGTTGGTCATAATATGGTGAAATGAGCGTGCAATAAAAAACTTACCGACCTTCGATGCGCTCTCCTCCCTTTTGGGTGCATTCCACCAAGGAAATCTTACTCGCTGGTTGTCAGGAAAAAAGGACGCTAAAAATTCTCGAATTCATGCAAGGAACATGGTTGAACGGACGTGCACCAGGGGCCACACTTTCCTCCGGCGCACATTCGCGGGCAGGACGTCTTACCGATCTTGGGAACTCCACAGCTAGGCTTGGACAAGGGTGCGGGGTCAGGAGCCAATCAGACGATACAAAGGCTTTCCCACCACCGACCAGGAATGGGCGCCGTTGGGCGGTTTGATGAAGGTGCTGAGCGGCTTCGCCTGTGAGCAGTGTGTACTAGTGTGTGCAGTTGACGTTCGGGACTACCAAGCTCTGGGAATAGCAGCTTCAGTTGTGTCGATGTCAACCAAAGAGAGTATCGTGCTAAGCTGGTCTTTGCAAAGTTTTTTTTTTCCCCTAGTACTAGTATGCTATACAGTAGCTAGCAGTGTACAGCCGTCTTTGACGTATACGGAATGTATGCAGGATGTCTTCTCCTTGAAGCTGGTTTCAAAGTTTCACCTCCCTTAGTGAAATATTCTGGCAGTGTTGGGGAAATCCTTCGGACAAGTCGCCATCATCGAGCGGAAATCGAGGCTCTTTGGGATACCTATTGGAAATCGAAAAGAGGAAAAGAAGTGCACGATAGATGATTTTAATAGTTAAGTTAAGCTCCGTGGGAAGCGTAAATTAACAAAATCCGAATTGCAATATTGGTCCATTGTTTATATGTGCAAAAGACAAGCTTGCAAGGCTCTTTCTCTAGATCTCTTAAAATAGAGGAAGAGGCTTGATCATGAATTCAAAGTTGCAAAAGAGCATGCGAGTCTTATGATGGAAAATCGCAGAGAGCGCCTGCTACGGCGCCATCGACGGCTTCCGAGATCTAATCGGGAGGCAATGTGACGTTTGCATTATTATTCTTGTTCGGTCGACGATGGAAGTGGTGGTGGAAGTGGTGGTGCAGGTGGTTGTAGAATCTGTTGACGCTGAGGCTAAAAATAGAAGCGTCTAGCCGGCTGTCTTAACGATTGAATTGTGGAAATGGGATTCAACCTATACCGAAAGGGCATAAACCGTAATTATCGATAATCAAAGGAAATTACAACTGATTCTGGTATCGATTCGGTTCAAGACAGCTCGGATGATAGTAGCTACTAAGTACTTACACAGTAGTAGTTAGATCTAGATCTTTGCTTCATGAATCCAGCAACTATAATATCTTCATGTAATAGGTAATTAGCCATATGCATGCATGTGTCGACCACCACCACCACACGTATATTATAGCATGAGACGGTTAACGGTTAGACATTCGATATATTCCACGGTCACACTGATCATGGTATTGGTAGTACTGGTATACCAGGGACTACGTAGTAGACTAGACTATGGCTATCGATCATGTGTGCTATGGAAGGTAACATACAACGGCGAAATTTAGTAATACAGCCGTCGTTTAGGCCGAATATTATATTAGACCGCCCCCTTTTCCCCAGATTATTTCGATATCTTAGCTAATCGGTTCGCGGTCATCGGGAACTTACTACTTACGTACTACCGAACGAGTCGACTACCGGGCACAGGCTGGCACGAAACGTCTTAGTTTCAGTCGGAATAAAAAATTAAAAATACATAAGCTCGGGATCGATATCTGGATCTAATTCATACATACACCGCGTGGGCATGAACTGACATGACAGCACAGTGGCTCAGTCATAAAGTAATAAAACAAAATAAGGTAAAATATACAGACCTCGGATACTGACACTTCATTGTCTCATTGTCTCGAGCTCATCGATTCTATCAGTAATCCCGGGGAACGTTAACATCGCGTGTTCGACAATTAGCTAGTACCAGTCGTGGCTGTGTGTGGCGGATGTTTGGCTGGTGAGACTTTTACTGCTTCAACTTATGCAATGTGACCGTACATATCTAGTACATATCAACAGACTTCAACAATTCAAGACACACCCCAATCTTAACCATGGAATCCTAAGCTAAGGCCAATGCTTATAATAGTGTACAGGTACCTAGGTAACCAGGATTCATCGGTTATTTTACATATTGAGATTCACCAGGACCGTCAAGCTTGCAAGCTGCAATGCAAGCAATTAATGAGAATACACAGATCTGATCCCCATTTTATAATATCATATCGGATTAGTGAAGAATTGGGTTCGAATTCACTGATCATTAGTATTAATTATATCAACAGGCCTTTCGATTCTTGAAACCACTAGTATGTATTACCGGTGTACCCGGCTAGCACCGTGGCCAGCGTGAATATATCGTGCATGCGCAGGACGTATTTGTACATGTACTAGAACTCGAAATTGGCCAGCACATCAAGCACATTCTGTGATCATGATTTCACCGGAACAACCGAAAATCTTTGTCTTGTCCTACCAAAGGTGTAATGTACATACTTTACATTACAGAGCGCTGTGATCGTTGTGTTTAATTCTGCAGGTAAGCTTGAATGAAGTCAATACTGCAGTATACGTACCGTACGGAGTATGTTACCTAAGTAAGTAAAGTACTCTCTTAAGGAGTCAGTATGCATGTCAATACTAATATTCTGGGGGTATATTGATATATTACCTGCTTACTACTTAGATATCTACTTAGATACTCAAGTAATTGTCAATCAACAGAATGCAGAGACGGTACTGCCTGGGTACTTGTGAATGGGAGTCCATTCAATCGCTTACTCGAGCTCTGCAGACCAAATGCAGCCCGCACGCCTGTTCATGCATTCAACCATATGGTACTTCACACTCCACTTCGACTAAAGTATCCCATACCAAGTATGTAAATATTAATAAGTACTAAGTACTTAAAGTACTACTTAAGTCAGTATCGGTATACATGCACATGCGGCAAAGGAAGGTTTGCGGATACGGCAAAGAATCCAGGCTGGCCGATCGAGATCCTTCTCAGCCCAAGGCCAGTCGAAGACAGCAAAGATATCTTGGGACCACTCGCCCCCTCTCGCTAACACCAACAGGCATCCTCCAAAAGCGGGTAACTTTTTTAGCTTAACTGCACTCTGCAGCTCTGCATGGACCATCCACACCAACAGTTTCAGATATTTTGACTCAAAACATCCAAACCTCCGCTTTGTTCAAGGGACAAAGCAAAAGCTTAAAGATCTCGAAGGGTTTATACGGTTGGGGAGGGGCCGGGAGGGGAGAGATTTCAATAATCATTATTGTTATTCCTTGATACCCATTGGAACTATTTGCAGATTGATGAACGGGAACTCGAATCCAAACAGTACTGGTTTTTTCTTGGTCGGTTGCACAAATCCTCGCTTTGTGCGGTCACATTGCATCGAGGAGAATCAGAATTGATTGTCTTTGCATCGACGGGGTCTGAGCATATACCGGATGGTAAATTCGGTCTGTTTGTATATACAAGGGTGCATGTTAACTTCCACTCAGGCTATCCAAGCTAGTTAGTAGCTGGACTTCCATAGCGCGCTATAGTTTATCGTTGATATCAGGGCACGGCACCCTATCAGGACTTCTACCGGTCCCGTCGCTAACCTCGTCGTCGGCAGAAACTTTACAGGACAGATACGTACGGGAAGTCTCGACTATAGATAAAACCCCATCCACGGAGCACAACAGATGCCCTTGTGATATGTTTATATTTTACCGGCAGTGTTGAACCGACCAGTAGGCTTGGGATTTGCAATGAGCTCGAGAGGGTCCCCCGAGTTAATATAAGTTAGCAAGTAAGTAAGTAAGTATTACATTTATCATCACGCAATTGCAATTGCAAATCGACGGTTTAAATTTGGTCTTGTGCCTCGTGCAGCTGTACTAGGTAGCCTAAGCTACTAGGAGCAGGCCAGTTGGCATCAATTGATATCCGGACCCAGAGCCAAAGTCCATACACAACCGTTAAATTAGGCCACGCTGCGGAGGACCGAGGACAGAGATCGTATCTGACAGTTAATGTCCCTCTTCTGGGTGCTAAAATGTAGTAAAATATAGCTGGCCATTCCGCCTGTGCATGTTTCAAGCAGAGATTGCCCGGGGTGCCCTCATGCTCACCGCTTTCAACCTCTGATACAGCACCGCATGTCCCTTCAGGCAGCCTGCCCACATACTTGCCTGCATGCGCCCCCCCAAAAAAAACATCTGTGCTCTGGGTAATAAGTAATAAGGAATAATAATCCATTCCAGAGCACTGGAAGAGAGTATCTTTGTTTTCTTTCATCCTCCCGTCAACATCGTCTAGTTATCATCTTCCTTCGACTTGTACATATTTTTCTGGTTCTTTTTTTTATTTTTATTTTTTGTGGATTTCGAAGTTTTCCCCGCAGCTAGCTGCAGGTTCAACTGTCTTGATCCCCTAGCCGGAACATTAGTTTGGTCTTTCTCGGTCATTCAGCCAGATTGGAAGCTCGTGAGCTTTGAAACCCTCCAAATTCTCGCACACACGAACATATTAGGATCCGAGTAGTTAGAAGGGAGGAGAGAGAAAGAAAAAAAAAAAGGGTGTAGTCATATACTTGGTCGACACCAGTACCGTAGCGGTAGCAGTTCTCGAATTATCTGTGGCTTCGTCAGCAATACCTAGTCATCGACACTCTTCCTGAACCGTTAACCAGGGACTGTCGCCTTAGAAAACGTCATCTCCGAAGGCAACCGCATATCGTCCGAAGTTCGAATAGTTTTCCGGTAAGTAATGGAGGACGCGCAGTAGCTTCCATTTGCTTTCCTATCAACCCTCTAGTTTTTCCATATTGCACTGCAGATTGGGAAGTTGTTTAATGTTGGAGAGGCATTACTGTTTGGAAAAGGATGTCGAGATCCGTAATATACCCCTGGCGTTCAACTTCGAGCTGATGGATAGTTGGCTCGTTGGTTGATTGAACGATTGATGAATTGGTTGCAGATTGGACGATTGATTGATTGATCAATTGATTGCTTTCTCCCTTACTTGCTTGCTTTCCAGATCCAAAACTCCGAGGAGCCAAGTTCTCAAGACTTCCCCAGCTTTGAGAAGGACCTTCGACGCCAATACTTTCCCTCATCTCTGACGGTCTTCATGCATGAGTGGGTTCACTAGTCTCGATATCATGTATCAAGCTTTCTTTTCTTTTTCACAGCGGCCGTCTGCGATCTGAATGCACATTCCGAGCACCAGACTAATATTTCCCCAGCTTCATCGTCCTTGTTATTCCCTCTTCCCTCAGTTCGTGCTACCATCCTATGGTTCGAGGTTGCGCCGCTGCCGTCACTTCCCGCGAACTCAATCAAACCCAGGAGCCTCTGCATTGAACTGGATTTTTTTTTTGGTCTTTCCTTTCTCGGATTTCTTAGTGTTTCTTTCTTTCTTTCTTTCGATCGATTTCTTTCTTTCCGTTCTTTCGATCGTGTTCGTCACGTTCGTTTGACCATCCGGTTGTTCATTCATACGTTCATTCATTCATCCATTTTTCTGTCTTGATACTAGACACAGTTGCATGGGGGTATTTAGCTAACGGTATAGTAGCCCGACTAAAGTGAATAACAGAGGATACTTGCTAGTGACAGGGTAGCTAAGCTGCGAAGGATCGGTGTCAGTATCGGATATCTGATAGCGAGGTTGATTTGATTACCGTTTGTTGGTTCGTTCATTCGTCCGTTCGTTTGTTGGTTCACGCGAGGCCGATAGCTTTGGAGCCAACTGCCCTTTTGAACTGTCCGAAGACTCATAAGCGAGCTACACCCCTACACTTTACCACTTCCACTTCCTGCTGCTGCCACCACCACCACTACACCACCACCGCTGCTACTACTACTACTACTACTGCTACTACTGCTCTTGCTACACATCTCCAACTTCGAAAAACCTCCCCCTCCATTGACATCTTCTCCTCGACGACATCACCAGACTGCTTCTCATCAGCTCCGTAAGCTCGCCTTTAACATCTCCCGTCACCGATATATATAAATACCAGATCTCTGACACATTTCAGTCAGCAGAATACTCAGCTGTCATATTCGAAATTCCCTCCCCTATCTTCCCCAAGAAGCGGCCCTGACAGTGGCAGGATCACAAATCGAGTCGCCAATCTCCGCTCCCAACATTATTTTCGTCCCAAACCCGCACCAACAATCCCTCCCTCTCGTTTTTGCCTTTGCGCAATCGACAGATTCGTAACGCTTTTGACGGCTACACAAACACGGACGTTACCGAAAACGATCTGAACTGCGATTCCCGACAGTTCTGTGACACGTACAAGATTGTCAGAGGACGCTGGCTATCGACGGGAAAGGACATTAGCAGTAACAACAGTTCCCTTTGCAAACTCGACACCTAGGTTCTGGAACATCCTCTCGCGAACTTCCCGCCCAACCCCTGCAGTCGGACTGTTTGCCGTCCGTTGAACCCTAGTTGGAAGTTAGGAATTAGCCTCCTCGACGCTTGTTTTATCTATCCAGGGGCCCGTCTTTTCTGCAAACAACGGATCAGACCTTTCTTTCCTCAACATATACGTAAACTCACAGACACACCAGCATTCACCCCTAGAAGCTGAGGTTTCTGTTCCGTTCTGTTCGAGCGTCCTTCGAAAGCACTGAGGTCGGTCTGTTCCCAGCATAGCATTACACGGCACGCGACCAGCTAGGACCGTTTGGGACCAGTTAGCATTGTTTCAGAGTTCTGGGGTGGAAACCCCGACAGCAATAATACGCTGCGTAGTTTTTCAGCATAAATCACCCCGTCGTTTGGCCTCAGCTCAGCTCAGCCGACTGTTGGTACGCGATCGCTTCCTCTTCTGTTCTATTTCCGTCAGACTGCACCGCCAGTCTTTGACAAACCCTCGTTTGTCAAGTGTCCTTTCAGTACTAACAATAGCATCGCTATCGTCTCTAGTCATCATCCTACCTTCTCGTTGCCCGGTCTGGGCCTGATACGAACCTTTTTATTTGCATCGATTGAATATATCTTCCGGCATCTTCAAAAACGTCATCTCCTTGTCAATATTTTCCAAATAACCATTCATATACATCGTAACCGGTACATAGCCTACTAACCAACGAACGAATACTATCATCGAATTTCAAATGGCGACTTCAACTGGAGCACCTGTAGGTTCCCAAGTATTCTCTGGGCAACAGGCTGAGTCACTAATCGGACGGGAATTGCAGAACCGAAACGGTCGGTTGGGAGACGCAAAGAATACGATGAATCCTGTGAACGGTGATGAGCTATCAGCACCACAGAACGCATCTCTTAGTCAAAGCCTTGGTAACGGCTCGAGTTGGGATATATGGGGAAAACGAAGCCTTGCTCCCCAGAAGCCTCAGGGTACGTCAGCTCTGGATATTGGGGAAAAGGTGGCAGGATGCGTAGTGCTAACTTGCTGACAGACGATCATGTAGAGGGGAAAACTGGGTCGTCCGCTCTAGGAGGAGAATATGATACCTGGCCGGTCCCGAAGCCGAATTGGGTTGGAGGAACATCCCCTGGCACCAAGACTATCAACCATCATGCTTCTAGATCCCCCGCCAGGTTCCACGAAGGAGCCAATGGTCACCCAGAAAATCGAAGCCGCCAGGGTAGTCCATCGCCTTTCTTCAGCACATCTTTCACTGGAACCTCGTCGTCACTTCTGGATAATGCCCGAGCCTCGGAATCCCTGGAAAGTAACGATAGCAGTGGACGAGGAAGGTCCACCGATGGGAGAAAGGCATTTGGCAAACACCAACGTTTCAAGTCTGTTGGACAGTCAGTTTTCGACGACGATAGACGCATCCACCCGATGTTCAGTGGACTAGAACCCGATACTCAACGTGGTCGCGTCATGTCAACTTCTCACGCACTGGATATGATGGGTAGTTTAGCTAGCCTTGGCAGCAACGTTGATAGAAGCGAAAGCTTGCCCCCTCGTCAGAGAAACCACTCCATTTCCCCGTACGAAACAACCGAGAAGGACGCCTTTGGTAACTATAGCATGATACCGAATCCCGTTGGCCATCAATCACAACAGTCACGATCGAGATTTGAGGATTTTGCTGCGCCCCAGCAACATGATAGTGACAACCTCTCTACCTTCCGTCATCTATCTATCGATGAAGGGCAAGATCCGTTCAGTGGAGAACGCCGACGCAGCCTTTTTGCACCATATACTCAGGCCCCAGTTCAACAAAACCCCTACCCCCGGCTCAGTGAGTATACATTCCCTCGAAATGAGGTTAGTCAAAGAAGTGGAGCTTCGTCGTACTCGCCCTGGAACCGAGCTGAGCCACCACAAACCGGTAAGAAATGGGTCTCCCACAGCAGTAACCCCACGTACTTTATGTTAACAGTACTTACAGAAAACTTTCAAGAGTACCGAATTGGGTCTCAATTTGGTAACAACTTCCCTGGTTCGGGTGATATCGCGAATAACGGGTATCGTCGAAGCATCTCGGGTGCATATTTCTCTCATGAGCCTGCTCCTGCGCAAATGGCTGCTCGACACAACAGCGTTGTATGTGAAGTCCCTGAACCTTTCATCCTTGGACATGAATTTTAACTAGGTACTAGAACTTCGCCAATACCGGCGCTAGAGACAATGGCCAGCAGTTCTACCAGCCATTTGGACAGTCAGTATTTGACTCTGGTACTGCCTCCCCATTCACGAGAATGTCGTACCCCGGGTCTCCCATGAGCACAAACACTGCGTCCCTAGCAACTCAGCCACGTCGCGGCGAGGAGCTTAATTTGAGGAGCATGTTGTTAGAGGATTTTCGAAAGAATGCAAAAACAAAACGATATGAGCTTAAGGTTTGTCTAATACTTTGACTAGATGGTTATAAGCCAAATACTAACACATTTGCTGCTAGGACATTTACAATCACGTTGTTGAATTCAGCGGCGATCAACATGGTTCCAGATTCATTCAGCAGAAGCTTGAGACAGCCACCTCAGACGAAAAGGATGTCATCTTTTCTGAGATTCGACCAAATGCCCTGCAACTGATGACGGATGTCTTCGGAAATTATGTCATCCAGAAGTTCTTTGAACATGGCAACCAACTCCAAAAGGCAATGTTGGCGAAGCAAATGGAAGGACATGTTCTTAAGTTGTCTTTGCAGATGTATGGGTGTAGGGTGGTTCAAAAGGTAAATAAAGGGTACATTTATATTGATGGGGAATTCTTTGGCTAACGGAACACTAGGCCCTTGAACATGTCTTGACCGAGCAACAGGCGACATTGATCAAGGAGATTGACGGAAACGTGCTAAAGTGCGTAAAGGATCAGAACGGCAATCACGTTGTTCAAAAGGCCATTGAAAGGGTTCCTGCCCAACATATCGATTTCATTCTGAAAGCGTTTAAGGGCCAGGTGCAAAGTCTAGCCACTCACCCTTACGGTTGCCGTGTCATTCAGCGCATGCTTGAACATTGCGATGAGCCCGCTCAATCATCGATCTTGCAAGAACTCAATATGTGCCTCTACGCTTTGATCCAGGATCAATATGGCAACTATGTACGCAACCCCCCAAATAACCCAGAGCCCGCAACTCTAACAGAATTTGCTAGGTCACCCAACACGTCATCGAGCATGGGAAGCCGGAAGACCGAGCTAAGATTATCCATGTTGTCTCCCAACATGTTATCCAGTTCTCCAAGTAAGGAAACAACATGACCTGCTCTCTTTCCCGTGCATACCGGAACTAATTGGCTTTTCTAGACACAAGTTTGCTTCTAATGTCGTTGAGAAAAGTATTCAATACGGAAATGAGAAGCAGAGAAAGGAGGTCTTGGGTACTATTACGGCACCTAAGAGTGCTGATGGCCCCCCACCTCTCCAGACTCTCATGAAGGACCAATACGGCAATTACGTGATCCGTAAGTTTGCACAGTAACCAGCGAATATATAACTCTATCTAATGCGAAACAGAGAAGCTATTGTTCCTCCTCGACGAGGAGGACAGGGATACACTTATCGAAGCCATTAAACCTCAACTGGCAAATCTAAAGCGATTTAGTTATGGAAAGCAACTCAACGCTGTAAGTTCGTCTGGCAAAGTTTTCCAAAACAGTTGTGCTGACAGCCTCTCAGATCGAGAAGATGATTGCTAGTTCATCTCCCTCCTCGGGAGCTGCATCGCCACCGACTCACTCTTCGGTTGCGGCTCTCCCGGTTCCGACCACATCGGAGGCCTCCTCCTCAGCTTCATTCCACCCTTCTGAACACGATACCATTAACAGCTCGCCACCTGACAAATAGATATAGAGGAGCGAGGAATTTCGTTATTCTTCAGCAACAGATAATAACCATTCGGCAAACCTAAATTTCCCCTCCAGTATTTACGAAAAAATTCCCATTACACTTTTGCATTCTGTTTTGTATAGCATCACTACTACTACGAATGTCTTCGCAGTAGAAGTCCGTTAATACCCCATCATAACAAGGGATTTTGAGATTTCCTCCTTAGCGCTGAAGCTGATTTTGAACATTATCCGACATGTTTCTGTTCTTTTCCCTCCCTTGCTGTTTTATTTATTCCCCACTCTCTGCTTCATTAACTGTACTACTTGGGTTACAAACTTGGGCTAGAAAAACAGGGTTACTACGTACACCACTCAGAAAATTCGCCAGCATTTTTTTTTACGGGATATTCTTTTTGAAAGATGGAGCTGTTCCATCATATCATTAATGTCTCTCCCTTTTCCCCTTTTCTTCTTCTTGAGATTTTCTTTCCCTTCATTGTATTTACTTGGAACATTAACACTTTGTATTTCGTCATAACTTTTCTTTCTTCAGACTTTTACTGCCTTAACACGCACACAAATATTTTCAAATTTTTTTTGGTATTTTTGTTCTATTATCATTATTGATTGTACGCTCATGGTCATGATGTGGTGTTTTTATTATTATTATTACTATTATTCTTAATTTCCTTTTATCAATACTCTACGGCTATTAAAATACTTATATCCTTACTCCTACAGGGCACTTATTCAGGTTGTGATATCAAGAATATTTTTTGTCATTTTTGTTTATTTATCGATTTATTCGAATTGGCAAATTTGTTCTCCTAAGGTCCATTCGACGGTGTCTTGTACCTTTTTTAAACGCTTGTTTTAAAGAATTGACATCATTCATATTCCGTTTCCTTCCCCTCTTCCTCGACACTGGTAAACTAAAGCATGTAGTATTCATACCTTTTTTTGTTTTATTTTTATTTTTATTTTTTATGAAAACGACAAAATTTTAAAATTTCATCTCTTTCTTTTATTTATTCTTTGAGCTTCTTGGTTTCTGTTGAGTCTTGGTTGAAAAGAAAAATACAATATCTTTTTTTTTTTTTTTTTTTTTTTTGGGGGGGGAGGAGTGTAATTAGTAGGATACGATAGCTATAGAACGAGATACATACTTACGTATACTTCGCATGATCATGTAGACAAATGAATAAATAAATAAATCAAGGGAATAATGATAGTTAGACACAACCAGGGATATATATAATCACTCCGATCTCCGAGTCTTCAAGATCGAAACGGATATATAGGACGTAGAGTATGATGTCAGAAGTATAGTACATGCATGATTTATGTATATAATATCTATGCGTGCGTGTAAGTACGAATTAGATAATGCAGTACTGGTTCATTTTATTCGAGTGCCGAGATAGATATCCCGACGTCGGACGATAGCCCCGGAAATATTAACGTATAGGTATATACTATGTGGGCCTTTTTATGAAGTTATCACACCTACTTCACGGGGGTTTTTTCCTCCCTTAATAGTTCCTGGTGACTAGAATCGATTGATATCAAGACAGCCTTTTGACGAAGTGGGCCTGAAAACGACAGATTCTTATTTCTATCAAGTTTCAACTTGGAAAAAAAAAAAAAAAGGTTGGAAAGAAGGAAACACTTTGAGTGAAAGGGGAAAAAAAACTGGAAACCTGAATGCTATAAAAGGCTTTTCTTTTAAAACAAAATAAAACAAAATAAAGGGAGGAAATCCAACAAGGAAAATCGGGTAGACACTTGTAAAAAAAAATTGAAAACTTTCGAGATGGAAAGGTCTCCGGCGCCTTGAAACCCCCCTAGAACCAAGAGCCTTCCTTCAAGCATAACTATCCAAAACTGCTTTAACATCAGGTCCGAGTTGCGAGTTCCTCTGTTGGTAGGCCTGACTCTTCTTAACCTCCCCGCCGACCCACTTCCTCACATCCACAATCTCGGGGAATGGATCGGTGATAGGCTTCCTCGCCGTATTCAAGGTTGCAAAACTGACACTGAACGACACATCATCCAGATCCGCCTCAGTAGCTTGGTCATACCCACTTCCACCCTCAGCGGGGGTAGGCGGGACTTCCAAAAGCTTTAGCAGGGCATCGATACTTCCTAACCACATATTCGAGTAGTCTCCACCTACAGTTGCAATCCTAGAGGATGTTACGATCTTTGTAAGCCCGACCACCGCGGTTTTTCGGTCAAGGAACTTTGTCAACTTTTGGGTTTCGGGGATAATGAATGCTTTGTATAACTCTCCAAAGACTTTTGCTTGGACGCTATCTACGGCATTGATGGCCCAGTCAGGACCCATGCCACTCTCAGGGCGCGAAGCAAGAGCGTAGAAGAATTTTGTAAACCTCGATGTCAGGACCCCGGTTCGGGAACCCGTAAGTCTGATCATGATGAGGTTGAACACCTGGCCGACGTAGGGGTTTAGCGCGTCAGTCGGGAAATTTGCGACCAAGCCGTCAAGGAGATCGAATGCGGAAGCTTCGGTGGACTTGACTGAAAGAAGTTTCTGGAAGATACCAAAGATTGGAACAATCTTTTGATTTTCGAGGATATATTTGCTTTCACGTGCACAGATAGCATTCAGAAGTCTGACTAGGGCCGGGATATTTCCACGGGTTTCCCAGAGAGTGACAGCAAGAATGGGGTAGATGAGACGTTGGTAAAGTTCTGGAAGTGGAGTACCGGGGTTACATTCCAGGAGCAATCCGAGGAGCTGGAAGACGTAGGGAAGGAATTCCGCGACTTCGGCTTGTAGGATCCCCAAGAATGGACTGCTAAGAGCATTTTCGAAATGAGTCGGGTTCAATGGGCCCACAAAGCGGATCAAGGCGCCAAGGGCCTCGAAGTGATAGTGGTTAAACCGGGGGTTGCTGGGGTTCTTGCTGATCTCAACGGTAATCTTGATGAGGTTGTCGAGGACGACCTCGGCACTAGACGATGCATCTTCCCTGCTGATGATAAGGATTCTCATTACACAGCGCATCAAGAATTCGTTCTCTGCAATCTTCTCGGGTCGGCCGTCCCGTGTAATCAATCCCAGTAGCTTGGTTAGTAAGCTGCCAGATGCAGGTCCTATCTCTTCCTTCGTAAAAACTGGCTTCTTGTCAACTTGCAGATAGAGGATTCTTTCGATAGTTATAGCAGCGTATGTGAAGACAACGTATTCAGATGAGCCCAAGTGAGTGATAAGCAATGGAATGATTTGATTGAGTTGTTCCTTAGTAAACTGGCTTCGGAAAGTGTAGATAAATCTGATAGCATCTACTCGGAGAATTGGGTGCACATCGCTCTTGCTCAGGTCCGGTACGATGTACTGTTGGAAGAAGCCAATGATATCGACCAAAAGATTTGTCGAATTGACACCGTACTGTGTGACAACACCCTTGATGGCGATCGAGTTAAACAGGTAGAGAGCTGTGTCCCTAGATTTCCAGTCACCTTTCGCTAGGAACTCTTGGATGTATTTGTTTGTTGTTTCAGTGACAATCCGTTCTGACTGCTCCATAAGCTGTCGAAGGAAATCATTAGCTGCCCTTCGACGGGTGTCGCTATCAGACCCTTCGAGATCTCGCCTGATGAATTCAATGGGATCGTCCTCGAATAGCTCCTCGTCCGATGCTAGTCACGGTGTTAGCAGATCGGAGACTACGGGACACAGGTGTAGGGGGTTTACATACTCCGTAGCGTCATGTTGGGGATTATGATTTTTTGAATAACCTCATCCAAAGCATTGCTAAAAACATCCTTGTGTCTTTGATTGCCGGCAACAGAAGTAAGGAACTTCAGCGCTTTGCTGACGAGCTGTAATACTGTTAGTCATGTTACATATCAAAAAGGTTAAATAAAAAAAAAACTTACGATATCGTATTTTGGTTCTAGTCCTGTAGTGGTCAAAAGAGTCCAAGTCGCACTTGCGAAATCAGATGTGAGTGGACCAAAAACATCTTCGTATTTCTGCATGTATAGGACTAGAATTTCACAAATTCCCGCCTTCACGTATTCTTCTAGCCCGGATTCTTCTTCATCCGAAGTCGCCAACAATGGATTGGAGGTTGTTAGATATTTGTGGAAGAGCTGCAGGATATGGGATAGGTTTTCTTCGAAGATTTGTGGTAGATCTTGACAACTAAGATCAAAAAATATCTTAATGAGCAGATTCAGCATTTTATACAGCTCTGTCAGCTTTGCTTTATCAGCTTTGTTCGATTCTATCAAGGAATCCGTGGCCTATTGAGGATGTCAGTGACAATATTTTATAAACATAGAGAGTGGCGGATATCGTACCTTTAACAGGTTGAGGTATGGCTCTCCGAACCGTTTGAGGACGTGTAGGATCTCTAGGAACAGTTCGTCGGAACGGAATAACGGTCTCCATCGCTTGAATATAGAGTGCGCCACGTTTAGGACACCAATTGTAACGGACGGGTTGTTTGGGTCTAGCTTCGATGCGAGCTCCTATATCACCCATTATATCAGTATTTAGTCCATTTTGCTCCGAATTTCCTTGTCTATTTCGACGTACTTCAACGAGTGTCTCCCACTTCTTGTAGAAATCGCTGTCTGCAATGACGCTAATAGCTTCACCGATTTGGACTTGTAGATTTGGCGGGACTTGAATCATAACCCCCAAGAGCTCCGATTTAATGGCTGTAACATCGCTAGGCGCGAACTTGTGGTTTCCTTCTTCATCCTATAAAGTTTAAACGTGTGGATGTCAGTTTTCGAATCCATATTAACTAGGAATATGATGCCCACTAACAGTCCAGCTTCTTCTGATGAGGTTCTTGAAAAAGAGGGCACCGGCAAGCCGAACATTAATCGGTAACTCTGGTGTAGCGACGGCTCGGAGGAGCATTAACGGGAAACCTGGGGTGGTTTCTACAGACTTCAGTTGTCTTTCGGCTGCGAGGGAGGATCCATGTTAGTACGACATCGAGCTTGCAGTTTTTTATTTCGCGATCATTGGAAGATGATGTAGGAGAGAGGTAGTATATATCGTACCTTCTTTGTTTTGAGAGTGATCTAAAGAGTTGGCCAGCAGCTGGGCCAGCTGTTTCATGTTTTCGTCCATGGCTGCAAGAGTGGGGAGGAAGCTTTTGCTGGAAGGTTGTTGATTAGTGAAAGGTTCGAGTGAGGTAAAAGAAAGACGATTGGTTGTCGAAGCCGGTGACGAGCCAGGCGCAGGGAGATTCCAGTGAATGGTGAAGCGGATGTCTTTTCGCGCGACGATGGTGAGAGGGCCAACGGTCGTGGTTGAAGTTAAGAAGGAGGAAATCTAGTGGGATGAATTCAGGCGCGAGGGATGAGGAAGAAGGTTGCTGGGCAAGTCCACCGAAGTTTGGCTGCTGCAATTTCCAACACCAAAACACGCGACTTTATGGTACACACCGGTCAGTGCTTCGCAGTGCACAGGATCCAGATGCACAAAAGTATCGTTCGCGCTCTAATGCAAATATCATCTTTTAAAGCTTTTACGGAGTTACGGCGACACTGTACGGCTGCAATAGGAACGAGTATATTATAATGTGGCGTTATCTAAAACTGCGAGTATATGTATACATATATGAGTGTGTCGATTCAATCACATGGTCATGGTTGAATAACTGACCGCCTTCTTCCCTCAAGCTTCTTCCCATAAACTTTCTCGCACATCGGTGATTTCTCATACGTCCCCAACTTCCTCAGCAATCTAGCATACAATCCCGCCGTATGCTCGACATATCCCTCCCGTTCCCCGGCTGTCCATGGTCTCTTAACGGTCCTTATTTGTCCTGTCAGGGCGTTTTCAATCAATGTGTCATAATCTGATATCCTTCCGAGTATCTTGACCCCATCTTCTGTGAATACTTCTTGGACGATGTAGTTTAATAGGAGGAATTCTTGGTGTGGAAGTGATTGGAGGAAACGCAAGGCTCTAGTATCGACGCAAACCTGCGAGGTTGGGATTACTAGGTGCTGTATTCGAGTGTATGAAGGGCGAGTCGAGATGCAGCAGAAGAAGATTCGTGGGAAGAAGGAGAGGAAAGAAGGCAATGGCTTCGAAGGAGGATCGGGTTCCGTGGGGTTTGCCTTCGATGGTTTGTTTTGAAGCTGCTTCCTCGACTTCTTCGACTTCTTTCCCTTCGTGTCCTCCTTCAACTTCGGATTCAAAATGTCTTCGGATGTCGGGACTGGGAGTTCTGGTTGTATGTATGGCCTCGATGTTGTATGGCTCGGTGCGCGGGGTGCATCATTCGGGCTCCTCGGTGACGCCCTGGGTCTCTCAGGCTGGCTGTAATCCCTTCGAACTGGTACTCTTGGTGTTACTGCACCCCTCCGTTGTGGCACCCATTTCCCCTTTTCGTAGGGCGAGGGCCCATTATAAATCAGGTGTCGCGGAACGTACGTAGATGTCGACATTTCTGCAACCCGGCTTTCATTACAGTGTTAATGTTGCGATCTTGCAGCAAAAGATCTGAATTTCGCTCTGCTGTCCATTTCTTCCCTTTCCGCTGATCCCTCTATTTTCAGATCGCCCACGTTTACCTTCCTCGTTTTATCTTCAATGCGCTCTGACTTTCGTCTTATGCCCCGTAAATGTTCAAATGAAAAAGTGAATGGAATCTATTATGTAATATCATGATATGAACAGAGAAGAAATAGAGGACCTTGGAAGTCCCAATGCTTGTGTGTTCCACATAAGTAAAAAAATGACCAACCTAGTATACAATTTAAGAGCCCCTAAACGCCTCCTAACAAAGCCTCAAAGCAATCTTTAAATGAACATGATCTCATATACCAGTCTCCTAAGAATTTAAACGACGGCTTCTCTATCTCCGTTGATTAAATCCTGCGGGAGGTGGTGGTACATTCCCATATGGTGAGGGGTTAGGTGGATACATTGGTGGAGCCCCTGGAGGCGGGACACCATAGGGTGCTGCCCCTCTCCCCATCGGTGCAGCGTTGAATCCAGCTGGTGGGTATGCACCACCAAAACCAGCAGGTGGGGGCTGGGCTGGCGCACCGTATCCAGGCTGTCCTCCAAATCCCATTGGAGGTGGTGGCCGCGAGGGTAGCCCATGTGCAGCAACCGGCGGAGCAGCTGGAGGAGGTGGCCTGTACGCCCCTTGTGGGTTTTGGTATGATGGTTGTGCGCCATACCCTTGCGGTGGGTAACCGGCCGGTGGTTGAGGTTGATATCCTTGGTGGGGTGGTTGGACTGGTGGCATCTGTTGCTGATATCCTTGGGCAGCAGCTTGAGGAGCTGGTGCGCCGTGTGGAATTTGGGGTTGCGCTACAGGCTGTGTAGGCTGTTGTACGGGTGGAGCTGCAACCTGCTGCCCCAGAAGTGCAGATGGCAACGGCTGTACCTGGACTTGGACGTTGTTCTTGCGAGCCTGCGATGCCAACAGACGTTCTGCCTGATCACCATGCCTCTCTCCCTTGCCATCCTTCTTGAAAGCGTATGATACCGATATCTCCTTGTTCATCAAGTATTGGCCTTGCATAGCGTCGATCGCCTTATCCGAGGACTCGAAGTTGTCAAACTGAACGAAGCCGAAACCGCGCGAGATACCTGCCTCATCGCGTGCAATCTAACAAACCGTTAGCACTATGCTATATAACCACATTGAATCAGAATAATGGAAGGAGGGCACGAACCTTAGGCGGTGCTGTAATCGTTCCGAACGTCATGAACGTATCATAAAGCGTCTTCTCATCCACCATTGAATCCAAATTTCCGATAAACAATTCAGCTCCAACCTCCACTGTTTTCTGCTTGTCTGCCGATGCTTTATTAACTCTAATCGGTTTCCCATACAGTCGTATCTGGTTCATTATCCTTGCCGCGTACTCTGCATCTTCTTCGGATACGAATTCGACAAAGCCGAAACCTTGATGTGTCTGGGTCACGCGATCTTTCGGCAGGTGAACATTGGAGATTCGGCCGGCTTGTAGCATAAGTTCCCATACTAAAGCGTCGGTTACGCGTTCGTCAAGGTTACCGATGTAGACGGTCTGTGAGAAAGGGAGTGAGTATGCGCCTGTAGGATTGGATGAGCTTCAAGAGCTTCTAAACGGAAGTTGGAATTACTTACGGCATCTTTATCTTGTTCCCAGTGCTTGTTCGCCATGATTATTCCCTTCGCTATTATGCCAATCGGTATATAGTATATCAGCCGTAGACTTGCCGTTGAAGGGGGGTGTGTGTCGGGTGTCTCGAGAGAGTGATGATGACGATGCAAGATGAGTCGCAATCGAATTCGAGTGTCGCGTCGGATTGAATTTCAAACCGCAGAGGGAAAAAAATACCACAGCACAACGCATAAATCCTTTCCTCAATCACAACTGGACCAACGTTCCTAGGACAAGTACAAGACATTGCATTGGGAATCCGAACTCAAGATGGAAAGGGTATAAATTCTAATATATGAGACCTCCTCTCAAATTTATTAAATATATATCGGGCATCTTTGAAAGATTAGTCGATGAGGCCTCTGCGACTGCTTAAACTTGGGAACAGCCTGACACGGGCTGTTGTCCATCAAGCTCGAAGCCAACATGGCCTTCTACGCTCCCCGATGGCCCCCTCAAGACGTTTAGGCGGTATCATGAGGGCTCGCGCATATGCATCGAATGCCCACGATGATTTCCATAGCTATAGTAATGAGGGCAGCCGCACAGTCTATGCTCTTTCCACTCCCCCGGGCAAGTCTGCTATTGCTGTTGTCCGAATAACTGGTCCTCTTTGCACCCATGTGAGTTTTCAAGCGAACTAAATACGTTAGTATATTAACTTCTGATTTATTATATACTTAGATATACCAAACTCTCTGCCCCTCCAAGCCACTACCAAAACCTCGTGCTGCTACACTGCGCACCCTTTTTCATCCCCTAACGGCCGAAGTCCTCGACCCTTCGGCTCTTCTTCTCTACTTCCCTGGTCCAAATTCCTTTACTGGGGAAGATATCCTCGAGTTACATCTCCATGGTGGACCAGCAGTGCTTAAATCCGTATTATCGGCTTTACCAAAATGCTCACCTTCACATCTCTCTCTAACTCCAAATACGCAGCAAAATATCATACTTCCTGCAGAACCCGGGGAATTCACCCGTCGAGCATTTTACAACTCCCGCCTCTCTCTCCCGCAGATAGAAGCACTATCTGACCTCCTTTCGGCAGAAACTGAGTCTCAAAGGTTATTAAGTATACAGAGTACAACCAAAGGCGCTGATAAGCTTTCAGAGATGTATGATAAATGGCATCTATCGCTACTCGCTGCAAGGGGAGAACTCGAGGCTCTTATCGATTTCTCAGAAGATCAGCAATTTGAGGAAACGCCGGAAGTGCTATTAAAGAATGTCAAGGATGAGATTGTAAGGCTGAGACGCCAGATGGATACATACCTCTCCAATGCCGTTAAAGGCGAACTACTACGAAACGGCATTAACCTGGCACTCATTGGACCACCAAATGTGGGTAAAAGTAGTTTACTAAATAGAATTGTGGGGAGAGAGGCTGCTATTGTTAGTTCCAAGGCTGGGACGACTAGAGATATTGTTGATGTGTCTGTTGATATGGGTGGATGGATGGTGGTATTGGGAGATACAGCGGGATTTAGAAACGGGGTGTTTGGAAGTGATATTGATGAGATTGAAGTTGAAGGGATGAGAAGGGCTAGAAAGAGGGTGGAGGGTGCTGACGTGGTCGTTTTAGTAGTGTCCGTTGAGGGAGTGGGTGGAAACTTTGGGGTCGAAGTGGGACACCCTTCACTTGAGGAGGCGGTGGAAGTAATCAGGGAAGCTATAAAGGATGGGAAAGAGGTCGTTGTGGCAGTTAATAAAATCGATAAATTGGAAAACGGCGAGGAATTAGAGAGAATCCTCGAGCTTATTAGACAGGGACTACCTGGGTTGAAGGAAGGCAGGGTAGTGGGGATATCATGCACAGGAGAAGGATACGAAGCAACTATTCAGCAATTGATGGGGACATTGGCCAGTACTTTTAGCGATATGACCAGCGTGGAAGAAGGCATGGATGGAGCTCCGAAAAACGTTTGGAGCGAAGCCATCGGTGCCAGTTCTAGACAGAGAGTACTTGTTGAGGAATGCTACAGATATCTAGGTGAATTTCTATCTGGATTGGAAGGCAACCATGATGCTTCAAAGACCCATAATATCGGCGAGGATATTGATATCGTTCTGAAGGCAGAGATCTTGAGGAGAGCTGCAGGCTGCATGTCCCGAATTATGGGTAAAGGAGAGGGTGCAAGCACTGTTGACGAAGTCCTTGGGGTCGTCTTTGAGAAGTAAGTTCCATATCCCACCTTTCTGTTCGGTATGTTTCTAATGTCACTTTAAACTAGATTCTGTGTCGGAAAATGATGATAATAGTGATATGTTAAATACAGTATGTAAGATAGATGTAGTATTATAATGATAGATCTATACCCGCTCCGAAAGCTATGCAACCTGAACCAAACTAATGCCAATCCATATACCCTGTGTTGAACAAGAAGCCAGCTTCGATATTCTCTTCTTTTCTATGTCCCATTTCAATATTTGTGCGCCTAGACGGACATTTGCATAGCAATACCCGGCCAAGGCTCATATTCTGATAGTTCGAAGTCTTCAAACTTGAAACTATCAATATCAGGTACATCCCTGACAATCTTCATCTTTGGAAACTTCCTCGGCTCTCTACTGAGCTGCTTCTTCAACGGCTCGACATGGTCTCTATAAACATGTGCATCTCCCATAACGTGTGTAAAAGTACCAGGCTCAAGACCAGCGGCATGGGCGATCATTTTCGTTAGAAGTGCATAGCTAGCAATATTGAACGGGACGCCAAGACCCATATCGCAAGACCGCTGGTAAAGTTGGCAATGAAGCTGAGGGAGCGGACCCAGATCCTCACAGCCATCGGGACCACACACGGGTGCACTTGTGGTTTTTGGAAATGAGACATAGAATTGAGCGAACATGTGGCAAGGCGGCAGTGCCATGAGCTTTAGGTCCGCTACATTCCAAGCACTGATAATTATCCGTCTGTCGTAAGGATTATGCTTTAGTTTGTGAATGACTTCTGCAATTTGGTCGACACCCTGGCCAGTATAGTCTGCATCTGCGCCTTTATACTCTGCACCAAAATGACGCCACTGGAAACCGTATACGGGGCCTAAATCGCCCTCAGGTCGTTCGGTCAAACCAATAGAGTCTAGGTAAGCACGAGACCCATTTCCATCCCAGATTTTGACTCCGTTCGCTTGTAGTGGTGCATTAGAGGTGTTGCCGGAGACGAACCAGAGGAGTTCGTGGATTATAGCACGGAGGTGGACACGCTTCGTAGTTAAGAGGGGGAAGCTATCATCTTTCAGAGAGAACTTCAGTGGTGGCGGGGCAAAGACGGAGAGAGTGCCTGTGCCGGTTCTGTGAATATATAGATCAGTATGCTACTATATACAGTGATAAGATGGTAGAAATAAAGGTTAGTATGTACCTATCCGGCCTATGTTCACCATGGTCCAGGATATATTGGATGAGGTCAAGATACTGGTATTCCTCATGGCGGGTAGACGAGGGGTCAGAATCGGCACCGCTCGTCTTTTCGGCAATAGAGTAAGTTGCGTCTGCAGAAGCTTCCATTTTTGATTTCGAGTAATTGACGATATAAATATTCTCGTTTACAAGTTGCAGCTTGGAGTTCGAACTCTGGTAGACAATGAAGCTGAAATGAAGTTGTGACCTTTATCCCGGCGAGTCTTTCGAAACCTTGTCGGTGCCCCAGTTTGGAGTTTACACGTCGAAAACACGACGACGCGGTTGTCTTAGAAATCAATTTACACAACGCAATGACCTTGATTTTACAACAAGACTAGTATAGTATTAGATCTAGACTGGATCTAGCTACCTAGGTAGGTAGCTATAGTAGCTAAGAGACGCCCTGCTGTGACATGTGGAGGCGAAAGGTCTCGAGTTAAGGTTTCACCTCAACTCGAATTCAAGAACGGAAATATCAATAAAGTATATGAAAGGTGAACAGGCTAAATATTAATATTAATACACTTATCGAAATCGGGTATATATGCAGGAAAGTACATATACTTATGAGGGGTTGGTCTGAGAATATATGCCGTATATGGTGTATACATGACACTTATTCGAGGCTTCTCCATAGGTAGGCCTAGAACTAAAAATATTAGGTATGAATGTGAAACCCTAATCCCCATGCTACACATCTTGGCTACCTCTACTTAAACAAGTGCCTGTCCTCATAATAACACTTTAGTCAGCGCGTCTAAGTTGAGATACGCTGTGTTAAACCTGCAACTTGATTCACCGAGTCGATTATTTTGCGCCCGGTTTAGTCGACAATTCTGACACTCTAGATCGGCCGAATGCAAGCTCCAGTAAGAGTGAAAAATGTGCCCAGGTACACCCATAACTGATTCATCATCTTCGGTACCGATTGACCTATGGTAGCCCCATCTAAGAAGTCTTTCATCATCCCAAATGGTGGCCCGAAGGTCAAATCCCTGGCGGTTACTCCAGGGCGGCGAGTTCAGTGTATAGAGCTGATCTTTCTCTCGCCATAAAGGCCGACTCGCGAATGCAGAACGACAAATATCTTGGTCCCAAAGATCATCGATGAAGTGTAAGAAAAAGGAGGTGGTGTCATTCCGTATATCGAAACTTTGTAGAAGGCAATGTTGGTCCTCTCTTGTTTGAATTGGAAATTCGATATAACGGGCTGCTGCGCGGAGTTGGGAGTCAAGTGGCGATTCTAACATCGTTTTCACTCCGTCGAGGCCTTTTCCTATGAGAATCAAGTTGGCTATTCCAACTCTTATATCTATACGATCAACTTGTCAGTTTTGGGGTTTTCTCGATTAATTAGGAATGTAGAAGGTGGAATTGATTAACTAATTTACGAGCACAAGCGTGAGGAAATTAGACTTACAGCTTGAAACACATGGGACAAGAGTTGAAAGTTGAGTTAAATCCCATGTGTCCGACGGATGGGAGTCGATCAAGGCCTTTCCGTAGCCTCCGAGGAGTGATATGAGAAATGAATATACGGCAAGCAATGGTCCCGATTGCGGCACCAGTTCTTCCTGCCCTATGGAACCGCGTAAGGGTGGGTTTATTTTGCCGTGGGTAGCCCAAGAAATAAGCATCTTAATTTGAACTTCGTTTCGCTTGGTATGTTCCTGTGATGCTTCTATCCATAACCATAGAATACCGAGTGCATCGTCGACCCGACGAATTTCAGCATCACTTGGTGGAGCCTCCTCCGGTTTGCTGAGAAAGTAAGACCTAAAAAAGGCGTTCCTGAACCAACGTATTGTTTTCCGAAGCTTCACGAAGTCCGAGGTATGGTGACCTTGTTGTTCTGGTTCTTGCCAAACAGTCATAGACCGAATATCTTGGGGACTATTCGTTGCTTTGACGAATTTTATTCTCCTGATTCCAACCAGCTGAGGCGTTATGTTATTTGCCGTTTCATTCTCGTAGACCCTCTTCGTTATGCTATTCCAATAAACCGTTTCCGTGATATTGTATAATGAGTGGCAGGTGGAACAGCAGGACTTCAAATCAGCTTCTGTGCCTAGATTTTCTAGAATTTGTAGTTTTATCTCTACTGGGAGCCTGGTGAAGTGCGCCATATTCGAAAGATCTGCCATCGATACCGCAATGGCTATTCTACAAGTACAATCGAATGTATGCGGTGTTATACGTTAATTAAACGAAGGAATTGTTGATTAATTTGTATATTGGGTGAATGGTCGGATGTTTCTTGAGTAGTGATTGCTTGAATAAAAACTTTGAAGTTTGGATAGAGAAAAGAATTTAAAAGAACTGGGGCTATTTGGTATTTAAATATTTAAATATCTCATGGCATATTGCATGATCCACCTGGATCTCCTGAGGATTGGTTGATTCTTTTTATTTCCCTGATCGATCAGCAGAGTGACGTGACGTCGCTTTGTGACTGCGCATGCGTTGAATGTTGCAATTTAAGGACCGGCTCGGACCCGATCGAATATACATAAATAGGAATATACTTAAGTAGATTTCAAATCCCATGCGACCGGCTGCATTTGATTTATACAAGATCTTGGGGACTATTTAAGGGCCGACTGAAGTAAGGGGCACGTTAAATACCGACATGCCAGCTCATATGCTATGTGCATATGTAATCAAATCTATCGATATCATATTCTGACATATGCAATTAATTAACTGCAACACCAAGTGAGGTATCGCGAGTGGAACAGGGCCGAAATGGGTGTGCATGGAAGCGACCTTTCCCGATTCGACGGCTGGTCATGAGCTGCTGCATTGGACCCACCGGTCGATGGTTAGCTGCAGGATGATGCATCTCGGTCTGATCTTTTAGTGACTTCATCCGCATTGCTAACCATCAGAATCAGATCATGTTTTCCTATCGGCAGCCGGTGGTGGCACCCGACTGCATAACTATTGCATTGGTCTTCTCCGCTTGCTAGCAATTGCTCCGCTTCCCGGCATATATCTTCCCTATTTCCTTAGAACATTCCAGTATTCTCTTTGAGGTTGAATTTAATCTGAATCTGGTTCCGATTCCTCAAAATTCTGGGTCTGAAGGTATATTACTGAAGTACTCACATCGCAGCCTAGGACTCGAGTTTCGACTAACAGGGAGCTCCAGTCAACGTTAATGAGCCGGTGATAACCCGCGGGGAGTTTTGCATTGGCGCGCATTTTGGCGAGATAACAGTCAGTCAGCCCGAGTCTTATCAGCGCAGGAAAGAATTCTTCTTAGTCCACAATATTATTATTCTATCAGTCTTCTCTCTTGTTTCGATTCCTCCGCTTCTCCTTCTTTCCCCGTATTTACTTCGTCTTCATAACGACGTAAACTCGGGGGAAATTTACAATTTTTTTGGTTTCTGATTTTAAGAATGAGCGGACACGGCGACGATGTTTTTGAAAACGGCTCTCCAAGCCATCTCGAACCAGGGTCCTGGGGTGGTCGCAGCAACAGACGGTAAGTTCCTCCTCCACCACCGTTCTCTCCCCGAACTTCTATGAAAAAATTTTGAAAACTGATATTTTGACTACTGTATAGATCTTCTTTCACGCCGGCATTTGTAGACCACCTTATTCATGACGTCGGTGGTGTAAACAGTATCGAAAACTACACTCGTTCATACATCAGGGCAGTCGGCTTCCAAGAGCTCGCTAGAAGTCCAAGCAACTGGGCCGGTTTTCCCTCTGACGATGAAGCCGAACGCTACGAAGATGAAGAAGAACAGATCGAACATGAACCACAGGAGGAATCGTCGGCGGCCGTACATCACCCTGGGGCTCTAAGCTATGGTACAAGTCCCGGGACTCGTTTCCACGACCACCACCACCCCGGACATCATGCAGGACATCTCTTCATATCTCGACAAGGCAGCCTGGCCTCTCGAATGGAAACGGAACCTCTACTCGTTCGAAAGGAATCGATCACAGATATAGATGGGAAAACACATACCGTCAATGTCGCAGTCGGTCAAAGTACGATCTACCAGACTATTTTCAACTCTATAAACACCCTCGTCGGGATCGGTCTACTATCCCTACCACTCGGATTTCGACTTTCTGGTTGGATTATCGGTATAGTGTTCATGGTCTTTTCGATGTTATCCACCGCATATACTGCTAAGATCATTGCCGTCTGCATGGATTCTAATCCTGCCCTGATAACATACGGCGACCTTGCTTGGGCAGCATTTGGTCGCAAGGGCCGAATAATCATCAGCATCGTCTTCTTCCTCGAGCTGCTAGCTGCTTGTGTCGCATTGGTTATTCTCTTCGCTGACTCATTGCATGATTTGATGCCTGAAGTGTCGGTGCTTACTTGGAAGTTATTCTGTGGATTGGTGCTTACACCATTGTGCTTTTTGCCACTGAGGCTATTGAGCGTGACGAGCATTTTGGGAATTGTTTGCACCTTTAGCATCGTGGGGATGATCTTTATCAGCGGATTGACGACACAGGAGCAGCCAGGTAGTTTGTTGCATCCAGCGAAGACTTACCTCCTCCCAGAGCATTGGGGACAAGTGCCCTTGAGGTATGATTCTTGGTCGTATAGTTACTTAAGTTAAGTACTAGATAGAGATATAGATTACTGACATGACAATAGTTTGGGTATTCTTATCAGTCCATGGGGTGGGCACAGCGTTTTCCCAAATATCTACAGGGACATGCGACATCCTTACAAGTTTGGAAAGTATGTCGGAAAATCGAGGAGTTTCGTAAATCGGAATCTCAATGCTAATGCCTCAATCTATTTACAGAGCCATTAAGGTTACCTACACATTCACTGTAAGTATCGCGCCTTACTAAGTTGTAATACAACATTCTTTATCGCGTATGCTAATAACCGGGGTATAGTTCCTTCTCGACCTTAGCATGGCTGTAGTCGGATACCTTCTTTTCGGAGACACGGTTAAAGACATTGTCACATCGAATATTCTACTCAATCCGCAAACGAATAAGAAACTGTCTATTGCTTTGGTATGTTGATCGACAGATTTCTCTTGTCTTCCCTATGATTACTAAATGTGACGCAATATCCTCTGACAATTGTGTTATATGTCTAGATTTCGTTTATTGCTGCCATTCCAATCACGAAAACACCGCTCAATGCACGTCCTATCATCAGCACATTTGAAGTTTTGTTGGGCCTCGACCAGCGAATTCTCGCACCCGGCGAGGAAGGTGCAGGAATATCACAATTTACTCATACGATGTACAGCGTTTTGATTCGAGTTGGCTGCGTGTTTTCTTTTATTACAATTGCGATTTTAGTGCCATCATTTGAAAGAATTATGGTAAGTGCAACAAAGAAATACTTTGCTGCCACCTCCTCGCTCTCTTTGCGTCAGTTGATGTCTTTATGATGTGCTAACGGACCTTGTGTGTATGATTAGGCATTGATGGGTTCGGCGCTGTGCTTTTTGATATGCATCATTTTGCCTATTGTTTTCCGGCTCCGAATCTTTGCGGGGAGTCTACCGCGACGAACGGTTATATTTGACTGGTTCTTGATTATTTTCAGCAGCATTTTGGCGATTGCGGGAACTGTGACAGCAATATTGCCGAGAGATGTTTTGATTGGAAACGTCTAACCGCATACTTAGCTGCTTCTAGAGCACAGACGATAGAATCGATACACGATACGGCCAGGTGGATATTATCACTGGGCCAGCGAAAACAAAAGGAAAGAATAAAATAAAAAAATTTCAACCCCGTCTGAGTTCCCTTGCATATTAGCGATTTTTGGACGAGCAATGCGCAATATTCATGCACTGGATTGCACTACCTTTTGGTTTCTTTTTTAGAATTCTTATTATACATACAAGTGCACATGCATGATATGATGATATCCACGTTTGCAAGACTGATAAATGTACAGATCAAGAGTTCATATTATATTATACGGCGATTGATATGATATCTCTCTAGATGTTTTCTTCTTTTTCTTCGTCTAAGCTTCATGTATATTAAAATTAAACTCGTTTCCGCGTCAACTTAAGGCTGTTACCGGCCCTACTAGCCTACCTGCTTACTTAACCATCAAGCTGAGGTAAACAGACGCCCCGATAAGACTGTGGGTGGATGGTTGTAAGAACGATTTATGTATGTCCGTTAGTGGGTCCAAGCAGCCTCTGCTAGCCGAACGGCGACGCAGTACTAGTACTGTGCAGTCTCACTCTGTGGATCAAAACCCTGGCTAGTTGTGCCCCCCACATATGTGCATGTACGGGATGTATGTATATTTCCTTATGTACGTAGACTGAGGTGTGACTGAATGTGTGTGTGTATGTGCAGCCAGGCTGGATCGAGGAATTTGGTTTTAGCTTAGTCTTATCAACAGCCAGCCAATTTCCCGGTGCGAATATTAACTCTGACGGTACAGTGCGAAAGGCCACAATGCAAAGTGAAGAACCAAACCCCCTTAACAAAAATGAATATATGATGGATGTAAGTAAGTACTTAAGTAAGTAGTAATATAACATGGCATAGCGTGGCGTATATACTGACTTACTAGGTAGACATGGGGGGCTGATGACCATGGGCATATCAGATAAATCCGGGGCCGAACACACACCACAGACAAATCGAACTACCCAAAAGGCCACCACCAAAAACCCCAAGACTCACTGCACTGCACTGCATCCCACTATCACACTCTCCGCTTCATGATCCTGATGCCCCTGACGCTATACCTGCCTTGTGCAGACCGATCGAATTAACTGGCTCCCCTGCTTTACCCGGCATTTGCTTACTTTCCTTTATATATAACTCGTCTCAATCATGTCCATCGATACTCTCCCGAACCGATGATGCTCTGATAGCGCCTCGCCTATATACTCGCTGTATCTATATATACCTCCCACCTGGCACCCGTCCTTTTCGCACCCATCCTTTCGCGCTTGCCTAGGCGCTTTTCGGTCTCATATCATTTATATTCAGAATTCCGGGGAAGTGTTTCAAGGGGAGGAACGATTCTCTTACGTAAAGCTCCACTGGTTTACCCCAGAATTATCTCTCATACTCGTCCGGTGGTTCACAATATTATCTACTAAGTACGGTTACTAATCTCTCGGCGATATCTTTGTTCTGATAGGACAACTCCCTTCGACGGCCTTCGGTCTTTCTATCTGGCACATCTTACGTTACTTTCTCGGACGACCTTGCATCTTCCGGACTGATACACTTATTACTTCGTTAGTCGGCTCGTCGCCGAACTGGAACCCAGTTACACCGGCCAAACCACGTCTAGGCATGAGTCTTGGTCGCCATGTCTCAAGTCGACAGCTCCACGGATGGGAAGTCCTCAGGCCTGGCTAGGGTCTTTGGCTTTACCAGAGTCAAATCCTCAGCAGTATCGTCGCCTACAACCGTTGCTGCTTCTTCGTCGCAATCTCCCTCACAGAATTCACCAGGTTTTCCCTTCCAAACGTCCGGTTCGCCGCGCCCAGAACTTCAGTATGCAACTAATGGCGACCATGCTAACGGCATCGACGCCGCTCGATCTGCTGCAGCTGGAGGATCGATACATACCCATCATCTACTTTTGCAACTTAAACATGGAAATCCGTTGACGATGCGAATCAACGCTGCCGAAACACTCTGTCGTACTATTGTGGATTACCCTATATCATCGGTCAGCACCGTTTGGCTGACAGCCCAAGATCTTGCCGATATTCACAATCCACCTGAAGCTCGTCATGTTGCCTTCCGTTTGCTTATCGCCTGCATCTCACAATCTGAGGGCTCGTCTCTCGATCGCATAACCTACTTCCGCGCCATAGCAAATAATCACTCTACCAACGATTTTGAACTTCAACTCGAAGCTCTCGTATCCCTTACTAATGCTGGAAAAGACCTCGTCGCCTTCGAACGGGATATTCAGCCTCTACTCTCCCGTTGGCTGAAAGCCTGGTTCCGTGAAGCTGCGGCTGCCCGTCAGGCTCGGAAACGCGATAACTACCCCGCCACCACCTTCTCCCCAGCCGAATCCAACCTTCAACAGCTCTTCTCCTTCCTTATCAATGTTGTCAAGTTTAGTTTCAAAACATTCCAAGAAAAGGAGCTCGTCCCGCTTCTTAACGACATTCTTACTATTTGCAAGAAGACAACAAGCAAGGAAGATATCACTCGATCACTGATGTTCATCGATGCGTTGATTACATATGGTTACATCCCTAAGGCATCACTTACGCCGTGTATCGAGGTCCTCTGTGGCGCGTATGCCACGATACGAGATCTTACGGATGCTACCTGGAATGCCATCTGCAATCTTTGCAAATCTTACATGGCACACAACTCCATTCTTGCGCTGAAAGCTATTCTAGAGTCGCCGAGTCGGAGGGAAGGTCAGTTCAACTCGAACACCCTCCGAGGGGCAGTTTGCTTTTTCGAAAGACTGCTGCTCGGTGCGGGAGATAACGGCCTCCCTGAACTCCAGATCTCAACAGTGATGGGGGCCTATAAAACAAGCTTGTCGGCGAATAATCCAAGGCTGGAGCTGGATTTATGCCGTGCTACATACAATATTCTGGTCAAGAAAGATGTTACAGACCAGATTTCATTTGATGAGTGGTCTATACCGCTAGATATTGTGTACCAGTGTACAGCACGTGCTGCGGAACGGGCTCAAATTGTAGCACCAACCCCAGATGCGGCGCAGAAGAAGGACAACATTACCATGGCAGTGTATAACTCTATTGCACAGATTATTGGGCAACTTGAAAAGTTATGCACCTCCGTGGATTTTACTTCTAGCGAAGTAGTCATGGATTTCTTTCTTAAGATGCATGGGCATTTGCCTGATAGTGGCGCGGAGTTGGTGATCAACTACTACGCGACGGAACACCTATGTTATCCATCGTGTAGTGCTTGGTTGCTTAACTCTAGGCGGCTGATCGATATCTTTTTCAAGAATCGAGATAGGCCGTATATGATCCGTGTTTCGATATTATCGTTGATTAAAGACGTTTATGAGACAATCAAAGAAGTTTGTGACGAGCACAGTTTGCATACTCTTATCGTGGCGGTGTTTGATGCTATGCCAGGGGAGAGGGATGAGAGGGTGCTTGAGAAATTGGTGAGGGTTGCGGTCGACGTGGCAAAGGACGGAGGCGTGCTATTGTTCGAGAAGATCATGGGAGTCATGGTTGAATCACTGGAAAATAATAGCTTGCAAAGTCAGCACCAGCAACAGCAGACGGTTGATGGGGAGCATGGAAGAAAAGCAGACCATATTTCCCCATCGAATATTATTGTTAGAGGACTTACCTGGATATTTATTCAGAATTTCCAGGCGAACCCGACAAGGGCATTAGCCGTCTATGATGAGCTACTCAGGATCGCGGAATCAAAGAACTATGAGTTGGATGCGAGGCTAACGGCTGTGAGGTTGTTGGTGAGGATTAGAGCCGACTCCGAAAATTACATTCATTTGGTAGAGGATACGGAGTCGTACAGTCTAGCCACACTGTTGGGAAAGACTGAAAAAATGGTGAATGACTCGCCAAAATCAGATACAGAATCGATATCTTCGGAAGGGCCTGCCGCTGGTACACTTGGGAGAAACTCTAGTTTGAGAAATATCAATAGCCAGGGGACTTTGCCGCGGACGGCTAGTCGACAGAATATTGAGAAATACGCTCGAGTTAAGCAGAAGCCTCCGATGTGGGTGTATCCTGAGGTGAACCCTTTCCCGGAGACGCTGCCACAGGTGGCAAGTCGCGAGCTTGTGTGTCGTACAGAGCCTACCCACGATGCTAGTGGGGCTAGGATTGCAACTGAACCTGAAAGGAAGATCTTGAACCTCCGCAAGTGGTTGGATATCGTCAATCGAGTTATTGAGAGCGGGACCAGCTTTGAGTTCTACTCGTATCTCATCGTCCATATACCCTCCCAATTATCCAACAAGACACTATTCTCGGAGTGTGGTGACCAAATTCAGCACATGCGGCTGATCATTTGCGAACAGCTCCATACGAACAGACTTCCAAACCTCGACCTTCCCAGCGATGTCAAAAAGGCGGACCTCGCAGTCGCCCTGATTAACCTTCTTACGGTCCTTATTTCGTACCAAGAATACTTTAGCAGGACAGATCAAGAGGCTATCGTGAAGGCGTTCCAGCTTGGTCTTCACTCATGGCAGAGAACTGCAAAGCCATGCATCCACGCTCTTTCGATTTGCATCTACGAGCTTCCTACTGCGACCACGAAGTTTTTGCCGGGTATTCTTGTCAAACTCTCACAAATCATTACGACTGCGGCTGTCAGCGTTCACATTCTGGAGTTCCTGTCTTTATTAGCGCATTTACCATCTACAACTGTGAATTTCACTGAACCGGATTATAAGAGCGTTTTTGCGATTGCGTTCCGGTATATTCAGCATACGAAGGAGACACATCTAAACCGTTCAACATCGTTGCACAAAGGGAAGGATAACTCGAACCATCACTCGCCGGAAGCCAATCACCATACCCAAGAGCAACCCCAAATCTCGCAATACGTCCTGACCCTAGCTTACAATGTCATCTCTACGTGGTTTTTGGCATTGAAACTTAACGACAGGGCAAAGTATGTTACCTGGATTACGCGCGGTCTGATTCTAGGCGACGGAGGACATAGAGATGTCCTTGATGAACAGAGTCAGGCGAGTATTGATATGTTAAGACGTTTTACGTATGCGGATGTGGAGGTGAAGAATCAAGTTAAGGCTGTCCAAACGGCTGGCCATACGACGAGTGCAAAGAGCTGGTTGCTGGGTTCGAAGATTATCACAATCAATACGTCCGTTATTACGGGGATCTCGCAGGTGGTTATTCGACAACCGGTAAGTAAAAATTTCCGATCTCTGTCGACCTCGTAGGTGTAGAATGCTAATTGATTTATTCAGTCTGGAAGCTCGAGTTTCAATTTGAGTCCAGAATCGCAGCAAGCGCAGAGCATTCTCCAAGGAACGTTTACGCCCGAGGCTCTAAATTTGAATAATGGAACTGGGCAGGAGAGTCCAATTGATCGAGCTCACCATCCTGTTTTTGAAGCTACTCGGCAGCCATCAGTTCTTCCTAGTCATATGCTTATGCAACTGACTACCGATGTGTCATCCGAGATATCCCGTCCCGTTCTCCTTCCAGAGGACGACCAGACACAGCGGGCAATCAACGTATTTGACCGCATCCCAGTCGTTGACTTCCACAAAATTGGGGTGGTTTACGTAGGTTCCAGTCAAACCGAAGAGTCCGAAATTCTCTCCAACGTCATGGGTTCATCCGACTATACCGATTTTGTTGGCAACCTCGGAGATCTCATCGCTCTTAAGGGTACTACAATCAATACTGGCGGCCTGGACCGTGAAGTCAACATGGATGGCGAATTTGCGTTCTACTGGAGCGACAAGATTACACAGATCATATTTCATGTTACTACTATGATGCCCACGGACCGAATTCATGACCCACGATGTACGAACAAGAAACGACATATCGGCAACGACTTTGTTAACATTATCTTTAATAACTCCGGACTCCCATGGCGGTTCAATACTATTCCCTCGCAATTCAACTTTGTCAGCATTGTGATTACTCCTGAGGCAAAGACCGGATTCCTCGCTACTCGGCTTAAGGACTGGAATGAAGCGGATAAAGGATACTATAAAGTCCAGCTCATGGGCAAACAAGGGCTTCCAGAGATATCACCCGCAAGTGCAACGGCAGAAGGTGGTGGGAAGATGGTCAGCGGGAAGAATTTATCTGCATTTGTGAGGAATTTGGCATTAAATGCTAGTGTCTTCTCACACGTGTATAACGAAGGCGGATTGGACTTTGTGAGTAACTGGAGACATCGACTTAGAGCGATTAATAAGTTGAGAGAGAAGCTGGGAGTGACGGTTAGCCCTGGGAGCCGGGCTAGTGATTATAGGAGGATTTCATTGGCAGGCAGTGTGGCCAGTAGTACGGAGTTGATGCAGGCAGAGCGAGCGGAGGCGAACGAAGTTGATGGATTGTTGGAGAATGTGGATTTTTCAAAGTGGACTTGATAGAGATTAAATATACTCTCTATCCATAGTCTACACTCTGTCCAAATCTTGGGACTTCCCTACCCTTGTTTTCTTTTCTTTTCTTTTTTACCACCCCCAAAAGTTTGATTTTATCTGAGCCTCTATTTTCTTGTTTCTTTGTTTATATTCCCCAAAGATAAGGGCGGAGTACATGGCGAAAAAATTTAACTTTGTTACCAATATTTATCTATCATGGTCTCTTTGCTTCTTATTTAGCGCCCCGTTTCCCCTCTTCTTTTTTTCTTTTATACATACCTCTTTTTATCTATTCCCTTTTTTTCCGGAATCACAAAAAGTCTTAGTCTTCACTTGATACCATACATTACCTGTTGATATCACTTGTTCCAATATACCCGTGATATATAAATATATACCCCGCTACAGAAGCGAATGCACTCCGTTCATCATCATCACACAGCTAGATCTAAAGAGTGTACGCAGGAAATGTTATGTTCTATTTTATATGGTCCCGGAATTTCATGTTGCGCTAAATGTTGACTTGGTATATATATTGTGGCTGTAGCTACCATCGGACCCTTGCTTTTAGGATTTATGATCGAACGATCGATCACTATCATGGCTCTTATATTTAACATGTTGATACTACTCTTGAATTCTTGATGCCCATGAGCCTATATATAAGTTTTGATGCTTAACTAATTTCTTGGATATGGGTAGAAGTAACTCGAAGAGTATAGTAAATTAATTATTCAATTTAGAAAAGAAGAAAACAATACATTCTATCATAAACCCAAAAACCTGTAAAATGCTATACATCTATATATAATATAATATCATCTTGAACTACAACGCTATTTATTGGAAATAACGTATAACAACTAACCCTCTAGTCTCCAATACCCCCCAGCCTTCCTCCTTAAGACCCCACTCCTCACCGTAGCCATATTCAATACCCTATTCATCTTTTCCTTTTTTCGTCTGTATATTTATTTATTTTTTATCTTCCAGTATAATGTAACGCCGCCATAATCATCAAATCCACGATAATATGATGAACACACGTCCACACCATCGCAAACAAGTATTTTGGCGAAAAAACAGTCCAAACGAATAGATGCATTCTTAACACCATGCATGCTCCCATTACCGCCACCATAGCCACCGCGCGGAAAGTTGACGTGAGTTCCGCGAAATTAAGGTATGTATCTGTTAGTGTGCCTTCCGCTAAAGAAGAGGAAGAAAAAGAAGAAGTAGGAGGGGATGAATTATCACCCTCGTCCTTTTTGGCAGCTTTCTTCTCCTTCATCTTCCTCCCCATCCAACTACACATCAACCCCACCCCTCCAGAAGTCCACAACACCGGTCCGGCCCAGTTACTCAAAAAAGTAAGGATTCCGACTACACCCACATTGAAGCCCGAAACTCCATTATAAGCGTTACTAAGATCTACGGAAGATATGGCGTTTGAGTTTCCCAAAGCGAAGAAAGAGACGTGTTGCATTGTTATGACGGTTAGGGTTATTTGTAGGAGAGAATCGAGTTTCATGTCGTCTAGGAGGAGGAGCATTACGTTGAAGAACCAGATTAAGGGGATGTTGGTTAGGCGGGATTGAGTGGCTATGAAGACTGTGAGGAGGTCGTGGAATGGTTGGAGTTTTTTGAGGGGGGATACTGTGCCGGGGGGGTTAGATAATATTATGTTAGAACTTTTTGTGAACCTTGGTATTGATGCTAATGTGAGTAAACGTACCTTTGACTCCGCTCATGCCCGAGTTTCGGACAAAAACGAGATAAGTCCCTATCAAGAGGATAATTGAAAACACCAACTGCGCCTGCGTAACCACCGAAATAGCGGCAAATCCATCCGCCAAATTCATCAAGTAGGACGGTATCAACTCCCTTGTGTCTAAAGCTGCCATGCTGAGTTTAAACAGCATACTGACCACCACTGGAGAAATACTCATCACGGGACCCACTAAAACGGAGTGTTTTGTGTCTAGATTACGTTTGAGACGGAAAAACATGTCGGTGTAGGAGAAGAATACGAGGGCCCAGAGAATTGTGGGGTTATTGGTGAGGAAGGTGTTTGTGATATCTGAAGCGCCGGCGTGTTTTTGACCGGTTTGGTTCCAGCGACGGGTTAGTCGGAGGAGAACGAGAAGTATCATGGATTTTGAACCGGTTTCTCCTCGTTGGAGTCTATAAGCGAGACGTTTTTAGTATTCTTGATGGTTGCCTTCTTTCGGTTTCTATCTGGGATGGAGGGGGAGGCGTACTCTCTGATTAGGAGGATTATACCCCATCCTGAGGCCGCCCAGTACCAATACTGTTGTTCTTCTTCGACATAGCTACTTGCTATCATCATACCACTATAAGAAAGCGAGAGGGCCCAGAAGAGAAATTTGTAAAGTGCTGAGCCTGGGATACCGTCTACCACCCAAACGGTGGTGAAGAGAACCAAAGAGATGGTACCAATTATTATTGCGATGAGCATGCTGTCTGTATCATAGTTTGTAGCAGCAGATGTAAGAATATCTTGACATTCGCTGGAGAACTGCTTGACTATTAGCTTTTCATTCATACATCATTTGGAACAAAGGGGTTCATACAGTTGAAAATAGCTTCATCTGCTCCGAAGGCAGTAAAGACAGAACCGCGGAATGCCATATGCAAGCTAAGTTATCGAGCTGGCCGGTCTTTCCATTGCACTTGCCCTCGCCCAGGAGTCTATCAAAATCCGAGTATGATGCGGATATTAACCTTGATAGTTCTCTACCATTCGTATTTAGAATCTTAACCTGGTCCTTGACTACCAAAATTTAGCCTCGATTCCATATAAATTTAGATATTGTAAGCAAGCGGACGACAAACCATCCCACAACGGTAGAAAATCCTGAATAAAGAGTCCAAGATTATTTTTTGGTATCGGTAATCCCAATAGAGTCGTCAATGTCGGCGCGACATCGGATTGCTCGATTCGACGGTAATATGTAAACTCGTCCTTTGGTACTGCCGGCGCAGCAAACGTTGACTCTAGAGCTTTAAGTTTCGGCGACATGAAGACTAAAGCAGCAGATGTTTCACCAGAAGATGAACCACCATGTCCACCGCCATCGTTCATGCCGTGGTCTCCGACTAACACAAATAGAGTGTCTTTGAGGTGTTCTTCGGTTTCAATGGCGTGATAAACTTGCTTGACTATGCCGTCCATTTCACGTTGTTTCGGGATCATATGCTGGCTGGACTGTGTTTGTCAGAGCAGCGAATTCTGGTATGTATATATGTTTCCACACCCACCTTCGAGGTCCGGTTTTGTGACCGATGTGGTCTAAGCCAAGGTAATGAAGGATCATAGTATCCCAATCTGGCTGTCGGAGTTCCGGTGCAACATGGCGAGTGACATTGTTATCCACTTCCGTGAAGTCCTGTATTTACGGTATTCACTATTTAGCCCCCGCCATATCCCTTATAATGAGACCGGATGATGAATCTCCGCACTTCATTCATACCGAAACAAAGAAGCTGACAGTTCCATCCGTGCGCTCAAAGATACCAGGGAACAGCTTCAACCATGTATCGTCTCCGAACATAATAAGCTTCTTCCCGCTCTGTTTGATCTGTGCTAGCCAATTGTCTTGTGTCGCCAACGTAGATGTCGTATCGGACTCGGCGAAGTTAAGAATGAGATCCAAGAAGCCAGGGATTGAGCCCGTCGTTAGAGCCTTGATCTTTGGCATGGTGATAGTTGGAGAGGTAGCATGGGCCGTGAATGGGATTGCGACACCGGAGCGTATTAAACTGTATATACAACCACCCCAATCATCATCGTTTACTCAATTGTAAGCCCCTCAATTATCTTTTAATCTGGATTCAGCAATGGTGCGGAAGAATGTCCCCACCTTTGAGTGTACTCAAACCCCGAATGTTCTCCAAACACGAAATCACTATTGTTCGCGTACTCGACATCAGCACCCATATTTCTATATAGCGGACAATCACAGTTCGCGTCGGACCAAAGATATACCTCCTCAGCGCATCCACCAGCATAAATACTATCTTCTCGAACTGCGCCGGCGCAGGTGTATCTTCACCATCGTGATAGTCGGCATGTTGCGCGAGTCCCTGCAGGAAGGGTTTATACGGGAAGAACGCCTTCGCGAAGACCAGGACAGAGAGGACCAGTAGTAAATTACCAGCCGCTAGTCGCAGCCAGCGAAGCGAAAGTTGAACCATCTAGAGAGCGCGTTCCACGGCGATATTAATACAGTACTTGAAGATGGTCTCCGGGGTGGTTGAAGGGTAACTTACCGTTAGCTGGTTATATGAATGAAGTATGGTCTTCGAGACGGGGAACAATGACTCGGCTACTTTGCTGTTTTGGGATTCGAGGAATGTCGCAGACAACTTGAAAAACTTCTTCCTCTTCAATCTTCGCCTTCGCCTTCAATACAACAGACATCGCGAACTCGAATTTAACGGCTTCAAAGAGTGGGAATTGGGAGTATATTATAGTCACAAAGATGGATTAGTTTATTAACTACAGTCTATTTCGCCTTACATTCAAGCCTTCCGGGTCAATTGAAGCTTTTTGCCTGCAACCCAGCTACAGCTTCAAAGGCCCCTCCATTGTAAACGAAGCCCCACCACGGGGACCTCAAAGAAGAGGAATTATCACGATACCGTCGCCACAATGGTTCTCCCAGCTCTTCTTCGACGGGGCTGCCGTTTGGCTATCCGTACTCGACTTCCTGCCCGACTTCCTGCCCGTCTTCCTACTCGTCTTCCCATCAGCCCATTGTCAAGATCAAGTCTGATACCCAGACTCTTTACTACAACTTCCACAAAATGGGCAGCAATCCGTACTCTCGAAGAACTAAAAGCCGAACTTCAACCAAACGTCCCAACAGCAGCAGAAATCGAAGCAATAAACGAAGCTATAAAACGTCTCCCTGAAGAAGCACAAGAACTCCTAGCCCGAAAGTTCCCATTAGTCCATGAATTCATCAGTCCCGCACAATACAACCTTCTCACACTATCCCTCCAACCGTACCTCAATTTCTCCGATATCATAAAACCCGACCCTACCGATGAAAAGGCCCCGCATAATCCGTTTACTATCAAAGCTATGTTACCGGTATACGGTCGTCCTTTACCACCTGGGTTTCATTTCGCCTTCTTCAACGGTTATACTCAAGAATCGGATTTATCACCAGATGGTTATATATCCTCACAAGCACCGGGAGGGCCATGGACCCGTCGTATGTGGGCCGGTGGGAAACTTACGTTCAATCGTATGCCTGAAAAACGTCAGAAAGGTAGTGATAATGGTGCTCGTCGTGCGAGACCATTGGACATTGGACGTCGTGCGTATTGTCATGAAACGGTTGAAGATATTCAGATGAAAGGGGAACCGGGAAGTCCGAATGAAATGATGTTTGTGTATTTGAGACGGAAGATTTGGGCTACGGGGTATATTGTTAGAGAACCTTCGAAATCGCCAAAGATTAAGGAGGTTGAGGACTTCGATGAGGATAAAGTAATACAGCCGGATGAAGATGTTCCGTTGATTGAACAGCGGGTATTGGTTTATATGCGGCCGAAGCAAGAGGCTGTGGAGACACCGGCCTCATCTTCTTCTACTGAAGAAGGGAAGCAGGAAGCTATCGAAACATCTGCTACCGAGGAAGTTAACCAGGAAGCTGTTGAAACACCATCTCCTCCTGCCGAAGAACTGAAGCAGGAAGATAAGAAAGACGAAACGACCGAGCAACCAACAAGCAAGCCCATAGCCAAAGAAATGGCCCCAACCTCAAGAGTCTCATCTCGCGCCGAAAAGGCAGAATTCAGCCATACAATCACTCCCTCTCACCAACTCCTCTTCAGATACTCAGCTCTAACCTTCAACGCCCATAAAATCCACTTCGACACCGAATACACCCAAAAAGTAGAAGGCCACAAGGACCTCCTCGTTCACGGTCCCCTCACATTGACTTTCCTCCTCGAATTACTTAGAAACCACACGTTCACCCTTGAAAAACAATACAGAGTCTGCGAATTCCAATACCGTCATATCGCACCCGTCTACGTTGGTGAAAAGATACACCTCTATGGTCGATATCTACCTGATGCACCAGTTCCAGCACAAGAAAAAGACGACTACGATCCTCGGGAGAGGTTAGTCCCGATGTACGACGAAATGGACGACCTTCGAAAAGAACTACAAAAATTAGGATTGGAAAGGGACCCCAGCGTCGATCCGGAACAAAACAAATTACGAAAGAAAGAATTAAGAAGAATGTTGACCATACTGAAAAAGGAGAGTGAAAAACTCGAGAAATTCCAGTTGAAACCCAAGAGGATTATCGACTATAGAAAATACGAACTATGGGCTGAAAACGATAAGGGACAGATTGTGGTCAGGGGCACAGTCTTGATTGAAGATCTACCTACGAAGGTTGAACTCACGCCTGAGCAACAATGGAAGAAATACCAGAGTGAGATGGCAAGAAATAGGAAGATGATGCAGAAACAATTATTGCAGACGCATAGGGACGAAGTTAGGAAGAGAAGAAGAGAGAGAAAGCAGAGACTAAGATCTCAACAGATGGAGAGGGAGAGGTTGAGAAGACAAGAGAGAGAAAAGTTGTATAAGGAAGCCAAAGCGGCTATCGCAAGGGGCGAATTACCGCCGGATCACAAGATAGATTACAGTACGGTCGATGCTATGATGAAGGAATTGGAGGCAAGACACAAGGCGGAACGACAAGAAGCCGAGGCGTATTTGGAACGTGGAAGAACCACCGAGGAACTCATGGATGGTGTTGATGACGATGCTACTTGGAAAGTAGATTATCATGAACAGTACGAACAGGAAGATCTAGAAGGTTATGAAGATAACTACAACCACGATTTAGAAGAGGGCGAGGAGAGTGGTAGTGACGATGATGGTGAAGAGGGTGAAGAAGGTGAAGAAGATGAAGAAGATGATGAATATGAAGATGAAGAATATAGGGATCAGAGGGACGAGCGACGGGAGGAAGAGTATGACGACGAGGATATCGATTGGAGGAAGCGGAGGTAGATAACTTGAGTCGGAAGGAATGCATTAATGCTTGCTACCCAATTTTCTGGCCGATTACAGCCTTTCTTTCACCTGTACAATTGTATACTACTTAGATTCTATTCTAAATATTTGCTTGTATATATTTTTAAATCATTTAGGCATGGTCCTACCTGTATCAATACATATAAAGTACTTATAATTACTTTATATAGTGTACCTTCACGAAATACAAGGTTTTTGCACATGTACTTTCCTACATACACACCTTCACAGAATTTGATTAAAAACTTTACTTTAAGAAGCGGGACCATCATCCGGCAAGATATAAAATAGTTCATATTATCTTTTTCATCTAGCTTATAATTAACCTAGCTAAAGCATCTAACATGAATTTCTTTCCTTCTTTTGACCATGTTGCCAAAGGTAAAAAAAAAAAAAAAAAAAAAAAAGTATAATGAGCAACACCAATCAGTCCAGCGGCATGTGGTAGTTTTTTAAGGCTCGTGTATAATATTTTTTCATGAAGTACCAAAGCAGATTATCCTGTCTGATACCTATCTGCAGATTCTTGTCCAAGACGACAGATATTTTCTCTTTTTTTGGTGTAGACGAATAGGGTCTTATATTGGTATCCTCGGAACCTACGAGGGAACTTTGGGGTAGTAACCCTCAGTCCTTGTAGGGGAAAGTGGTTTTTTTGTTAAAATCCGAGTAATTGGGAATGAGGGGAGTTAGTGAAGAAGTGAGTGAGAGAGTGAATCGAGTTAATCGTCGTCAATGGGTAGATGTATTACAAATACCCAGGATCGGTAGGCAGGTTAGGTCAAAAAGGAAAATAAGGAGGGGAGTCGGGATGAAAAAGAAGGGTAGAGGGTGGGGAATAAACAATAAAAAGTTTGGCTGGTCGTATCACTGATACTAGATGTCGATGCATCTAAGGTTAAAGTAGATATTGTTGGAAAAAAAAAAAAAGATAAAAAGAAGAAAAACGAAATTGCGACTTTTGTCATAGGGTCCGAGGGTATTCCGGTAGTCGATGTCGTTGATGGAAAGGAAGCAAGTCGTTAAGGAAAGTTGAAATAAAAATAAAAAAAGAGAAATTGAACCCCAAAAAGAGATAACCCCGCCAAAGCAAAAAAATCTAGCACCTGTTGGCCCGATTCTAATTGATATCAAAAAGGAATCCGCCAGAGCTCGAAAAGGGAATAGAGAAAGAAACGAAAACAAGAAGTAGAACACCCGGCTGCTTTTTTTTGGTTTGTTGAAATTTGCCGGTCATAATGTCGGTGATTATTTTCACCTCATCAAGTGTTAAAAAGGTGTGTAATGAAAAGGAATAAGGGAGGTCGTAAGCTCTGTACACATAAAGCAAGAAACGAAACGAACCAATCCGTCCGAAAACAACCCGCCGTTTCAAGCTCCCGAAGAAAACAGATTGCTGCGCCGTATGAACATCCTAAGAAAGCAGAAAGAAGAGAAGGGGAAGAAAAAGGGAAGAAGAAAATGGACAGCGGAGTATAAGTTACAAAAGAAGAGTAATGCTGGTGTTTCCGTATAGGTAGTACTATTTGTGGATAAGGATAACGAAATCAAAAACAAAAAGCAAACTAAAAGCAAAGGGACGCAAAGGGACGAAAAAAAAAAAAAAATCTTGGAAGAACTGGTATGAGTAGATACTAGTATTTTTCATAGAAAAAGTAGACAGAGTGTCTTCCTGCGATCTTTGCCGTATTTCAATAAAACGGAAGTTTGGGGGTAGAATAGACCCCTTCATCCCGGGTATCGAAGGGAGGGAAAAAAAACACGAAACACATGTGCCCATAGAACGCCTGTGAACTATTCCACCATAAACCGAAAAGGAAAAACAAAAAAATACTTCGCTTCAAATGCGCCGGTAGTAGTATGGAGCATAAAAACAGAACAAGGCATTTAAATAGCAGGAATTGGAGAGTCGAGCTTTAAAACACCGCGGATGTGAGATTCCGCCATACGAGCTCGAACTGGGTCGAATGTCTGAGCATTATGACCATTGGGTTGTTGGAAATTATTTTGGACGTTGTGATTGAAATTTTGTTGTTGTTGTTGTTGTTGGTTTCGTCCGTTGCGATGGTGTTGACCGTTAGCCTTTGAGTTGACGGGACGGTTCTGGTTGAAGTGGCGAATGCGTGGGGCCGGCGCAAACCCCACGTTGTTTGTTCGAGTGCGTCGCTCGTGGATGGTGGGAGACAATGGTACACCTCCAGCAGTGTCAGGAATTTCAACAGCGTTGAGCTTCGGGTTGGGTGAAGGAGACGAAAGATCGAATGATTGACCCCCTCCCATAAGTGCAGCTTTAATCTGGTTGGCCTTCTCAGTTCGCTTGATGTGTGTCTCAGGGTCGCATGCCTTGGCGCTAAGTGGTCGGTGTCGTGGTCCTATGACGACTTCTTCCACAGGTCGCGGGGCTGCCTTCTTATCAGAGAAATCCATGGTGAACAGCATATCACGGTCGTTTTCCATATCATCCCGTTTAACCGACTTACCTCCGAATGGACTACCGAGTCCATTCGGGAGTGCAGCACTGGGCGGGGTGATATTTCGAACAATGTTGTGCAACTCATTAGCAGGGTTTGCCAATGGCTGAGGCGAGACCACTTCATTTTGAGAGATGGCAGCAAGCGCTTTGCGAGCCTTTTCTTCCTTGTCGGCCTGGAAAAAGATATCCAAAGGAGTGCGAAGTGGGGCAGTTGGTGGAGGCGAGTCTGTGATCACTTGAGTGCGACCATCGGTTTCGGCAAGCATCTTGGACAGAGATGGACCTTCAGTAGTTGTGGGAACGGACTTTGAAAAGAATTTGGGAAGGGGGAGAGCATTCGGGGCTGGTGATGCATCATGGAAGATAGCTCCAGCATAGCGGCCAGCAGCAGCAGGTTTTCCGAAAAAGAGATCATCGGGAGGCGTGTACTGTTGTTTGGGAGGTGTGAAGTGCTGAACATTGACATTGTTTGGAATGTCGGTGCCACGCTTCCCTTTGCCCTTTTTCTTGTTGTTGAAATTCTTTTTCCCGTTTCCATTGGCATGAGCACCGATAGCCGAGTCACTAACGTAGGCATTGGGTTCCCGACGATGGTTGGAAGAACCGGGTGTAGCAGGAGGGGTTACAATGCCCCTTTCGACAACAGAGTTTATGGCAGAGTCAGAAGCTGCACCGTTGTCCATTTGAGCAGCCTCGCGGAACTTCTTGGTTAGGGCGGACTCTTGTCGTGGTGGTTGCTGATGTTGATACTGTTGGCCATTATTTGGGTTGTTGAATCGGCGTCCCTTGTTATTGTTGACATTGTTGTTCTTTTTTCCGGTGCCGGTAGTAGGGACTTGTGGACTGCTTCGAGTTTGTCGATGCTTGTTCGGCGGTCGACTCGGGGTCGATGTGTTCTGTTGTGTTGAATTGTCGGACATTGTGAATGTGTGTTTGGGAAGAAAAGTATTGACGCAGGAAGTAATGATATATCCAAGGTGCTGGACCTCTCAGGATGCAACTGTAGGGATTAAAAAAAAAAAATGAAGGAAAGAAGAACGAGACACGCAGGAATTTGCGACAGAGAACGCCGTAAAACTTGAGAAAGACAATCCTGGCTAAAAAAAACTGTTTAAGGAAACTAAAAGGCAACAACGAAGCGACAGGAGGGTTAGAGTGTCATCTAGACAGCAGCATTGAGGGGATATGGGAGGGGAGAAATAGAGGGATATGTACCAAGGATAAGACTAGCTTCCTTTATTAATGTTCGCGAGGAGGATTGCAGTAGTAGTGCGTGATGAGAGTTGATGGTTGTCGATGGTTGTCGATGGCAAGTTGAAGGAGGTGAGGTTGATTTGATTTGGTTGATAGTTGAGATAAGATTAATTGATTTGGCTAATTGATTGAAGTTTTTTGTTTGCTCGGAAATTTTGGGAGCTGAAATTGGTTTGAAGGAGGTTTGTCGGAAAAGCGATTCTAGTTGGATTGAAATTGATAAGTATCAGGACTTGGTTCGAGAAGTTATTGTGAGGTAATTCGATAGTAGAGAGGAAGAATGGAAGCGAAAGAAGAGGCGGTGATGATGGTGATTATGATGATGATGATGATGATGGTGATGATGAGTGATGAGAGTGAGGATGGAGCGATGGAGGTGGGAGATGAGAGATGAGGTTGGAGGTTGTTGGTGATGAGAAGGAAGAAGAAGAGAAGAGAGAAGGAAGAAGAAGAGGAATGAATTTGGGGAAAGAGAAGAAGAGCGAAAGCGTTGGAGCAGAGGGGCTCTGTGTTGTGGCACAACGCAATGTGTTGTTTGGCAAACAGCAGCAAACGGGGACACGAACTGGACTGAACGAACGAAAACCACTAAAAGTACTTACAGGAAGGCTGTTTAAATATCGGGTTGAACTTGAAGCGATTCAATCAGCACGGAACCGAAGGGAAGGAGTATTTGTATGTGCTTTGAGATAGGATTGTGTATCTGAGACGAAGGGGAGAAGGGAAGGAAGCGGATGAGGTGGAAGAAAGAGAAGAGAAGAGGGAAGGAGGGTAGGGATTAAGAGGATATGACTGATAACGGAACTATGTTACCGGTCGGAAGTACTTCTTTGGAAGGAATCGAGACAGAGTTTTTTTTTATTATTTTTTCTTCTTAATAATTTTCTTTCTTTCTTTCTTTCTGTCAACTTTGTATTTTCTTATCTTTCCTTCCTTCCTTCTTCTTCTTCTTCCTTGTAACTAGCAATTTGCAGTGTGCAATCTGGGGAGGGGACGGGAGTTCTGGGCAAAGGATCGAGAAATAGGCTTCGGGATTGTATGTACCTGGTAGGCCTGACACAATGGCTAAACTTCGAACAGGCGACTACGCTGAGAAAGAAACGTATTTATATGGGACAGGGCAATATAAATCAAGCCAAGTCGAGTCAAGTCAAGCTAGTTGATGAATAGCGGGCAGGTATGTAGGAGAGACTACAAGACTTCTCAAGTAAAGTAAATTATATAGATCTGAAAGGATGCAATTGCAATATCGGGAGTATAGGTAGTCAATAGAATAATCGGGAAGGCAGGAATTCGAATTCGAACGGAGAAATCAAATGAAATAAAATAAAATAAAAGAAGCTGGCTAGGAAATATTTCAAAACAACCACGGAGGAATGATCGATTGTGATTCAAAATTGTAAATGTAAAAAAATAAAAATAAAAAAAAACGAACGGCCGGGCCAGGGGGAAAGGGCACTTTTTATCCTCGTCTTGACTAGCTAAGTACTTAAAGAGTATACACATTTAACCAACGGTACATAACCCAGAACCCAGTGCAGCGAAGTGCAGCGCAGTGCAGTGCAGTCATAACCAGCCTGCAGTTGGCTGGACCCGGTTCAGGACGTTTATGTCTATTAGTGGGTTACTTACTCAGCTAGCCGTTCTGCCTTCAGCTAGATACTTACGGAGTAGTTTTCTTGGATTAATTTCAAAGTTAACCTGGCCTGTCCACCCGGCCGGTGCAGGCAAAATCCCATTTTGATTGAAGAGAGAGAGCTGTGCAGTGCTGTTGTGCTCTGCATTCGCCTCCAGGCCTCGTTCATGATTCGCCCCCCTCTCCTCCCCACCTCCTTCTTCCCCTCCCATGCCACATGCCATATGTACGTACTTACTTACTTACTTATGTACTGTACCAGGTAAGAAGTACTTTCTTATTCATGGCCATCAATCAATCAATCAATCGATCAATCAATCAACAAACTACACAAACATACTCCATGATGTGATGGGTATATGCATGGATCGTACATGTATGTATGTACGTATGTAGGATGCGTGTGTAGGAAGTGTATCTTCAACATGCAAAACCTCACTGGGAAAGACCTTCTGGCACTGCCTGCCGCTAACGGCTAGACCTTTCATCGACTCGTCCCCATTTCGCATGAACTTCAAACATCCTACCTCTCCGCTCGGGTCAAACTATGCGTCTGCTTGTGTGCTGGTGTCCATACGCCATGCAAGGGGGTTTCCCCTTCGCCGGTTTAAGCTATTCGGACCCATCATCACGATATTTTTCTTCGGCCCCAGGCGCCCAGGCTAATTATATGTACTATGTAAGATGCAATTGACGATGCCGTTAACCTCCGTTTCCAATGGCGGCATTCCTCCAACCTAACTTAGAAAATCACATCAGGTTGCAATTGCATGCCTTCGTTGGTACTTACATAGCGTAGCATAGCATTGGTATTAACTGCTGAAGCGGTTCCTTTTTAGCCGATTCCGTAGCGCCATATCTAAAACCTTTTCCTGGGGGAGAGTCTTGTCGAAATAAAATAAGTTTAAGTTCGAGAGGCATGCTGTTAGCATCAGAGACAAGGCTGGAGATGTGTCATGTGAAGGAAGTGGGTTAGGTTGGGTAGTCGGGTACATGGACTGACATTCCTTGCCCTGTCCACCAACGTAATTAATGCAAGTCTTCATCAGAGTGACACTATTCTATTCGATTCCTTCACTTTGGACTTTGTATGTGCCATACAGACCGCCACTCGTCCCAACAGACGATGCCCCACATAGTTACTTAATTAAGTATTTATGTACATACCTCGCAACTTAGTGTATATTATTCCTATGGGCAAAAGGTGCTTTGTTATAGATTTACAGATTGACATTTCATCATGTTATCTTTGCCGCCCCCGCAGACAAAAGTCAGGTTATGACACTGGCAATTGCATATACTATTTTGAGAAAATATACAACCTGTGTGTTGCGTGTTCGTTCCTCCCCAACACATGTTCATTCCCCAGTCTGATCACGTGATTCTCGATCCTTGTGTTGACGGGGAATTGAGGGAAGCTGTCTGTCTCCAAGCTGTCCCACGCCAACTGCACTTTTGAGCCTCTCCACCAAAGCAGAGCCAAGGGAACAGTCACTCCAGCTTTCCTTATCCTCCGGCAGCACGACACCATCACAAAAACCCCCAAAGTAATCCTTCTACATCCTCCATATCCTATTTATCATCATCTTCTCTATTTCAATCAACACATACAAAGAACGGGCACTAGACACATAAACCACCATGGATGTTGATATGCCAGATGCCGGCCCCTCCAAGGCTGTAGTCAAATCCAAGGGCGGTGACGGTGACGGAAAGAAGAGATTCGAGGTCAAGAAGGTACATTCTCATGCCATAAAACACGTACCCTCATCTGTTTTCTCTAATTTACTAACCTTCAACCGTGGCATCTAGTGGAGTGCTGTTGCTCTCTGGGCTTGGGATATCGTTGTTGGTATGTTTTACTATCCTCCCATCTTTTTCCAGATATATCATTTCCCTCGAAACAAACCAAAATACTCCGAGAACCACGTTGGCTAACACCTTGATCCTTTTGCCTAGATAACTGTGCCATTTGCCGAAACCACATTATGGACCTTTGTATGATCCTTTCTCATCTCCATCTATCTATACACATTCATACGAAAAAGCATACATTTGATCCAGCCGTTATATTCCAACGCTCGCTGCCCCACGTTACCCGTATATATGTACCCACTAGAAGTAATGCAAGACTGACGTGTCCACCACCATCTTTTCGTCGCATAGGTATCGAATGTCAAGCCAACCAGGCCTCTGCCACGAGTGAAGAATGCACAGTAGCTTGGGGAATCTGCAATGTACGTGGTCTCCTCCATCTAAACTACCCCTCCCATTCCTTTTTCTTCTTCTGTTGCTTCTATGACCCTCCCCACTTCTGACAGCGATGGTGCAGTCTAAATCACAAAAAAAAAAAAAAAGGGGGGGATGGGGCTGATATAACAAAATGGACATTTAGCACGCTTTCCACTTCCACTGCATCTCGAGATGGCTCAAAACTCGTCAGGTCTGTCCGTTGGACAACCGAGACTGGGAATTCCAGAAGTATGGTCGCTAGACCATCAGGGTAGAAGAGGACGTATATCTACGAAAGGGGAGAGAGGCAACATACGACCACGAACGAGGAAAGCATTTACACGAACGAAGAACTTACATCAAGCAAGCGTTTCCGGCCATCAAGAAAAAAGTACCCTATTTGGAAAGATACCGTTTTTCTTATTTTGTTAATTCCCTTTTAATTGTTGGAACGATATAGATGCAAAAAGATTCTTATTTGCATTACATAAACGGTTTATTCTAACGGTCATGGAGAATACTGTACCCAGTATATTATGCTGGATGACGATCAACTTTTTTTTCGATTCTGGCGCCTTCTATTCCTTTTTTTTTTTTTTTTTTTTTTCATTCTGGTTCTTTTGGGACGGAGAAGAATGGGAGCATGGTTCAATGAAAGAAGAAGAAAAAAAAAGGCAAAGGAGAAAGGCAAGGCAAAGCGCAGCTTCATTATGGGCTTTTTTTCAGTTTTTTTTTATGATCATTATTTCGTTTTTCTTTTTTTGGTTTGTGGGTTTTTTCTATGCAATATACGATAAGGAATGGAGAGATTTGACATCTAACCATCTTGAAGTTCCATTCCATCTTGCGCGCGGTTAAACAGCCAAGTAGTCTCGAGGCTTATACATGCATGCATGTTACGCGGGTAGTACCATACTAGATTACAAACGAGAAAGCTGAAATCCCGACGTCATAGATTTATGCCAGGACAACTTACTTACTTACTTAGTTATGCGTGTCTGTAGAGTCATAACTCGCATCTAGACCCAAGCCCTGAAATTCATTACTAATGAGCCATTATTCAGCTGGTGGAATACGGGGAGACCTGAGATTCCGAGTGCGATGAAGGACATAAATGGGACAAGTCCGATGTTCAAAGGATTGGACCCGACAAGTTCAGCTCGTTGATATGGATAGTCTAATCGATTGGAATTGAGGCGTTTTTTTTCTCTCCTTCGTAATGAGGCTTGACAGCGTGATTGAGGAGGCGCAGTCGTAGTAGGCTGAGTAAGTATAAGGCCTTTATAGCTGAAAGCAGTCCAAATAAATGTTTGGTACTGTTACAACAAAAACAACACAGCTGGCTCAGGATCAGAGGCGGCGCCTGGTCGTATGGACGGATACATGGCCGAATTTTGTGAGCCATTGGGAATCTCAATGTAGGAATTTGGATCTTGGTTGCTTGTAGGATTATTATAGGATCTTATGGATTATCTCGTAAACCTGGATCCTACCTTGTTCTTCTATGGACCTGGTAAACTGGGGCAATTGGAGGATTTTCTGTAATTGTAACTAAGTACTTGTCTCAAACCAGACTTTGAAAAAAAAAAAAGTGGTAAATTTAAGGTCTGAATTCTCACAGTATTGGCAAAGGTTGTCAATATCAATATACAGGGTATATAGATGTGGATAGAGACTTTTGTGGGTATATACGCACCTAATAAACTAGAAACCTAACACGTATAGAATAGTAATACTGATAAATGACTTGGCTGTTTGCTATCTAAGTACTAAGAAACTAGCCCAAGAAAACTCGACCAGTCTCATTATTCGGCTGTTTCCTCTATAATATCTCAAGAAAAAATATCTGGAATAGAACGAAAAGATATTGATATATTCGCTGAATCTGAATTTGCTTGAATACTATTGATTCGAACAGGCTGGTACAAGAATGGAAAAGATAGGGGAGGCCGAGAAATACATCTGAATGTGAGGGAATATGGTGGATGTATAGAATTAGAAGTCTGTGATGTCTCTAGGTCCATGGATTTTGGCTAGATAGTTCATCTCTAAATTTATGATCTTTCTCTACTACAAAGTTTTTTTTAAAGCCGACTTGTTTCTTTTCATGCTGTAAGCATTATGCATGGCTTCGTCGACAGTATTAGTCCTGTATTCCTAGACCTATTTATCTCGGTTTTACCGTTCACGCAGTGCGTCCGTATAACTGCTTTGATACGTATGCCTTGAACTAGTTTATATATAATCCCTGCAACTTATATCTTACAAAAAAATAATAGTTAGAAGGATCCTTCAATACAGTTTACTTCGCTAGAAAAGGAACATATAACAGCAGGACATGTGGATGAGAGGTGAGACGGGATTACGAGTATATATCTGGATGAGAGCAGCCACATCTTGGGGGTCTCGATCTGTTTAGACTTCTCGTAAACCACCAGATTAGATTTGTTAGTTGACCTGGGCTTGTTGGTTGGTTACAAATATGAAGTTAACCTTTTGCATATGAATGGCCCACCAGGTCTACAGCTAAGGCAAGAACGTCTCTCGTCGTCAATGTCAGACTGCCTTGTGTTCGGGCTATTGAATGCTGATATCTAGCCCTCTCGTCCCTATGCTCACTTGCGCTTAGCCTACGAGAAAGAACAGTTGCCAACAGACCAAAGTGGAAGATCCCTCTATATGGTTATGTAGACTAGTAACCATGTATTCGCTAGCAAATCTTACAAAGATTAGGTTACGTTGTTTTCGAATTTTTATTTTGGCCTTTAATTTTTGTTTCTTGCTCCGGAATACAGTTCCATTGTTCTCCGTTTCACTACACAAAGAAAAAATAAACAAAAGGAAATAAAGCCGTGATATATAAACACAATTATTCGATGAAAAAAAATGGGAGCCCAGTGATGTGTGAGTGAGAAAAAACGGACCAAGAACAATGTGGACATGAGGTTTTGCGGGAGGACGAGATGGAGGTGGAGGAGTGGGAGAAAGGATTGTATACAAAGAGTTTTGTTCGGTTTCTCATAATAATTCGTAATGGGAGGTTCTCTATATAACCATATATTTTTTTCGTAGCGGAAACAAGGAATAAAAGCAGAAGCTGCTACTGTTTCCTTAAGACGGAAAGAAGAGAAACCGAGGAAGTAGGAATATGGTTATAAGTTGTAGGGTGCGTAATGAGTTCAATTGATGAGGAACGCTCATGATTAGGGTACTCGAGAGGGAAAAAAAGGTAAAGAGCACAAAAAACGTCAAGGCAGAAAACGGTACATGAATAACGGATTTAAACCGATTCCAAGACCTTCTCCTTGAATTCCCTCTCGACCTTCTGGCCGCTGTCGTCAGTTGTCGAGTCACCGTGGAGACCGAGGAGGGCACCAAGGTCGAACTTCGGCTGCTTCAGCAGCTTGACCTTGCGGACGTGGACCTGAAAAACTTTATGTCAGCTTTTGTATGTTTTTTTTAGCGTGAGAATTTGGCATATTGGCGACATACATCCTTGAGTGGGTAGATCGACTGAGCGGCCTTCTCGATTTCACGCTCAATGACCTCTGGGATCAGCTTGGTGGTGAGCTGAGCGAGAGTGCAGCTGGAGGCCTCCCTCTGGATGATCTCAACCATCTTTTTTCTGATGGCACGGATCTGGGAAGATTGGGCATAGGTGGTCTTCTTGATCTGGTTTGGCCGTCTGCTGGTGAAGCCAATGGCGAACAATCTGAGGAGGTAGTCGTCGGTAGTCTTGACGGTAACGTTGGCTTCAATGAGAGTCTGCCACTTGCGAACCAAAGATCGGAGCTTGTCGGAGGTGAAGTCAAGACCGTGGAAGTTGGTCAAGCAGTTTCGGCCCTGGACTTCGTCGGTGCGTAGCTTGATCTTGCGGAAGGAGTGACCCTCATCCTTTTGGAGGTCGGCGAGGGAGACCTCGAAGACACGGCCCTTGAGGGCGTCGTTGGCGTTCTTCAAACCAGTGGTGCGGTTGACGAGAGTCTTGCCGGCACTACAATAGGGAAAAAACAATCCTGCTTTAGTCTTCCTGTTCTCCTCCTTTCTATCGATTTGCGATGATTTGCGGATGTCGTTCACTCACTCTCTGACCTGGAACATCGACGGGGCCTTAAGGTTGTACCAGTCCTTGTTCTTGAAGGGGTCGACGGTTCTATAGGAATCCAATCAGTCAGGCTGCTCCTGGCGATATTTTCGGAATTTCGTTCTATCTGCTATCGAAACCGTACCTCTTCTTGAGACCCTTCTTTCCCTTGGATAAACGCTTGTTCTTGCCTCTATATGCCACGAAAAACCATCCATTAGCCTCGAGCTCCCAATCTGTACCGGTCGTTGATGAAGCGCAGGAACATACACTGCCATGTTGGATAAATGTTAAGATTCGCAAATGTCGAGATTTAGAGGTTGAAGCGAACCGGATGAAGGTGGTGCCGGGATGTTATCGATGGTCGTGATGTCGAAGTTGATGCTAGCCGGTATTTCGAGATACTCTGCCAGTGGAAAGCTTTCTCCCACACAACACCTAAAAGCCAAGACCGTCTAAATTTTGCTGGGAGGGTTTGGGTTGGTTGCCCTTATCTTATCAGTAGAGACAAACACTATTCATTGCCACGTGACTAAACAACACGGACAACACTTTTTCTTTGTGCAACCTGGAGACCTCCCACAACACCTCGCCCGAACGCCCCCTCCATATGATCCATTGCATTATGTGAGTGCATTGTATTATGCATCGACGTTATATCACCCAGTGGGGATATATCTCCTAGCGCCGCTGCATCCCAAGCGGCACCTCTGGACTTGTTTCCCTCTTAGACCGACGAACACGAGCCGCTACACTCATCACTTTCATATAATTCTATATTCGCCGCTATAAGATCATCAGCCCCGAGATTGCAATCGATTTAAGATGCCTATATGACGGCTTGTCTTATACTACTGCGGCCTGGAGCTTCTAATCCGGAGCTCACAGTCTAGAATAAATCTAGGCTTCGCTGGCACTATGTGCCGAAACAGCCGCCACCATGATCGCAGTGGCTTTACAGGCGAACGCCCCAAGGCGAGCAAGGCTGGCCTCCACTCTACTAGAGCATGCATCCAACTGTCAAAAACTTCCCCACTGATAAGATATCATACTAATGTCTGGTGGATAGATTGCCCCGAGCTCTACCGGAACGCACTTACATGCATCTGCATATGTACATACTACATGTGCGTCTATCGAGGAGGTTGGTCCCAACTTGTCTTTTGCCTTTCAAATCACGAACTGGTTTGCAAACTCTTACTCAATCTAGTTGATAATATAGTGGGCTCAACCGCTGGGTTATTCCGTGTCTGTGAACAATGGGAAGCGAGGATGACCCCTCAATCCAGCAAGCCTTCAATCGCGTATCGAGCAGCGTTTATGGCAAGATATCCATGACAGTCGTCATTCGTACCAAGGCACTTGACGAAATGGGTGTTATATTTCCGCATCGTATTCCTTCCAAGAAGGCTCCCAAATTTCACAGGCAATCTACCCGACATTGTCCTTCACCCCTCACTCTTCCCAGGTAGATTGGGTCCTGATATGTTCCATCTGCCACCCGGTGTGTTGTTATGTTCCCAGGTTTGGGCTATATTATACAACGTTAACCACTCGGAGAGCAAGGGAGAAGCTTACAGGACGCCAGGAATTTTAATTGCTATAATATAAGATGCTATTGAGTGCCACCTGGAAGCTGTTTCCCCACAGAGCACAGGAATGCCAGAGAGGAAGCAACTGGCGAAGAAACGAGGTGGACATGTGAGCTTTATCGTGTCGAGGTCATCTTGGTGTTCATGTTGTCTTTATGCCCAGGCTCTAAGGTCAGGGAATGTGTTATTGATGTCGGATTATTACTTTCGATTCGTATCACGCTCTCTTCGGTTCGTGGAAGCGACAAACATTCCCTGCCACCGTCCGTTTTGCCTGCCTTCAACAACAAATCCGATATTTCGCAATCTCTGCTAAATGCAGCGGATATACAAGAGGCCACGCAAGAGAGAGGCTGGAATTTCGAAACTACCATCTATCGGATGCCACCACCCCTACCCGATGCCTTTCCCTTTTAAAATTGGCCATATTTTGACATGACATGACCATGCTATGTATGACGGGCCCTTGGCCTTGACTTGAACTGGGGTTCCTGTGTTTTTTCCTGTGGTCAGCAGTTCGTTCGAGTCGAAGACGAAAGTTTCACGAGCTCACATGACATCCCAATTTATTATTGCCTGCTAAGATTTGATCAATTGATCGGGAAGAAACAAAGGTTGTTCGCCACACAAACGGAAGAGAGCAGGTGAACTGTAATTAAACGGCTGAGTGGGATTGCGATAGACAAGCGTCGATGCATCTCAGCCTTTTGTTTCGAAACGATAAGGCCGAGGTCCCTTCAATATCATACCCTTGACCCACGAAGACAACGGCATTTCTGAACGATTGTGCCGCATTTTGGTAGCCTTATAGGATGCATTGCCGCATCATCAGCTTCGGCAGTCCTATTCGCAATGGTGATCCAAGCGCGCGATTTCTCAAGCAACATATCCCTTTCAGTCTAGTGTTACGGGCTGATCTATGTCGGCAAGAAATGTCGCACTGGAAGACAAATGAGATTGAGGGGGGCATGTTTCGCCTCCGAAACACATCCACACCGGCCAGCATACATGGAAAGTACCAAGAAGGTAGTTCGGGACGACCCAGTACAGCGAAAAAGTACTTCAAAGATACTTTTGCATGACAATGGGTCCCCTCACCAGCACTATTCGAATCACACTGGCAACATCCGACGTCGACGTTGTCACCAGGGCCAACAAGCGGGAGGTTTGAAAAGACAGAGGACAGCGACCCCGCCCGCCCTTTTCGCAAGGTGAGGGATCCCATGAGGCGGCTAACCTTAGGCTACCTTCAGGAAAACAGCAGCGGTACCCGAAGGGCAAACGAAAGAGAGGGAAAGAAGACCAGAGGACCATTTTTGCTGCTTTCCCCTCTCTTTCGCTCGATTCCTGCGACAAACCAAATCCACTAAGAACACCCACCAAATTTTACTGGGAACCCTGCATGACTTGAGCCCTTCCGGGGTGTTCCAATCTGCAAGATACCTTGCTCATATTTATAGATTGCGTGCGCCACAGCAAGTGCCGTCAACAACCTCTTTCTTCCTTTTCTCTTCGAAAGCCAGACCGGACTTCGTTGCACCCGCTTTTTCGAACATAGGAAAGCAGCAGGAGGCGGATTATTCAGGCCCAGCCATCGTCATCCGAGTCACATATTGCCTTCCTCGACGTCTATATTTGACGACCAACAACTCAAGACAGTACTCGGTCACGATTCCGGCCGTGGTTGGTGCTAGCAGCCTTCCATCCAGCCCAGAACCAAAGACGTACTAGAGGTGCGCTCCGACCAAACTAAGGTCGCTGAACAACTGGCTTAAACAGCAGCTTTGTGGTCTGTCAGTCGCCGCCCCATCTTTGCTCTGCACGCATCGGCCCTGCTCAAAAACAAGACGACCTTCTGACCTGACCTGACTTGACTTGACCTGGACCCCCCATCTAGCTCTGTCTCTTGTCTCTCCTCCTTGCTTTTTTCCCTTCTGGCTTTCCACCTTCTTTCATTTTTTTCACCTTTTTCCTTTCGTCAATACATATCTGGGATTATTCTTTCTTTTGTTATATTTACTTTTTCCCGTCGATTTCTCCAGAGCTTCTTTTTATTCTTTGGCCGGCCTACCTTTTCGATATCGCTTCTCTTCGGATTTCGTCCTTTTGAAGCTGCCCTATAATATTACTCCGTGCCGTTGACTTGAGCTTGTCAAAGATAGCACCGGGAGCCCCATCTTTTTCTTCTCATTTTCTTCCTTTTTGTTTTTTTTCCTGGTGAGATACTTAACCAGAGCCTGATCCCAGTCCAGTTGGTCCGCACAAGCACAAGCACAGGCAAGCAGGCAGGCAATATTAAGGAAACCCACCTTTACCTGTCATTCAACGGTTCGTTCCCGCCGGACAGCAGAAAAGAAGCACCACCGCGTCCCTCAAAAGGAAAACTCCATCCGCATCTCCCCAGGGAGCCTCACTGCCTGCATCCCAAACCTCGTCCCTTCCAATTTTCCCTCTAGCTTTGCTTGCGTATCTCTTCTTTATTTCGTTTACTTCCAGAACTTAAAAGATATCCTGCCGTCTCGATCTTAAGCTGATATCAATCGTCTCGCTCGCTCAAACTGAAACGTTTTTCTTTTCCTTTTCAACGACGTCCGTCCGTCCGTCCGCCCTCGGTTTTTTTTTTTCCCTCGACTTGTTTGCGCCGCATTTTATAGTCGGCCCTCAATGGGCTGTAGCGATCACCTGAGGAGATTAGCATAACCAAACCTAACCTAACCAAACCAACCTCACAAGCCACCACCACACACCACCGACAGACATGTCCGACGAAGAAGGAAACAAAGGGCGCCAGAGCAAGGAAGAACGTGCAGCCATGAAGAACGCAGCTCGATCGCAACGGAGTGCCAAAGCTAGAGCGCTGCTGGCAAACCTCATCCGTAAGTCTATCTTCTAAAAAGAAAAGAAAAAGAAAAAGGCCCTGCTTGTCCTTTTGTCGGAGTAATTTTGTTTATATATTTGTCATGGCCAGAGAAGCCGAGATGGATGCTGACAGCAATAACACCCAATTCAGACGAACAACACAAAATCGATATCGAACCCTCCAAGATCACAAGCACAAAATACGTTCGCGAGCTGGGCTTGAAATTCGTTACTGCTGACGAGCAGACATACCCGTGGCCGTACATATCGACATCTCAAATCAGTAGCCAGGACCTGGCACAGCTTGAGACTGCAATTGCCAGTTCAAAAGTCTCAGCAGTTAAGGTGTGTACCCACATCGGCCTAGCCCGTATTCAGTATTCCTTTGCTATCACGGCAGCTGCCTGGACATTATCACCACATACTAGTTGATGTCTATTATTATATTCCTCGGACTAGCCGTGATTGAACGAAAAGAGGAGAAGAACAATAGAGAAAACGCCATAAGCTGACACGAACTTCATAGGATGACATGTACAACACCGCCGCGCAGTTCCGTTCACGCTCGTCCATATCAACACCATCACGACCCAACCTAAGTCCGACTAGTAGCTTCTCCTTTACAAATCCTCACGACCCACACGGAAACCCTCCCCCGGACGGTTACAGGATTGCACCTCCGTCTTTGCCGCCACTCCAGACTCAGGCCCCACCTCCTCCTAGCCCGCATTCCCACTCGAGACTCAATTCCCTGGCGGAAGCGAGTTCTGCTCAAGCATCAGCAACCTCGGCGCATCCTTCTTCTGCCAACCCTGGGCATCATTGGGCCGGAGCGGCAGCTGCAGTTTCAACATCAACACACATTAGCTCTCCACCCGAAGCGCCACCTGCGGGTTCCGTGTCACAGAATTTGGTAAATGAGGCTAGGAGCGCCACCGTTTTCGCCTCATCAAATCCCAGAAAGAGAATGTATCCGTTCGACTCGCTGGATTCCCATGTGGAAGAAGACTTCGTGAGGATAAAAATACCCAGGAACAGCATAAAAGACATCATAGAAGCAGAAACTTCAGCTTATTTGGTTCAGATAAGGGAGCTTGAATCACGAGTAGCCGACCTGGAACGGGACGCTGACCGGCAAAATAAAGAAACACACCGGTTACGGAACGAGAATGAGAGGCTACGCAAGGACCTATCACTGCAAGGCGGTGACGAGATGGAAAGATTAAGGATAGAAAACGAGCGTCTCAAGGTCCTAGGGCGTAAATTGTTCGAGTAACAGGAGACAGAATGTTTCCCATATCTAACCAACACGCATTTCATTTGTCAAGATTGTTATAACTCCGTTTTTACTATACAGGATTCTTCGCAAATTCTCTTCTCTTCTTTAACAACGTTGACCGTCCTAGTTTATCTAGTATACCCTTTTATCAGCAGCTTTTGTTTCCTTTGTCTTTATCACGGCTTCCTTCCTCGTTACCGAACGCGACCTCCTTTGCGAACATTTACGACAACTGCCTTTTCTTTCTCGAAAACAACTCCGGGGTTTTTGGAGTATGCGTTTCTTTATATTTCGATTCGATAACACCTTTTTTTTCTTCCAAATTTTTTATATTTTCAATTTGGCAATCGGCGGTATATTTTCGAACATCACGAATTTATTGCATGCTTCTCTATCATGAATAAGATACACATTTAAATATTTTAGCCAGCCCTTCTTCTTCTTCTTCTTCTTCTTCTACTTCTCACCAATTCTTCCAACCCTTTTTAACCCAAAATGTATTTAACTATCTTGTCACTTCTCCTTCTTCTTCTGCACATACATTTCTACCTTCTTCGATTCTTCATTTACCTATTATCTTTTGATCACTTTTTTCATCCCAATTTTTCAATTTCCAAATTTCAATTCTTTTCGATACCCTCTGACACTTACACTCTAGTTAGCTCAGTGGCAAGGAATTACGACATGTATTACCCTATCTTTATTTCTTTTTTTCCCTTTTCTTCGTATGCCTCATAGAAGATCCATCGCATCACGTACATAAAAAGTGGCTACGGAAAGAAAGGGAAAAGAAACACCCATCGATTCATAATACAAAAAAAGATGGGAAACCAAAATAGAACAATGCCCCTCCATGGGCTCCAGATCCAAAGACCTAGACCAAATCCACATAACCGCCACACCCGTGGGGAGGTGGAGCCTATCGTAGAAGCCCATACCGCGGAGAATCCTCATTGGCTGCCTCTTCTTCTTCTTCTGTTTTTTTTTTTGGTTCGATCCAGATGCCACTCAAAAGCCGCTCCCTTGCATTCTTAGACACTGAGCTTTACCCGCCACAACATGTGGACAAGTATCTGCTTAAAGATCTTCTTCATATCGAAGGCTTGAACTAGTGGGAAAGGGAAAGAGAAACAACATTTTTCAATGCAAGGTCCGAGTTATGAGAGATAAACCGTAAGAATGTGCAGTTACCAAATTCTTTAGCCCTTATGTCCACGAAGCAAGCCTATCGACAGAAAAGATAAGCGGTCATGCGCCACAGCGTTGACGTTGCTTGCCACTGTAGATTTTAGTCCTAACTGTCTGAATTGATTTTCCTTTTTTCCTTTTTTCCTTTTTTTTTTTTTTTTTTTTTGTGTGACTTAAGCTGCCTCTAGTTTATGGAACGGGGAAACTTTAAAAAATGGTTAACAAAGCGCTCTCTGTCTCGTCCTCCCTGTGCGGTGGCAAAAATATGTGATGGCTGGTATAGACGCCAGGGGATGGGGGAAAGGAAAAGGTTTTGCGGGTTTCATGTGAATGTCGAGAGAGGCGTTCTGTGGCACATGAGTCGTCTGGAAAATGTAGTGCAATCAATATACCTACAGGTATGTCGGTAGAAGAATTCGAATAGATTGGAGTGTTTCCCATTTCAACTGCCATGGCCATGGGGGCCTTCCTTGCCAGCTATCTAGCGAGCGAGCGAGCGAGTTCCGGGTTATCGCGTAGTTGACCTTGCGAGCTGGCTTGTATGGATCGTCTGTCCGTGTACACATGTCTGATATGCAGAAGACGGAACATTCCATGTCGATAGAATACTTCATTATAGTTGTGATGTATAAACTCCCTTCCCTTGTGTGTTTCTGTTCCCCTTCGTTATGCGCATGACAGGTCATATGAACATGTAATGTACGTACGTACGGTTTGTTCAATCTATCGAATCACGAATTGATCGTATTTTGTTTGATATCATGACCATTCCATCCTCGCATCCTCGAGAGAGTCCCCCCCTGCGGCTAACGGCCTCGGAATTATGAACAAAAAACAAAATTCGTGAAGAGAGTTCAAAACCCGGTTTCGAATACTCCACAATGCAAGGGTTGACCAAGAAGGCCCCTCGGCATGAACAAAAAAACGATGAGGGGTTGATGGATTGGAAAAAAAAACAGAGTTTTTTGGGGGGTTTGTTTTAATAATGTGTGTGCCCTGTATGTAGAACATGCATAATGTCTCTCGCTATCGTCAACGAGAGACTTATTCCGAGTCGCTCGAAATTTCACCTCGTAGTTCGAGCTATGTATGCGTGTGTGCCGTTTTTCTGTGGGCCCTGCAAGGTAGGAGCTAGAAATCACAGCATTGCTACATACATATATCCGGAGTGATACTGGTGTTTCGATTGGGCAATTAATTGGCTTAGATGTGTGAAGCTTGAAAGGGTATGGCTACCTCTTAGCTATAGAGCTCTAAAGCTAGCCACTTGACCTAAGAAACTTTGAATGCAAGTTGCAACATCACATCATCATATTGCAGGTTACGACGTATATTAGTACGTACCCGGCGGTAATGTTCACTAACAAGTTTTTCATCTCAATCGATGACTCTTGTAAAATCACGAAAGACAAGCTTAAGACATATGCCAAAACTAAACTCATGCAGATATGTCTGTCTATCAGGAACTAGAGCAGAAAAAACTTGGAGCTGCAAGCCGGCCTGACGGCTTGGGACAATCGACGCGGGTTGGTGCGACGTCAACGTGGTAGTTTAGCCGCAAAAGACGGCCATCTGGGAGGAATGTAAGCTAAGCAGGTCCCGAGCGATGCAGGAAACCTGCTTTTTTCTTCAACATCAACGAAGATCGCAACGCAAAGGAGAGTCCCCTTTCCCAACCATGTGGAGTTTAGTAGGACGTGCACCGCGTGGGCATCGAGTAAGAATACTTCTTGTCGAATCAATAGCGAAGTACGAGGCCGCACGACGAACATCACTGCCTCATGGGGAAACATATGCCCCAGCGAAGAGATACCAGCAGGAGGCGAGGAACCAGAAGGTGGGATGGGATTAGCTTTTTCGGCAACGTAAGCCTTTCGCCGACTGGATCAGGTTTCATTCTAGAATGCCAGCCTGCAGGTAGTACTAGCCCGTCGATCTATTACTTCATCCCGTAATTGTCGAAAAAGCCTCGTGGGATGCATCTTCAGATCTAGGCAATATTGAGCTCAAGAGGGGAAAGTAAAAATAGACGTGTATAGATTCGTGATAGTCAAGTCCATGGAAAGAATGGATGATAAAAGATCGTTCGCTTGGTATGAGACTAATCGACTTGTCGGAGACTCCGGTAGCATATACCGGAGATATCGATGCGGCACAAATGCCGGAAAGAGTCTGGATGCGAGGCAAGGGATGCGGCATGAGGCATGCGCATGTGAGGAATGTGTTGAGATGCGGTCGACTTAACCCCATACGTTATGATAGCCGTCGAGACCGACGTCTCAGCCACCATCGTGCTTCAATCTCGGATATAACAGCAAATATGTAGAGCCTCCGCAGGGAGTCGAAGATATATGGATGAATGAGACAGTCTCTGAGACAATTCGCATCTTCGGACTAGCTCGGGGCCACGAAATAGACGGAAATCTGTCTGCATGCATGCATTTTGCTCCATGGCATATCAAGGGCTATAGTAATCCTATCTGGCTGCATGCATTGGACTGTTATTTGGTTAAACAGCAAACCAAGCGGGAACTCGATCGATCTGATCGATATGCCGCTCCTTGTTGCCTGTTGCCTTGTGATCAGAATCAAATCAAAGACAGGAACCACTTCGCAGGCCGCGTCCCAAATTAGGCAGGCTGAAACTTACTAGATGCATGGTTTGGTCAAGACGCCATACCGCGGCTCATCTAACAGCCGAGCCAAGTACCCAAGGTAGATACCATTTAGCTGATGTATTAAGCACGAAACGTTGTGAATGTCGTTATCCTCCAGGGTTCAATCGATACTGCTGATAATAACGACTCGGCGTTATATGTCGAGGATTGCAGGTTCGATAAAGAATTGATCCGTTGGGACAAATACCTGTACAAGGCTGCTGCGTGTTGTTGTTGTTGGCTTGCCGATGTGTGTTGCACGAGGTCAGGGGGTTGCCAAGACAATTCTAGCGAACATTCGAATCTTCCCCGGCTTCCTATTGGCCACAACTGCAACATCCAACACGCCCAACTCACTCCGGCCACCCGTAAATCCCCCCCACAAAAAAAAAAAAACGAAAGAAAAAAGTAGTTGGCCTGGCCGCATTGTTAGTAGTTGGTCTCTCAAATATTACCTGACCCGATGGTAATGATTGCGAGTCTCAGATGGTCAGATACATACAAAGCATTTTGGGCGGGTCTCGGACGAAAAAGTTTCACCGTGACAGCATGCACAGCGCTATTCGTTGTCGGGATGCTTTTCCCGTAGCTGCCGTCCTGCGCTCGTATGCATATTTCCGTCTAATTACGAATATTACCTAGGAGCTAGCATGCCCCGTAGCTATTTCCCCGGATGGAGGTATTGTCAGCGCATAAAGATCACCGTTTACGGTGATAGTATGCCTATAAACCTAACATTGACTCCTTTTTCCTAATTACAACTGGGCATTGTCCCCACAAGACTCGTCTCAGCTCATGAGCTCTGCAGTGTTTAACTTTAGCCACTAACTAACTACGTGGGTCAAGTTTTTATAGTCGTGGGAAAAATACTTTTCTCAGGCCACTGCCCATTGATCCATTCACGAATTCAACGATCGCGAAGTATTTGATCTGTGCGCGCAAGGGACGTGCAGAATTTGGCTCCCGAGCCCTAGGGTCAGTGGTAGCGGACAGATAACACGCCAATCAGGTCTTCCCGATGACAACTGCGAAAAAGCTTCGTTGAGCCTATGCTCATTTAACATGTTAAAAGATTCCCAATACGGATGCATATAGCAAATGAACTTAACATGTCTTAAAGAGGTCTCGCTGGGGTACCGGTTCAGCCGTGACGGAATACAACATGAAACTTAATCTGAGAGTTTAGATAAGCCTGCGGCTGAAAGCTGGAAAATTACCGCAAACGACGAGTGCGGCAAAGCACTGTTTTCTCTCTTAATTAACATTAATATTGTAACCAACGAGTTCAGTTGATGCGGCGGCTGGGCTAGGCTAGTATATTATACTTCGACGCTATGTAGAAACTTAGTGATTCGGCGATCTTATTTTAACATTAATCCGTGCCCAAGTCTTACCAAAGCTAGTGACTGCGACCTTGTCCCGTAAATGACGAACTAGCCGACATTGCAATAGGCCGGTAGCATCTCTTACAGATATTTACCACCCATGGATCCACTGAATGCTCCATGTGATTCCCTACAATAACAGGGTCTGGGCAACCTAACCTAACCTAGCCTCGAGCCCGAATTATACGGCACAAACCTTTAAACCTTTAGTTATTCGAAGTCTATTTGTTGTATTGAATAGACCTAAGCATGTTGTAATACGATGGTAAACGGACAACATAGGTAAATATCAGACTACGTAGATCTCAGCCCATATATATACAGCGAGGAGACTAAGAAAGCAATTGGTTTTTATACTTCTATCACCCCTGCATAACGGTGATTTCTGTCGATTAATTTTTCAGTCCGCGCTCCGGATATATAGCGGAGTCTAATCTAGCCCAGGACTATCATTACGTAATTTTACCAGCTATGCTATCCGAATTCGCGAACCATATACACCTGGTTTATGAGATAAATCTATACAACTGGTGCACTTATAGGCACCACGGGCGCCACCCATTCCTTGTATTCGCCAAATTATTCACATCACAAATGTGCCAATGGCTAGACTGATAGATGGGAAAGAAAGACCTGTAGTAACTAATACTATATATCGGTTTCAAGGAAACATTCTAGGGCTGGGTTGCAGAACACCCGAGGGATGATTAAAAGGAAATATTTGAGATCAGTTCGAGATTAATCGCGGACTAGGTGTTATAAGTATATATACTAAATTTGAGGATCCAGAGTCGATGTTCGCGGATCCGGTAAATACTATATCTGAAAATAGAGATAAGCGAACCTCGCGAAGAACGTGGGTGATATACCATGGTTTTTATTCAGATATTTGGACGGGGTAGATCAATATCTGTACCACGGTAACTTTGTACAGGATTTTACCGTTCGATGTAAACACCAGCCAGTACCTTGTCTCGTAAATCCGATGTCGCGACCCGGGAACCCGCCGGAGTTGTTCACTGACGTGAGATGCCATTGAACTTGTTGATGTCTAGAATACACTAGATCTATAGATATCGCCGGCGCAGACTGACGGTAATTCTTTGGTATACGAATTTGTCTATAGATCTATGCAAATAAAAGCCATGCTAGAGTATATCTGGGCTTATTTGAGCAACCCACTTGAGGCACTGAATGACTATACGCATGTCTCCCGCACCAGGAGTGGTATAGGTGCAGTTAACGTTCTTTGCACGTAATCGGGTCAAGGTGTAAGAGAAATCCATAATTTAGTCAAGCGCATATCCTTATGGGTAATCCACTCTAGAGCTTGCCGAAGTGAGATATTGTGTAGAAGGGTCGGTTCGAGGTAGTCTCGTGGTCCGAGGTACTACCAGCTCCCCGCAAGGAGTTTTAGAGAATATTCAGTCCATTATTAATGTTAATATTGGCTCTTTGGCTACCTACGGCGACGCTTGAATCTAGCTGTCGACTGTATACGTCCAAATTGCAATCGCAAGTCGGATTGTTACCATCCTAGTTGCTAATACCATGATACTGCTGCTATTAGCGAGCACACTAACAGATCTAGTTATATAACCTCCTGCAGGCTGACCCACAGGCCTGCCTATGTGTTTTTCTAAAACCTGCTTCTGGACCGATTGTGAGCCTGCTTGCGAGCTTATGGATAGATTGCTTACATACGGGTTAATTTTGTCTCGTCGCCAGACTCGTCAACTGTGTGAGAAGTCTGGCGACGAGACAAGGGTTAATCAAAGAACCATAATCTTGGACCTGCAATTAGATCAATAAGCCGTCGTAAATCTGTCAACAAGTTATGATGTGAACAAGCTATATGTAGGCTAGTAGGTGGGCCGATATGTAAACTTATCACCAAACCTGCCTGTAGGTCGGTAAGAAGGCTTGTATATAAGCTTATAGCTAAAACTATACACAAGTTTGTGGGGGGCCGTAGATAGGCTTGTAGGTCAGTACGTAGGCGCCCAGTTCACAAATATACAACTAGCTCTATAGGAAAGCTTAAAACTTCAAATTGAATGATGTTTAGAATTTACTTGGAATTTTTTAGAGGGGTTTTAGTCTCGAAGCTAAAATCTCGTCACCAGTCAAAAGACAGTTTTGGCAAAACAAGGCTCCTTTAGTAGTCTCGGGACCTCTTTTAGATAATATCTGTTCATAAAGCTTCTCTAAATATTAACTTGACTAGGACCCCGCTCCACGGTTGAGCTCTTGAGAGATAGCATCCTATATTTCCAATTGTTTGGTAGAAAATTGCATTTCGTGAGGGTTATCTAAAAGGAATTGGCGTTTTTGGTTGTTTCGTAGATGTAAACCAGCCTACTCCAACCTTGCCTCAGTCTCTAGTAAATTTAAAGATAGTTTGATTCTGCGGCTTCAATATAATTAAAAATAGCCCTACTTTTGTGACGTCTGGGAACGAGACCAGCCCTACTGTAAACCAACCCTTTTGTTCATGCCTTCTCTAGCACCATAAGTTCAGATCCAACTAGATTAATCGATCCCACTCTATGGCTGGTTATTCTTGAAATAAGTGTAGATTAGCCGGTGGACTGGATTCTTAGTTTTGCTTCTTGGGCTTGGGATTGGTGTATGCCGATTGTGTAATGCCTAGCGCTATAGCACTTCTGATAATATTGGGAGTTGAACAAAATTTAAACGGATTGAAAGTCATGGGACCCTTATTGGTCTTAGGGCCGGAAGCTTGCACGCCGATCAGAGGATTCTTATATATTGCGAAGCCCTTTAATATGTATGATCTAATTCAACCTCGATTTGAGGTATATCGGGATGGAGAGTTGGAATATTGCACGTGTAGCCATTTGTATCAAAGTAGCAAACTACTGTTGGTTTATATTTCCAATCCTTTCCATAAAAGATACCTCAAGGATTATCATCCCGATGAGAATAGATTCGATTTGAGTCAAGTTCGAGTTCCCATTGAATGCGTCAAATGGGTTGCATATCGATCATGTAGTCACGCCCTTAATTTCTGAAAAAAAAACCCTTTTTGCATCAGTTTGATGATATAGAAAAGGGATATATGTGTTATTTGTGAATAGCCCCCAGGTAGATTGATTTAAACCCCAAAATTACAGAAAAAGAAATCATGGGGGCATCCTATAAATTGATATATCACGTGAGGCACCATTGGTTAATTCAAGAGGTGGATTGGTAGATACCTAGACCTGTGATGATATCGATATTGTCAACATAGTTAACGGGGTAAAAAGAGCATGGAAGGCATGCAAAGTAGCTAGTAGAAAGCCTAAATGGTAATATGCCCACCACACTGCACCTGCAGCTGCCCTTATCGGGCCTTCCCACTGTTCCTGCGCCGAAGATGTGAAGAACCCACCCTTCGGGACTAGTAGTATTAAACCCTGCTATCAGCCCGATAAATACTAGTAGAGAACCTGGCAGGCCTGTGATGTATATGTATGTTCTACAATTGTTATAAAGACCCTTGTGGGCCCGGCTGGCGTAAAACGATTTGACAGCTGGCAGTATACACCACTGATCCGCGGATCGAAGCCATCAGCCCATCGCGTTGTTGTGGTATTTTGACCAGGGACAACACATTCGAGGGATGTTGATGGTTTTCGAACAAACCTCTTTGAAGACCCAGCCGCCCAGCAAATGCGCACGGTTCATATCTTGAACTTTATTTCATCGACAGAAAATCCCAGCCTCGGGGTCCAAGAAATCTAAAGATGCACGATGTAGTCGAGTCGACATACCGAAAAGGGTCTTAGTGTGGGTTCATTATGACTTAGAATATGCTAAAATAGTGGAGCATGAGAAACATGTTGGACGCAGGATGCGTACACTGTACACAGTATTCTGTTTGTAGGCTGTGTTTGCTGCCGAATCACGGGCCGGACTCTCTTGGTTAGCGGCTGAAGCCTAAGAATCTCGTCTGCAAGCCTTATTTTTAGGTGACGCGAAAGCGTCCGACTATCGACGGAGACATAGAGGTTATACGATAGGGACGCCGTAAGGAGGGGCTGGTCATGATATGAAACGGAGGGACGCGAAAATGGCACCACCGTACAATTGATATCATATCACAGACTCTTTTTTAAGCATTTCAAGAAATCAAGAGACCTGGTCTTTGCATGAATTGACGTAATTTAATCGAGCGAGCGCGGTCTCGGAATCTAGGCTGCAAGCGAGGACTTGTTATTTGTTCATGGGATTTCATTATTCATTAGAGCGATCGTAAATTGAAACAAAACCGGCCACCAAAAAGCAAATGCAAATAAACAGAACATGCCAATTCAAACAACTTCCTTCGGAATGACTGGCGATTGCGAGACTTGCATAGATTTCTCGCTCTCCGGGGTCTTCGATTTCCCTGAAGACCCCGCACTTTTGGATCCTCTTGTCGCGCCGGACGAAGAGAATGCCGATGGTAGGGTACTGAGGATCTTTGGTGCATAATGTATCGCCAATGCTCTTATCGCTGGTGCTGAAGCGCAGATCAAAGTGAGGTTTAATTCGATCCTAAGCGAGGGAAATCGAAAAAAGGTTAGAATTGGTTTCGAATTTGCCAGTGGAGATTTCCAAACTTACATTGTCCATGCATCGATCATCAATCCGGAGCTATTCTTGCCGCTGTAGTTTTGGAATTCATCGATGGCCCATATTCTGAAACCGCTAGCGACGCAGGCGCTATATTTCCAGAAATTTTAAGTCAGTAACCGCGAATTAATTTACATTGTTGACGGAGCGATGCTTACACTCCACCTAGCGAAAAGGCAATAACTGCTATAACCTTTTCCCTTGGATATAACTTCAGCTGGAAAACCATAGGCATAGGAATGATCAAGATCGCGACATCAGTCAAGATGTAGACGGCCCCGAACACCAGCATTGGGGTCCGAGAGTTGAACTTGAAAGGGCTTTGTAAGAAATGGTTCCAGAAATCAATCGGCATGAAGGCTAAGCAATGTGTAATGATGGCTGCAATCGAATTTGCGATCGTCAATGATCCTGTGGCGTAGACTGCCCATTGCACGTAGTTCAATGTTGCTACACGGTAGTAAAAGAGTAATAGAGAGATTTTGATAAGTCCCATAATAAATGGGTACATAATCGTGAGGACAAGGTAGACCTATTGGCGGGGTATCGATCGTTAGCTTAGCTATCCCAGAATCCAAAATCTTAAGATCTAGAATTGTCATACTTTGTAATTTTCCTTCATTTGGTCCCATGTTCTGTCATAGAAAGCCTGGTATGGTCCAGCTAGGAGTTCTGTTAGCCCAAAATTTTCATGAGGGTTAGACATCTGACTTACAAACTTTGCTGTGGTAGACCGACACTGCCCCATATATGATAGTCAAGCCCTATGGCTAGTCAGCGACACCGATTGATGAAATTCTGACACCAGCTCGTCGTTGACTTACAAAACCTGCAAGTGCCAACCAATCAAAAGACCGAATACCACCCGCAACTTTCTGGCGGGACCACAGTCTCAGACCAACCGCTAAGGATGTCATGACTGTGAATACACAAAAGAGAGGAACGATAATGGGGATATTCCTCGGATGAGGGAGGATGGGAAGGAGGCCAGGGAGGGCAGTGAGATAGGTAGCTATGCCATTTGGGCCTCCAAATATTTTCATGAACGGGTCTACATCTTCAGGCCGAGTACCGAAATCTTCGATTAGATTTTCTCGCGTGAGTTTGAACCCGTTGGCGTAAATATACTCGGAATAGATGTTGAAGACACGAGAGAGGACTAAGTGTGAATATTTGGGAGATGCAGCACCAATCCAAGTCGCCGCACTCAGGGCACTCTTGACGGCTTCTTCACCGGCTACGAAACCCGACATTTTAATAATTCGAGAAGGGAATCAAGACAGGGCGGATGAGTGAGGAAGAGAAAAAGATTCGAATGTGGGACCAAGAACTTCGTTTGATTCAGGTGCGCATGTGTAAATTTTATATACACTTCATACTTAAGTACTTAGTATGCATTTCAATATGTACTACACTGCCATCAGGCATTCGTGCCGACAATCAACCCTCATATGATCAGGCAAATCTTCGACCTAAATAAACTGGCGGGGATCCAGGCCTCTAATTGTGGATCTATATCTCCGTGAAAAAGAGGAAGTTCGGATGAGTTTGTTGCACACCTGCAGGAGCTAACTCCCAGCTAACGAACCTCCAAGATTGCAAGACCATGCAAGTGCCACCCTCCAACACAACCAAGTTTGGGTGGGGCCTCAGGCTAGAGCTAGTTAGTTCCTAGAATTCCTTTGCATTTAAAGAATGCAGCCGCCTCCAATTCTGTCTTTGCCTCGTTGAATTCAAAGATTCCGAATTTCCTGGGAAGCAGATCCAAAATCAACCTTCTAGCTAGCTAGCTATAGCTTCGCAAATTGTATTAGGAAAAATGAGGCAATTCAGTCCACACAACATTTTTCGCGTCTTTCTCTATCTTTCTCTCTCCTCGAGCTGTCTGGCTCTGTCTGCTAAGCAACAGTTCCAGCTCCTTTTATACCTGATGGGCCTTGCTTCGAGCCCGACAGTTAATAGGAGAGACACCGGGAGTATCAACCCGGCTGAGGGCACTTTCTGGCTTCGCGACACACCGGCGAAACAGGTTCTAGAGAAACTCAATAAGAGGCAGGAGGGACCATCCACTTGCGACTGTTATGAGCCGCTGACGGAAACATATTCTGGAACCATTACACCGACATATTTCGCATTGCCATTTCAGTCATGTGACGTCCGCGACGTCACTTCGAACCTCTGCCCTACTGATTTCGTTTGCGCATGCCAGCAAAATGGAACCAGCATGTGCCTACCGACAGCAGTGCAGACTGAGACAGAGTGCGGTACCCCATATTCCGGCCCGACGACCTTTCCCCTACGAGACTTTACTTGGGCTCTGAGCTCTCCCCTCGCCGAATTTGCCTTCCCGAGTGAACAGTGCGGAGGTTCAGTTGGAGTCATCACTACTTTAGGTAAGAGTTTCCCTCTCCAGTCTACGAACACCGAAATCTTGTATACTAACATATCCCCGAATGGAAAAGCCTGGAGAACCGAACAAACCAAGTGTCCTCGATCACAGGCATGCGTTTGTGAAAGTGCATCGTTACATGCGAAGTGTAGAGACATTGAGCTCGTCCCTCCCGGTTTGGAGGAGGGCGAGTGCCTTACTACATGCAAATATGAGTTCCGTTTAGATGTCCCTGCTCCTACTGGAACGGCGAGACTGGGTGGTCAATGCGGGGGTAGATGCTGGCCCGGGCCGAGAAACTGCCCACCAAGTGCCACTTGCTTTACGGAAACGGGACCGACACCGGGAGGGTATGCGGAGTGCGCCTTCACAAATCCTGCACGCAAGTTGAAGGTTAGACGGGACCACGAAGTCCTCGTTGGTAATCTCCCTGCAAGAGTACAGGCAATGGCAACACCCATCTACTTTTAATTTATGGTGTTTTGGGGGTTTCTTTTTGTACATTATCTAGGGATTTGTTTTATCTGCTTTCTTAATGACCGTGCCGAATATCATAATTTATTTAATGACGAGATAACTCGCGCCGGCGGGGCCGACTCCGCAGCAATTTCTTTCTTCAATAATTGAATCCGCGTTACCGCTGTGTGATAACTTCCACAGTCGGTTGCATGCCACTAGAAGCGGCCACCAGAACCGGTAAACAGATGGAAAAGGCCGATCGCGACGTTTGTCAGTCTGACAAGACAAAAGTGGAGCACAAGTGGAGAAACAGCTCCGTGGCTGAACGGAGCCTTACCAGGGACTACACGTGCCGTCAAGCTGAGTTGGTGGGGCAAGTTCTGTATGGCATAAACCACACATGGCATCTCTGCCACATTTCTACTAGATTCGGCAGGTCGAAGGGTATAACTGGCAAGAAGAGCAGTCTGACCAGGTTTTCAATCATTCTGTCATTCAGCATGATGCTAGACAGGAGTTGATGTTTTTAATAGAATCTGTTAAAATTCGGGGGGCGAGTTGGTGTGGGATTTTCGCCGGCGTTGCCTAATGCAGGTGAAATTACAGGGGCATGGTCCCAAAAAGGAAGCTTTGGACAAACGCTGCATGAGTTTGACCCTGGCCAACAAAACGTGGCTTTATTGTGACCGATGTTACACAATATTGCAGCTCGCTTCGACACGATATCGCTTCGTAGTATTCGTTTCGTGAAGGCGATTGAGTTCAGCCATGGCCTGGCCTCAAGCGCCTCCTCATTTTATCATATCATTTTTGACTTAATTATCATTAATTATCACAAGCCCAATGAAAATTTCATAGCCAAGTTTTTGATGGCAAAATTTTGGAGGAGGTCAAGGATCTTGCACCTCGGCCTACTATAGCTACCTTGTTCTCGCGACGGATTAATAAGCTTTATTATAGCGGCAAGGAATACTGCGATGTTCTAGTTCTAGTTCAAAAGGCCATGTTTTTCCATGCTTGTTGCTCAACTTTGCAAATTCTGTTATTTTGTATATGGATATGGAAATTAATTAAAGATCGCCAGTTTGCATGGCGCTATTCCAGAGACGCTCACTCTGGAAATACTGGTGGGCTGGCCATGGTCCGCTGGTTGGCCGGTTGTACTAGCCTGCCATCTATCTCGTGCTGGCATGTTTTAAGCTTCCTAAGCCCTCGGGCATGCGCAACAAAAGTATGACCGATGGTTAGCCCATCTAGCCATTCTTTGGGCATTCCATGCAAGGTCCTTTGAATTTCATTGTCCGCTGGAAGGCCATCTCGACTAGTGAAGCGCTATACCAAGCCTTAGTGTGTTCTCATGGCAGTAGAAGCGTATAATATGAGACTTTAATGTATATTTGAACGGGCCGTTTAATAATAAGGTTGTTGTTCCTGGCGGTCATTTGATATCGTGCAGACCAAGCCTCGGGGTTTATGTAAAAAAAAAGGAATATCCCCCCCCCAATAGACTTGATTGCAAAAAGGCGTTTTTATGCGTTTCAAGTTCATATACATAAAAAAAACCAGGCAATCTGGCCCTTTTTACACTATATATTCATAGATCTGGCCCTCGTAGGCACCTCCCACATTGATGTATCTCGAGGAAAGTAGAAGAGGCGGGAATATAGAAGGTATGGGCCCTCAATTACGCTCAGTTATCTAAATTAATCGAATATAAGCGAAATCGTAGTGTGTCCGATGCAGGGTCAAAAGGAGTTTCAGATATATACGTCGATCTAAATATATGGGATGGGGGAAACGCCGATCCTGTGCAAATTGGCAAGCACCACACTTCGCAGTAAATGTACCTAACTTCGACGGTTCTCCGGAATTGATCTACAAATCGAATTTTTAAGGGATATGCCTACCCGAGAAGGAATTTCCTTTGCATAAACTTGGTAGTTTTCATGGAGGGAAGGAGGTTTGCCCTATATTATATGCCCCATTAAGTGGGTTTATAAGGTGATTATTGGATGTTCTCAAGGCTCGGACCGTGAGATGCCGTGGGCTGATTGTCAAGGTAAAGTTGTCGACCACCTGCGGCGGCACCGAAACCCAGTTGCCATAAGCTCTAGATAGCCATATTTACGGTTAATGCTGTTGTGATTATCTTGTTTTTTAAGGATTTAGTAATAGGCCTGATTGTAATTCTCTTTGCAGGCTTAGTTACAGGCCTGTTTATAAACTTGGGTACAGGCCTGTTTATAACAAGTACTTCCGGGCTTATTAATGGGACTTGCTTACATATACGGACCTAGCTATGAGTTATAAGTTTGTTTACGGGTTTGGCTATCGGTGTGCCCATGGGCTTAAATACAGGTTAGGCCTATTCGGAACCCTACGAGCTAGCCGCTCAAGGGTTTGCTTGACTAGAGGCTTATCTACGGATTTTTGTGCCAGCCTAGTACCTGAGTCTACGTACTTAGCTTGCATATTTGCCAAATTGTAGGCTAGTCTTGTACTGTAACGATTGTATGCCTAGCTAGTTATAATAGATAGGCTTATATGCAGGTTTATAACGTATAACTAGAGTGTTATGTCGGCCTCCTCAGCTTTTAATTTACAAAGCGGTTTAATACAAGAGTAGTCTATAGTTGGGCTTGTATGTAGATTCATAGCTGTCTCGTTTTGTCTGAAAGTAGGCCCATGGCCTATAATGCCCTATGATTATGTGGCCCGACCCGTGTGTAGGCATATAGCTATATATAGTATATCTTTACAGAGGATCATGATCGGGCTTATAGCCAGGCTTCTACAAAAGCTTGGTTACGGTTAGGCCGGTAAGCAGGCCAGCTGTAAGTACACATAACTGTGGGCGGGCCTGTAGGAAGGTTCATAGCCAGGCCTTTAGGTGGGCCTTATAATTAGGTTATAGGGAAGCTTGAGCTCATGTGATTTAATATTCACTTCTTAGATCTATAGAAGGTTTTAAGCGAGGCAAGTCATTCTCTGTTTCTTACACAGACCTGGAAGGGTCATTCCGGGTACGGGTTACCTACATTCGATTAGACCCTTAAGCTTCCTTACACGTACAGCTAGGTGAGCTGAGATGCTGATATATATGTGGTCTGGCAGAGATAGGTAACATGTTGGTATTCAAATCGATCGTTCGGGCCCCGGTATAGATAGTCTAATTTCCAGCGGGTGCTGGGAGTCCGCCTGTAAAGAGCAAGGGTTTTAAAAATAGGTCAAATCTCCATCTTTATCGCATACATGTATCTAGCTAGATTCTACATTTATGGACTTTGAAGTGGCTTTCTCTTGTTTATGTAATGGTACAATGATGACTTATGGGATGGGCGATCATGATATCATAATCAAAGATATACAATTAGTTACTGCTCGAGTTCATGATCAGACACCATTACAAGACGTCATAAGAATCGGTGTTTCACTTTAGTAAAATAACGATCAATCCGCCGACCGCAACTTTACTTTTGACCTCCGAAAAGGTGAATTTGCTAGAAATGGCTAGGCAGTTATCTATATGCACCCATAGTAAACAGGCTATGCTCACTTGATTCCTTGGGTTCTGCTCGTGATATTAGTCTGATTCACTCAGCCTTTCGATCGACGAGTTCTACGCCGCTCTAGACCAATTTCCAGAACGTCACTCGATGACAGTTCATCAAATCTAAAATAATATACGTCGTACTATATATAGAGGAAAGTATTGAAGCAAAAGCCCATCAAGGAAGATTCCGTTTCCTTGTGCTCTTGTGCCATGCTATAGCGCTATCGTCATGTTCATGAGTGTATGTGTTATATACAAAAGGATTTGTGTCATACGCAGACCTGTAGATGGACAAGCCAGAACATTATAGCCATTGTTGGTCGAAGCTAGGCTCTATACTACCCAGTAGAGTACCGGTTAGCTTGCAAACTCTCAATCTTCATCGTCGGGGTCGGGTTATTCCCCCATGATTGCCCTTCAGCTTCCCGTGGATTCGGGGTTTCAACACTAGGGTCCTACTGCAGCTGTAAATAAGCCCTAGCTCTCGGTGCACCATGCAGGTCCACCGGGATAGTTACTTAACACAGTAGATTATATTCGCCGGGACCCTGGAGACATTTTACCAAGTAGAGCTTATATTATCAACATTCACATGCACAAATACCTCAGGGACCAGGACTACTTTAGTAGCCTCGAGACCAGGCGCAGGGTGAGGGCAGAGACTTTAGTAGCCTTGAAATGGGTTTGCACAGAATCCAGTCTTCTAAGCACCCGACCGGCCTATGTCAAAATCGATAGATGTCAATTCCGGCATCGGCAACCATGTGATCAAGTTTGATTGGTCTAGGAAATGGTAAATGTGTCTCTCATAAGACGAGGTGGCCAAACTGGCATGCACAGCTAGTGTACATATGTACATATACAATTGGTGCTTCGCGAAGTAGTGGTACCGGTATACACGGCGGTGTTCAAAGACACATCCATAAGCACCCATCGGTATGATCTACATGGAAATAGTGTCGGCGTAAGCCCGTGATACTTATCCTTTGCAAATTTGTGGGTTACTATTCTAGCCTGGGCCTCTGAATTCCGAAAATCAAGCTGTCGGAGTTATTTCGGAATTCTAAATTTCATTGGACTGAGTATCCCCGAAACTTAAAACCAATATTCCGAAATACTGCGAGATATCTTCTAGGTCTGGGTATGAGACAAGCGATATATCGATATGTGACTATTTCGTATGCAGCCGTGTGCATTTCAATCTGCACAGTACTGACTCTGCTACTACCACGGTAGTGGAGAAATGTTTTTCTTGACCATATAGTTTATGACACGACAGTCGTGGTGGAGATCAGGACATGCGGTGCAGCTGCCTGTGTAGGTGGAATTTCGACTGGCCTTGCTTCGTTAGCTCCAATGAAGCCATAGCCGACATACCGATATCTAAGGTGACCTCCTATTGTTTTGAGGATTGGAGTACTTATTATATTATCGGAAAGTTTTTTTTAAAAATTGGTGA